CCCCCCCCCCCCCCCCCCCCCGAAAACTCGACGTCGTCGCTGTTGAATTTTCGATCTGGAATCACCTTGGGTGGAACTGCGCCTCGCACCACCGGATGGCGTGCAGGCGGCGGAGGGTCCGCGAAAAGTGACGTCAAGTCGGTGAGAAGGGAAGCACGGCGAGAGACACTTCGCAGTAGAGTGGGTATCGATGGATATTAATCGTGCTTCGGGCTTGTAAGAATATTTGTGCCGTATTTTGAGCCCTCTACAGTAGATGGCACCACCTTTCTGCCTTAGGAGAGGTCGCCTGCAGTGACGGGTGTCTATCAGATAGTGCCTATATCAAGCGCGGAAGAGAGGGTAGCTCACAGCCATCCTGGTTGATCTCCACGAGCAGCGGAGTATTCAATGGCTGTTATATAGAGTACGGCTAATATTGGAGCTACTTGCCAGCTACGCGTAACCGGTGCTTCCTTTGAAGTTGGCGGACCTACCGTGCATTCGGCGATATATGATCTTCCTCCACCATCTTCGCCTGAGCTACAATGGCAGCGCAGCGAGCCAAGAAGAGTACACTCTTGTACCACAGGCAATTGTTAAGTAGGTATTTTGGAGCGCAAAGTAATAGTTAGACCCACAGAAGATAAACAGAGTTACGGTCCCACCAGTCGGATGTAACGTAGCTGCCAGCGACCTCAGCTTGGTCAGAGGTGTCACAGGAGTGCTTCCACCGAGCTACGTGCGGTATTGAGCACCGTTCAGATATATGACCAATTTGACTCACTTCAGAGGTAATCTTTGACGTACTGTGTTTCGCGAACCCGTACGTGCTAAGCTTGCATAAGGCCCTGAGGGGAGAGGTAATCAATGGCCTGGTACGCCTTGGTGGTCTGATGCGTCCCGTGAGACATAATGAGGAGGCACGTCTTCCCCTTTTGCGAGATACATCGACGAAGCTAGGCACACTCCGATCCTAAGTCTCGAAGTTCAACTAGTCCAATATAGCGCTCCGGATCCTAGACTGAATATCGCTCCCTGGGTGACAGTCAAGAAGCGCCAAACGGGCGCAATGATTATGTTACACCAAAATATAGCCTCAGACGCAGCCGCACAGTTGCAAGAATGTTGAGACGGATACCTTAAGCGACGTGAGGCATATACGTATGTCAAACTTGAAGAATACGCTACGGGCGATGAGTGACCTTGGATTGGCGAAAGGACATGTTGGGAAGCCAGGTCTCTGCCTCGGTCGCTGAACTAAAAGTCGTCTACTATTGGGAGCAACGAAACAGCATTGTAAGACATGCTCATCTCTTATTCTATGACACTATTCTGAGTCTGTTAGTTAGCGAGACCTCTTTCGAGTCCGGTTCGTCCATACGTACCTTGGGAGCGGTTCAGTCTAGGCATGCTATATCAGCTTACGCAAAGAGATTTTAGCGAGTACGGAATACCGATAGCTCGTTAGCAAAGACTTGAGATGAGGTGTGCCTTCATTCTAGCGCAAAGCGTACAGTACACGGCACGTGCATGTATGACTACATCAAAAACGAAGTTACGTCGTATCCTGTGTAGATCAGGTGCGAATGATAGTTAGCCTGGCAGGAAACCAAAATGAGAATCATCGAACACCCTTGCCAGTTCTTTATCCCATCCTCCTATTCAGGCCCCGTTGAATTACTAATGCCTAAAGAATGAGAGCATTAGTCACCAGCTATACTGTAAATTAAATTTGTTTACTTCGGAGGGTCAAACTGGTCGTAGAATGTATGAGATCCCTTCCATGGTATGAAATTCGGCTTGTCCACATCGTTGTTCCACCAGTCATTTGGCGACCTAAGCAGCGCTTGGGCCTCTGCCGACGCCCGGGAGTAGGTCGAAAGATCGACTCGAAGCTGCTGAAAGCTATCAAGGACGCCACTAGATAGACTCCCAGCAAGCTCGTCGCCAAAAGCGAGGTTCTTAAGAGGCTTCTCAATGCGCACTCTGTGATGGACGAACATGGATAATGCCGCGCCGCATTCTATGTCGTTTAGCGTTAATGACTCCAAGATTGGCCAGGCGATGCAGCCTCCCGACGACTTATCCATCTCTACCGCCGCATCCAGCCATCGCCGAATGTGTCGCGCACCCAGAGCTTGCAATGTTTGGAGATTCGCCGTAGAGGATAAGAGGGCCCTTATTTCCAAATTTCTCATGTTCCGCAGGCTCCAGGAATGCGATAGAAAGAGATGACGGAGTGTAGGAAGTGAAATTGTGCCAGAGCACAGGGCCTCCGCAAACATCGCTTGCGGAGCACTCAGTGTATCGAGTGCAACAGCTGCACGGCATATCATAGAAAAAATCTTGCGATCTTCATGATCATGATGTTCGTGAACGTCGTGCAGCGACAAATAAGTGAGCCGGGAGAGAGTTTGCGAAGGGATGTTTGTGGGATTGTCGTCAATTCCCAGAGATGCTTGTGAGAGGCTGAAGCGCCTCAGCGTCCCTGCGGCTTCCACAAGCACGTTCATCAGTTTGCCAACAGTGCAGTGAATGCCATGGATCTTCAAGTCGATAAGCCGGTTAAAGAGTCCAAGAGGAGCTCGGGCGACGGGAAACCAGAGTTCCGTGCGTAGCTCAGTGAGATTTGGAGCCTCAAACTGGGGCAGCACGAACGGGCACTGGTCCTCGGCGCCGATCGAGATGCCAAGGTACTCCAGACGCGGGAACTTGTAGCTGTTGAGAGACGAAAGAATGATCCTGGCCGACTGCTCGTGCCATAAGTATATGCTACAGTTCTTCCATCTGCCCTTCTCTGTCAAGAGGTACTTCCAGCTGGCTTTGAACCTTCGCCAGTCGATTTGTGGAGCTAGGTCTTCATCTTCCGTCTCCGTGTCTCTGGAAAAACACTGAAACGAGATCGAGAGAGGGAGCCCGCGAGAGCGAACGAGGTATGCCTTGACGACCTTCGCGTAATGCGCAGGTTGCTCTGGTGTGACATGTATGCAAGTCCAAATTAACGGAAGCAAGGTAGCCTGTCTACGCCACCAACGAGAGACGTGGCTGATGGCTATCGGAGAGTTGGTGTGTGGGAGACCGTCGTCGAGACGACAATGGGGGAAATGGTGCTGGTATGCGAACTTCAGGATCTCGGCGGCGACGTCGTCTGCGAGAGTGTACACAGGAGCCAACGGCGCCATCTCACACTTCTTCTGCTCGATGCGAGAGTTGGCTTGACGAACTTGCGCCTTCAACTCTTTGATCTGCGACTCCAGCTCTACGCACTCTTTCTTGAAAGCCGCCAGACGAGCACGCCGCTCCGTGGCGAGCATCATGCCTGAGGTATTTGAGAGCTGCCGCAAGGTCAATACTTATGATATGTTGAGCGACGGCTGGCTCGGATTTCCGCTGCTTACCCCTAAAGGTTCCAGGACGACGAAGACAAAGTGTAAGTGCCATCAACTGAGCCGGGTCGTGCAGAGCGCCCGCCATCTCTTCTTCCGGATCATCGTCTCAGCCATGAGCGTATGTTGGCGAATGCACTGGGCCTCTGACGTGAGGAGCCTGATATGGGAGAGAAATTGAAGCTAGACATGAAATCAATCTCCTGCACTCCTCAAGCGCGAGATGTAGTGTTTCGCAGACTCGCCGACCCCGCGCGGCACGATCCTGTTGAGCATATGATTACACGAAACGAGACATGCAAAATCAGGGATCTAGATGGTATAAAGTCGTATAATCCCATCCTCGATTGCACTTTGGCTTGCAAACTGATGATCTGCGGTGTCGCGCCCGCCCGAATAGAGAATATCAAACCTCTCCTGTCCCAATTTATGTCCTGGAACATTGCCGTACGGCTCATGGGGAGGCCAGAGACTTATTGCAGGTCTTGCTGGTATATTTATACTTCCATGGGTATGCTAAATCTGAGTACGCTAGGACACACTACGTTGAATACTTGCGCATGTGAGTGTACGGAAGCCTCGTACTCTTAACGGAGGCTTGGCGGCGTCATTACCTTAGCGGCACGACATGTGAAGCACATGCATATACTGGTACAAGAATTGTATCTTGTTCTGTAGAGAGCTGATATTAGTCTTCGAAATGAAGCAGAGCCCCGTTAGACACTTACCAGTCCTCTATCTCATTCTCCTCAAAAACCGTTATAGCGTTATCATCCGAGAGGTGTTCAGACCCACAAGGTGATAGTCTACCTTGCAGATGGCTAAATTGGTCGTGAAATTCGAATGAGCCCTTCCACGGTGCGAATGCCGGTTTGTTCGCAATGTCGTCCCACCAGTCCATCGGCGATGCGAGTGATGCCCGAACCTCGGGCGGCGCCCGTAAGCAAGCGGAAAAATCGAGCTGTAGCTGGTGGAAAGCATCCAGGTCATCTTGACGGAGGCGTTCAGCATATTCGTCGCCAAGAACAAGACTCTTAAGAGGCTTTCCTATGTGCGCTCTGTGCCGGATAAACGCGGATAGGGCCTGGTCGTATCTCACGTTTGACAGGAACAACGACTCCAAATTCGGCCAGGCGATGCAGCTTCCCGACGACTGATCCATCTCCACTGCCAGGTTGAACCACCCCGAGATGTCCCGCACGGTGCCGGCTTGCAGCGTTTGAAGGGTCGGCGTAGCGCGAAAAAGTGCCCTCACTTGTGTTCTCTCCCAGCGCCAGAGGTACGGAAGAGAGAGATGGCGCAGGGTAGGGAGTACCGTATCGTTGATACATAAGGTGTCGGTAGTGCTCCCCGCTGTAAAACGTAGCGCTTTGAGAGCAACGGCTACACGACAGATCGCGGGGCAGAATCTGTATTCTTCGTTGTTGTGTTCGTCAACGACGTCCTCCAGTAGAAGATAGGTGAGCCGAGGGAGAGTCGGCAAAAGGATCTCTGGGGGATTAGAGTTGAATTCGAGGCACACCTGCGAGAGACTGAAACGTTCCAACGTCCCCGCAGCCACTGCGAGCACGTCCGTCAGCGCACCAATGGCACAGCTCGCATCGTGAATCTTCAAATCCGTGAGCCCGCTGAAGAGTCTACGAGGTGCTTTGAAGACAGGAAGCCAGCATTCTGCACGCAGCTCGGTGAGACCCGGAGCCTCAAAATTAGGCACCAAGTCAGGAGCATCTTCAGCGCCGATCGAGATACCCAGGTACTCCAGATGCGGAAACTTGCATCCGTTGAGAGAGAAGAGAATGGCCTGGGTCGACTCCTGATGCCATAGGTAGATAGAGCAGTTCTTCCATCTATGACCCTCTGTCAAGAGGTACTTCCAGCTGCTTTTGAACCTGCGCCAAATTGACCCTTCGAACATCGACCAGTCGAGTTGCTGACTAAGGGACCCCTTCAACAAGATATCTGGCGTACGACATTGGAACGAGATTGACAGAGGAAGGGAGCGAGAGCGTACGAGGTAGGCCTTGGCGACCTCCGCGTAATGCGCTGGTTGTTCCGGCGTGACGTGAATGCAGGTCCAGATTGACGGAAGCGAGGTAGCCTGTCTACGCCACCAACGAGAGACGTGGCTGATGGCTATCGGAGAGTTAGTGTGTGGGAGGCCGTCGTCGAGACGGCAATGGGGGAAATGGTGCTGATATGCGAATCGCAAGACTATGACGACGACATCGTCCGCGAGTGTGTAAACGGGGGCAAGCGGGGCAATCTCGTGCTTCTTCTGCTTAATTTTGGACTTGATTCTGCTAATTTGCTCCTCTAGTTCCAGGCATTCTTGTTGGAGAGCCCCTAGACGAGCACGTCTCTCCGCCGCTAGCAGCATGAACACAGGAGAGTGTCTAGAAGATGTCATAATGTCAATATTTGCGATATACGCTAAATTGTCTTCACTTACTCTCAAGGCTTAAGCTTCGGCAGAAAGTCGATATGAGCTCCTGACGTCCCAGATGAAAGAGCACAAGCGCGGGACTCAGCGAACATTTCGCAGAGCGCCCGTTGTTTGCTCAGACTGTTGTCGCAGCGGCGCCGGCAGAACTTCCAACATAACAGAATGATAGGCAGATAGTGTCAAGGAGGAATTTGAGCTGTGACTGGATTCAATGCTAAGCTCGCAGCTGGAGAATGTGGCATACGCACAGACTTAGTCCCATCATACGATGCCATTAAATGCATTCAAGGCAGCCCACGTTAATCAAGTAGATTGTCAGCGGTATGATTGCTCTAAAGGTGCAGACGGGTTAACCAGAATCTTGTAAGCTCTTGTGAGACGTCAGGCTTCAAGACGAACATAAGAGTAGCCGAGATGAGAGACGAGAAAGTGCGGTTCGGTGTCGCTCACGAGAAGTGATGGGTAACGTGACGGTCGTGACGCTTACTGTGACTTACGCGGGCGTGTGACAGTGGCCCTTAAAGAGCGCGTTTGTCTGGTCTTTCTTCCCCCTCGACCACCACCTCCCCGACCGCCTCTCTTCTGTTCTCCATTCTAAAATGCTCGAAGCCAAGCTTAGCGAGGCCGGAATCCTGAAGAGACTACTTGATGGTGGGTGAAGTTACATAGCTCGAACTCCGCGTCTGAGACCCGTTTTAGCCATCAAGGAACTCGTCGCCGACGCGAACTTTGAGTGCACTGAGGAGGGAATAGTACGTGTTTTGTATAGCAGAGTTGTATTCGGAGTTCTCATACGCGTCCAGACCCTGCAAGCGATGGATAACTCGCACGTCGCGCTCGTGGCTGTCAAACTCAACGCGACTGGCTTTAAGCGCTACCGCTGCGACAGGCCTATGCCACTCGGTGTGAATCTCACATCGCTGACAAAGGTCGTGAAGTGCGCAAAGGACGACGACCTCTGCACGCTTAGCGCGGCAGACGACGCCGATGTCCTCAGCTTGACTTACGAGGCGCGCAGTACGTTCATTCGCGCTCTGCGGCCCTTCCTCTACTAACAGGGCCACAGACACCGACCGCATCGCGGAGTATGAAATGAAGCTGATGGACATTGATACTGACACGCTCGGCATTCCCGACACCGACTACGACGCGCGTGTCACAATGCCGTCGTCAGAATTCTCACGGATCGTGCGCGACCTCTCGCAGCTCGGTGAGAGTGTGCGCATTGAGGTCTCGAAGGAGGGTGTCCGCTTTGCCAGCGAAGGCGAGGCTGCGAACGGTAACATCCTTATGCGGCACACGGACACCTCTGGAGTGAACGGCAAGAAGGGAAGCAGCAGCAAGGTAAAGAAAGAGGATGACGATGAGGAAGAAGCGGAGGACGATGACGAAGATGAAGATGGCGAGAAGAAGGCTAAGAAAGAGAAGGTCAAGAAGGAGGAGAATGAGGACGTTGAGATGAACGGCGAAGATGATGAGGACGATGGTGAGTTCAAGGCTGAGAGCGAAGGCGAGGAGGAACAGGACGAGGACTCGTCCGGCAAAAAGCGCAAGAAGGCTCCTGGCAAGGTACGTCACTATCGTTCCGGTTTCTCAGACTATATGATGCTGATTCTTCGTAGGAGGCCACTAAACCGGCGAAGAAGGCCAAGAAAGGCAAGTCGAAAGGCGACGACGAAGACGATGTTCCGGACGGTGTCCGCATCGAGATGAACCAGCATGTCAACTTGACATTCAGCTTGAAGTACCTCGTCAACTTCTCAAAGAGCGCATCGCTCTCTAACGTCGTGCAGCTGATGATGAGCAACGATGTGCCATTGCTCGTACGTATCTACTTACACCCTTCGCCATCCCTACAGCACGTGCTCACTCCGGTGTACAGGTCTCGTACGACTTTAACCAAGGATACATCCGGTACTACCTCGCGCCCAAAATTGGAGACGACTAAGCGGCTCCGAAGTATAACTAGCTCATTCTCTTGCACTCCATATCAGCTGTCTTGCATGTTTTCGTTATGGCTTTGTTTCCAAGTATCTACGCGTATATCTGCCTCGTTGTAATTTATCAAGTTGACAGCACAAGCGCAGTACACAGAAACGAAGGCCAGACTGTAGCACCGTCGGCGAGTGGCTTTTATATCATGAGTTGGTCGGACTTTTTCCGCTTATCAGTCTTGAGAGATTGAAGAGCGGGTACCAGAATACTCTCGGGCGGGATCTTGCTTTAAAACGCTCGCTGCCGATCTCGGACCTAGTACCTTTGCCGTTGCGCGGCATGCCAAGTACATCGGTCAGGGTACGATGGTCATCTGCCACGATGGAAGCTCTTCCAGGCGTTCGCCGACCTCGAGGAGCTGGTTGTACAAGGACGGAGATGTGACATAAAGCCTCGAGGTGGCCATGTGAGTGAATGTTTAATCAAAGCGTGCACTGCCCGTCAAGATTCTTGTCCCTCTTTATCTCTATGCATCATGAGAAGTACGTCGCATATTCGTAGAGCGTCGGGCACACGTAAAGGTAAAGCACAGTCTTTGCGAGCTCACGCTGCTGAGCCCTGACAGCTCGAACTAGTCGAGAGAGTGGGTAGCCGTTCCAAGGAACACATTTGCTGACGGTGATGGTATGGGTTGAGACAGAGCCTTATGCATACCGGTTCAAGTTTTTCTGATTACTGGTGGTATGAGAGCGTAATTTAATACTGAAGCACAGTGCACATGACCCTACGGCTCGAACTCCCCGGGCTTTACGCTCTGACCAGCCTTGCATTGCAACGCCTCAATTGTTATGGACCAGCAGTCAACATCTCAGAAGAATTGACACAGTCAATAGAACTGCGGTGTCCCTGCACACTGAGACAATAACCGAGCGCGGTGAGAGCAGACCAGCTTCATTTGGACAATGCCAGACTATTGTTCTAGCGCCTATTTCCATTTTGACCAGCCCCGCCCTGTTATCAAACAAAGCCAAGCAATGGCAAGTGCTCCCAGAGCGGAAAGAGTCGGGAGCTGCACTTCTGAAGCGCCCGCTTTTGTTCTCGGATTGGCACATGCATTCTCCTCGCGGCCGCATAGGAGACAATGGCTAAAATCACAAAAGCGTTGCGAAGCGATGCCGTGCTTCAGCTATATTATCTCTCGAGCCTTCAGCTTGACTTGTTGTGTTTCCCCCACCCTCGAACTCGTCTAGACGACGATAGCGACGACACGCACGACATTTCATCTAGATTTCAGTAACGACATATAGTACGATGCCCTCTAGTGAGTGTCTCTCAAGGTTATGGGCAATCAAATAGCCTGTTAATGTGTTTCATATGCTAGTTCTTTCCAACCTTCGTCGTTCTCGTGAACGCTCTCGCAAGACATCAAGCCTGACCTCGCCATCCAAAGCGAAACCTCTGGACATTCTACCTGGCGTGACCGAGATATCAGAACAAGAGGAAAATGAACAGCTTTCCTCCGCCCCGTCTTCCGTAATCCACCTATCGCATCGCCCCAAGCCGCAAACTCATCTATCTCTGCAAATCCCCCAAGCTGACCTGTTAGCGAAGAAGCGCGATTCACGCCGCGTCGTTCTTACCGGCGTAGAAGGCTTGACATTTGACGACTTGTTCCCTCTGCAAGCGCCACGCCCTGCGCCGTCCCCGCCCAACGTTCGTCCCACCACGGCCGCGCCTGCGCACGTCGAGTCGCCGCTCGAGACCATCAGCTTGCGCTTCTCAAGCCTCAAACTCCCTTTCACTAGAGCGCCGACAACACCCGAGTCAGTTCGGAGTCCGCGCAGCTCCTCGCCTACTCCGTCTTGCGCAAGCAACACTTCCGTCAGTACTGTCTCGTCTGCTGCCTCCACGTCGTCAACTCGCGCGAAGGTACTCACGCCGCCAACATCAGACGACGAGTGCCATGAGTCCCTTGCTTCCCGCCTGGCACGCGCACCAACAGTCAAGTCGCATCGCGGTACGATTGGATACGTCCCTGGCGCACCTAAGCAGAGAAGTGCGAGTGAGAAAAGTTTCGTAGATCTTGGGCTAGATGAGGATGAGCTTGATGATGAACCGGAGGATGCATCCTGGTTTGCTCGGGACATCAGCGACTCGTTCGTTCTTTCGTCACCAGAGAACGAGCCGTGTACTCTGGCGAAGACACCGGTAGCTTCCATTCCGAGAGTCAGTGGGAAGAGCAGATTCAGTAAACCATTGCCCGCGGCACCCAGGATGTCAGTTCAGGTATGGTACACCAATGTCTTGAAACCTGTATATTCAGCTAACATGCTGTTGAAGTCTATCAACAATGCATGCCCAAGTGCACAGCTGGACCCGGCCTTCCCAACAAAGCGCAGGTCGTACATTCCGAATCGGCCGCCGCCGCCGCCGCCCATTCGCATCGTCGACATCGACTGCGGCACCAACATTTTCATCGCACCTCCAACCCCAGAAGAGCCGTCGAAAGGTTCGCCCACGATGGAAGAGAAGACTGAGGAGTTGCTGACACTACTTGCAAACGCGGCTTTAACTACTACTTCATTGGCTGCCCCTTCTGGCCCCTCACGGCTCTCATGCATCTCAAACCTAGTCGTGCCGACCACCGTGACCCCGCACAGCTGTGACTTTATCGTCCCGACCCCGACAGTTATACGTCCGCTGCCACGCTTCGTGCCAGCCGACATCTCAGAGCTTTCGGACCCTGAGGCAGGCAGCCCTGCGTCAGCCGACTTCTTCGTGGCGGACTCCGACGAACTCGACTTAGGCGCGCTCGAACTCGAGTGGATGCCCGACTCTGACGACGACGAAAGTCTGCCCTCGACCCCCCGCAGCACCGACAGCCGCAGCTTATACTCACAAGCGTCCATGTCCCGCGTCGCCGCCCTCAATGAGCTGTCGCTCGATGCTATCCCACTCGAGCCTGCCACTCCTGCAGGGTCGTTCCTTTTCATTGGCAACGACGACGACGAGTTTCTCGGTATGGCGATTCCCGACAGCCCATCTGTTCGCCCGCACGACGATATGTTCTTCCCCGTGCAGTCAGAGAAGGTCCTTCGCTCGCGCTGGAGCTCGTCGACGCTCGCCGAGTCGTTCGCGGATCACCGCAGTAGCGGCTGGCGGGGCCGCTTCATCTTCGGCGCAAGCAAGAAGCCACAGTCGCCGACCAAGACGGGCTTTATACTCAAGTCGCCGACGATGCCGAGTTTCAACATCTCGAAGCCCACGTTCGCGACACCGACGAAGAAGGGCACGCCGAGCGCGCCGAGCCCCGCGGTGTCTGCCTCCCCAACGAAACGGTCCGGTGCCCCGAACACGCCCAGGTCGTCCCCGGCGAAGTCGTCACGAGGGTCCCCCGTGCGCACTCTCGCGCGTCGGGACAGCAACGCCAGCCTCTGCTCGTCAGATTCGGGCGAGTCGGTTTGCAGCGCCTCGTCCTCGACGTCCAACGGGCTGAGGCGGAAGCCGATCCCCATCGAAATCTTCATGAGGGCGTGAAGTCTTCGTTCTCTTCATATCTCTTCTCATGAATCAGTCTTGCACATATGCTAGCTGCGATCTAATGTACACTTCGCTTTTATCCCTGGACACCGTATTGGGCGGACGTCTTCACCCTCTTTCTTGTATTGGCACTTTCACACATCTCTCTTGGCCCAACGAACTATTTGTAGCTTTATACATACCTCATCACTGTCTTGCGTCAATCTCATATAGAGCGTCTTACTCTACTGTAGCATCATTCTTCTGTCTATGTTGTACTTCATGTTATCAATGATATGATTCTCAGCATGCTAAATACAACAGTTAACGCGTGGAAGCCGACTCGGTACTCGACCTTGACTTCTCTGTCGTGCGGGACGACACACTGGACGCCTTTGTTTCTGTTGTGAAGAAGTCATCGCCGTAGTCGATGGTTAGCTCTGTCCCCGACACCATAGATTTCTCTGTAACACGTTTTACCCCCATCCTGCCCAAGTCACGATTCAGCACTCACTGGCGTAAAGACCGATCCGTTGGTCGCTGCTGACGTTCATGACTGCGTACACTGCGTCAGTTCTGGGGAACAGCTGCATTTGTGAGCAGCTCACTGATGGTGGTGCAGTTGGCCCGCCTGCTCGGAGCGTGATTGATGAACCGTGCGATGTTGCCTGCGTATGAGGCGTCGACATCGAAAGTATTGTTCAGCTTGAATACATACGCTCGGCCGCGATGTTGAGCGAGTAGACTGGCAGGTAATCAGCACCGTTGGACCATGAAGAGCAGTCGAGCACCTACCCTCGTGTCTCCGTAGTAGCATCGTAGGTGAGCTCTCCGACATATTCTGCGTGTGGTCAGCCGATAGGAGACGGAAAGGCTGAAGAGGGCTCACCGCAGATAAGCTCACCCCTCTGCACGTGCTCTTCGAGGAACACGCCTAAGCCAAAAACGCTCGGGCCAACCCTCAGCTGCTTGCCACGTTCCCTGCGCAGGTCGGCATTCTTGCACTCAACGTCTTCATCTGAGCTGCAAAGCGGTATAAATGACAGGATACTCGGCGGTGGAGATGACAGATCAGCGCACCAGGTATAGTGGAGGCAGTCGCACAACTCGGGGTCGCATTCGCGTCCGTTCTTCACGCACGGACACTCGTGGCTAATGCACAAGTCCGGCTCGGGCTCATAGCATTCCTCAGGATGCGGCTGCTTCCTCATTTTCAGCTGCAGCCGGGCACAGTCGCAGCCCGAGAAGCGACGCGGGCCTGTACTCGAACACACATGAGCGTTCGGCAAAAAGAAAAGAAATAAGCGAGGCACTTACAGTCTGCTGTACAACAACAGCTCCTCTCGCAATGTGAGTCGCTGTCGCGACAAGTACACCCGCCTGCGGCTCCTCCGCAGGGGCCTGCGTGGCTACATGGCTCAAAGCTGAAAGGTAGATCCTGAAGATCAGTCATCGCGACTCAAAATCAATACGCACTGTTTGAGCACATTATGATTATTTACTCCGTTACTAGAAGCGTCCTTTGAGTGTGCATGGGGAATATATGATGAGGCAGGCTCCGACCGTTCCTTGAATAGTAGCCGATCACGAGCACGCCTATGATATTCGAGTCGTTGTGAGTGTACCTATCATATACACAGAGTAAGAAACGCATGGCCGTACGTATAATGCACGATTCCCTGACCTCGTAACAGCGGTACTGCATTAGCTGGCCGATTTCGCAAGATGTCGCCTCCGGTGATATTCTAAACAGTAGCTTTAGGCTCTCTATATCTTGGGACTTCATACCATTCCTCTTCAGGGAACAATTAATGTTGAACTTTGACATATGAGCAGATGCTACCTTTCTTTTCCCTCTCTGTCGATCCTCATCAATAGAATTAGTGAATAAATAGCACCCCTTTCCGCACGGTTGTGTTGCTGGCGGCGGTAAATATACACCTGCATACGCGACGTATCTGTCATCTGTATCGAGCTGATGTTTCTCCCCGTCTGTAGAATTTTAGTGTCAAACATGAAATCATACGAAAGTGCCAGAATCGCTGACTGTGAATATAGCAGTATGTCTGTATGCAGTTCAGGTTCGAGCAAAAAATGGATAGCCCCCGTTGCACACGCTTGCTCAGATCATCCACAGCGGGAAGGGATGCATCGCTCAGTTCCTTGTAGTTGCCCGCTTGTCCGAAGAAAGTAGAGGGGCAGTCCCTAGAGAGCGTGAAATGAGCGTCCAGCTCTATCACTCAGAGAAGAGACTCACTGACATATTCTGGGACATGATAATGGCTCCCCATTCATCCGAAGTGCACAGGAGAGGTACAGGCAATATGCCCGTCTTGTCTATGGCTACCAGGTCGAGGCCATATCGCCCAACGAGACGACGGCCAGTCTCCAGAGTAATCCATACTCCTGGAGTCGACTGTGAGCGAGAATATCGCCGGAAGGTTAACGATGAGTTCACCATGCGGTGAGGTCATCCGGGGATTCTGCCAGGACATGCCTCGATGCTCGTCCATGTAGGCCCGATGATCAAAGCTGCTATCGTCGGCGTACGGGACGAATGGCGCGTCGTCTGAGTCGTCTCCCAGGAGGACATTGGTCAATGTTGGCCGACATGACTCAAACGGCGGATGTTCCGTGAAGTACTCATCGCTTGAGGTTTGGATACCACGGGACACTTTGAGAGCGTCTTTCGTTAGGAAGCCCTCGTCAGAGAATGAGTAGATAATAAACGCATTCGTGTCCTTGTTGACTGCCTGAGATTCCAAACTGGTCTCTCGAATAATATCTTCGTCTCGTATATTGAGGCCGAAGTCGAGTGCGGGGCTACCTGGACGCGAAGACGCAAGTTCTTCTAAGCCTTGCTTCGAGCTAAATGTCTCCAACACGTAGAATTCGTCCCAAACTTCGCGAAAAACGCGGAGAACATGAGAAGCCGCCCTTTCGCCTTCAGCGTTAGCTCCCTCCGGATCTGTCGCCGTCATTGCCCTGGGGGAAACATGTACGAGTAACGCGTCGAATGCGGGGACCAGTTGGGCTCAGCCATCAGCTACGCGCAAAATTGGCATTATAGCTCCGACTAGATAATTTAATACGTATTGTAAATTCTGAGAACCAAATTATTGATCAGCTATTCTTTAATTTGGACTCCGCTCGAACGCTTAGCAGATGCATTCAGCCGTTTGTAATTCCAACCTTAACGCCTTCGTCGACGTCGTCGGCGACAGCAAGCGACACTCTTTCCGCCCCATACCTCTATCATGTCTGCAAAACGAGATTTATCAGGATACAACTATGCCGCCATTTCTTCCCTGGTTTTAACAGCTGACCGTTCTGCTCTTCCACGTCGTGATAAGGAGCCGGATGGCGCACCAACATCACTTGCCGGTCGCATCGACCCCAGGGAGATGGGCTCTCGGGTGCAACGGGAAGTACCAAAAGATCTTCAAAAGAAGAAGAAAAGGGCGGCAGAGACTCAGGATGGCTCGGAAAAGATTTCGAAACGACGCGCCGCCGAGACAACCGGTTATGGGTACACCGACATTATCGAGGCGACACAGGACGTGGAGGGGTTGACATACCGACCTCGTACTGCGGAGACACGCGAAGTTTATGAGCTCATTCTCTCCTCAGTTCATCAGGCACTCGGTGACCAGGCACAAGATGTAGTCCGCTCTGCCGCGGACGCAGTGCTTGAGAGCTCGAAAAACGAGAACTTGAAGGACTTCGACAAGAAGAAGGAGATTGAAGAGGTGCTTGGCCCCATCTCGAACGACCAATTCTCGACGCTGCTCAACCTGTCGAAGAAGATCACGGATTATGGCGTAGAGGACGACGCTATGGTCGACGCGGACATGGAGAAGAGGGCCGGAGAGATTGACGAGGAGATGGGCGTTGCAGTCGTCTTTGATGAGGAAGAGCAGGAGGAAGAGGACGAAGAGGGGTACGAGGTTCGGGAGGAGTCTGACGAAGATGAAGAGGAGGAGAGGGCAGCCGAGGCTCCGGAGAGCTTGGAGAATGAAGAAGAGCTGTTCGTCGGCGGAACTTCCGCAGCGCAAGAAGGACAGTCAGAATCGAAGGCAGACAAGGACATTGTCTCTCCACACTCCATCGACGGCTTCTGGGTTCAGCGACAGGTCGCAGAGGTCTATCCCGATCCCGTAACCGCTGCAGACAAGGCGGCAGCTGTTCTCACCATCCTTGGCTCTGAGTCGAATCTTCGAGACTGCGAGAATCAGCTCATGGAGCTGTTCGACTACCAGAGCTTCCACGTCATCACCAAGTTTCTCAAGAATCGCGATGTCATCGTTTGGTGCACGAAACTCGTTCGCAGCGACGCCGAAGAGCGAGTCAACGTCGAAGTTACGATGCGTGAGAAGGGTCTCGGTTGGATCCTGCGCGAGCTCGCTGGCGATCGCAAAGCAAAGCCGAAGGCAGAGGACGCTATGGACGTTGATGAGAGAATAAAAATTCAAGCAGTACCGAAGACGGCGACGCTCGCTCCTGGCTCAACAGTGCAGCCGAAGAAGACCGTTGACCTCGAAGGCATGGCTTTCAGCCAGGGTGGACACCTCATGTCGAACAAGAAGTGCAAGCTCCCCGAAGGTTCCTTCAAGCGTGCTCGCAAGGGCTACGAGGAAATCCACGTTCCGGCTCCTAAGAAGCCTTCCGTCGACTCTTCCGAATTTGTCCCGATTACCGAGCTCCCTGCTTGGGCGCAAGAAGGTTTCAAGGGCATCAAGAACCTCAATCGCGTTCAGAGCAAGCTTTTCCCCGTTGCTTTCGGCACAGACGAACCGCTGCTTCTCTGTGCACCTACTGGCGCCGGAAAGGTATGTCTCGATCCATTGGGCGCATGTACGAGAACGATGCTGATGACACCTGTAGACTAACGTCGCTATGCTCACCATCCTGAACGAGCTAGCAAAGTACAGAGACGAAGAGACAGGCTCGTTCGACTTGGACGCATTTAAGATTGTTTACGTCGCTCCCATGAAAGCCCTAGTTCAAGAGATGGTCGGCAACTTCAGCTCTCGTCTCGGCGTATTCGGCGTCAAGGTCGGCGAGTTAACCGGCGATTCGCAGATGACGAAGCAGCAGATCGCGGAGACACAAATCATCGTCACGACCCCAGAGAAGTGGGACGTCATCACTCGCAAGAGCACAGACACCAGCTACACTAACCTCGTCCGCCTCATTATCATCGACGAGATTCATTTGCTGCACGATGAGCGTGGGCCTGTTCTGGAGTCTATTGTGGCAAGGACTGTCCGTCGAATGGAGCAAACTAGCGAGTACGTCCGTTTGGTTGGTCTCTCGGCGACGCTTCCAAATTACGAGGATGTCGCGACTTTCCTTCGCGTGGATCGCGACAAAGGCCTGTTCTACTTCGACTCCTCATACCGTCCCTGCCCGCTTCAACAGCAGTTCGTTGGTGTCACCGAGAAGAAAGCCATCAAGCGATATCAGGTCATGAATGAGGTTTGCTACGAGAAAGTCCTCGATCAGGCTGGAAAGAACCAAACGCTCGTTTTCGTCCATTCACGGAAGGAGACTGCGAAGACTGCGAAGTTCATCCGAGACATGGCCATCGACAAGGAGACGATCACCCAGTTTGTGAAGCCTGAGGGCGCGACTCGCGAAATCTTGCTCGAGGAAGTTAATAACGTTAAAGACCCGAACCTCAAGGATCTCCTGCAGTTTGGCTTCGGTATCCACCACGCCGGTATGTCGCGTGAGGACCGTGGTCTCGTCGAAGAACTTTTCGCAGATGGCCATCTTCAAGTACTTGTCTGTACCGCGACACTCGCTTGGGGTGTCAACCTTCCCGCGCACACCGTCATCATCAAAGGCACGCAGATCTATAACCCCGAGAAGGGTCGTTGGGTCGAACTGTCTCCGCAGGATGTCCTCCAGATGCTCGGTCGCGCTGGTCGCCCTCAGTACGACACGTTCGGCGAGGGCATCATCATCACCAACCACTCAGAGCTCCAATACTACTTGAGTCTCATGAATCAGCAGCTCCCTATTGAGTCGCAGTTCGTCTCGAAGCTCGCGGACAACCTCAATGCTGAGATCGTCCTCGGTACTATTCGCAATCGTGACGAGGCCGTACAGTGGCTTGGGTATACCTACCTCTACGTCCGTATGCTCAAGGACCCGGTGCTGTACAGCGTTGGCGCCGACTACCAAGAGGACGACCCCGCGTTTGTCCAGAAGCGTGCGGATATCGTACACACGGCAGCCGCGCTCCTTGAGAAGTGCCATCTCATCAAGTACGAACGTGTGTCGGGCCGCTTCCAAAGTACGGAGCTCGGTCGTATCGCGTCATATTACTACGTGACGTACAACTCGATGGCCGTCTACAACCAGCACCTGCGGCCGACTATGTCGATGATCGAGCTCTTCCGTGTCTTTGCGCTATCAAACGAATTCAAGCTGATTCCCGTGCGGCAGGACGTAAGTTCTTACAGTTCGGCTTCTGTGAACTGCCTTGACGCGTTGTTTATAGGAGAAAATTGAGCTCAGCAAGCTCCTCGAACGAGTTCCTATCCCGGTGAAGGAAGGTGTCGAGGAACCCGCCGCGAAGATCAATGTTCTTCTTCAGACCTACATTTCTCAACTGAAGCTCGAAGGCTTTGCGCTCGTCGCGGATATGGTATACATTCAGCAGTCTGCCGGACGCATCATTCGCGCCATTTTTGAGATCTGCTTGAAGCGCGGATGGGCGGTGCCCGCTAAGGCCGCTCTGGATCTTTCGAAGATGATCGAGAGGAGAATGTAAGTGTTGGCCAACAGTATAGCCGAGTACCCGTTGTTTACCCCTGTCATAGGTGGGGTTCAATGACGCCTTTGCGTCAGTTCAAGGGTATTCCGAGGGACATCGTCCGGAAGGCGGAGAGCAAACAATTCGTGAGTTGGTTGCCTGTATCTTTCATAACGATGCTGATGTAATGACGTTACAGCCATGGTACCGCTACTTCGACTTGAACCCACCAGAAATCGGCGAGCTTATTGGTATCCAGAACGCTGGAAAGCTTGTCCACCGTCTGGTCCATAGTTTCCCGAAGCTCCAGCTACAGGCCCAAGTCCAGCCAATTACTCGCTCCCTCCTCCGCATCGACCTGACGATTGTTCCCGACTTCCGATGGGATGAGAAGATCCACAGCGGCGCTGAGGCGTTCTGGATCATCGTCGAGGATGTAGATGGCGAGATCATTCTCTTCCACGACCAGTTTGTCCTCCGTCAGCGCTATGGCGAGGACGAGCACAATGTCACTCTTACTGTCCCAATGTTCGAACCTGTCCCCCCCAACTACTATATCTCCGTCGTCTCCGACCGGTGGCTTCACGCTGAGACTCGCCTGCCCATTTCCTTTAAGCATCTCATCCTTCCTGAGAAGTTCCCGCCTCCGACGGCACTGCTCGACCTCCAGCCCCTTCCTCTTTCCGCGCTCCACAACAAGGAGTTTGAGAGCATCTACTCCTCGACGCTCAAAACTTTCAACAAGATCCAGACGCAGGTTTTCCAGGCGCTCTACACGACTGACGACAACGTCTTCATTGGTGCACCAACTGGAAGTGGAAAGACCGTCTGCGCAGAATTCGCCCTACTTCGTCTCTGGAGCAAGCGTGAGCAACCTCGAGCTGTCTGCATTGAGCCGTTCCAAGACATGGTCGACCTGCGTGTGCAGGAGTGGAGGGCGAAGTTCGGCAATTTACAGGGCGGCAAGGAGATTGTGAGCTTGACCGGCGAGAGCAGCCAAGATTTACGTCTGCTCGAGAAGGGCGATCTGATTGTCTGCACGCCGGCTCAGTGGGACATACTCTCCAGGAGGTGGCGTCAGCGGAAGAACGTCCAGACCATCGGTCTGCTTATCGCCGACGAAGTCCAGCAGGTCGGTGGCGAAGTCGGCCCGACGTACGAGGTCATCCTCTCTCGTACTCGCTATGTCTCTGCCCAGACAGATATCAAGACCCGTATCGTTGCCTGTGGTGTCTCGCTTGCGAACGCCCGGGATCTCGGAGAGTGGCTCGGTGCACCATCACACGCGATTTTCAACTTCCCTCCAAGGTGAATAGCATGGTCCATTACGCGTATCCTGTAACTAATTGTACTTCTCAGCGCCCGCCCTCTGGATATGGATATCCACCTGCAGAGCTTCAACCTCCCTCACTTCCCCTCGTTGATGATCGCGATGTCGAAGCCTGCCTACCTCGCCATCGTCGAGCATTCGTCTACGAAGCCCGTCATCATCTTTGTCCCATCGCGCCGTCAATGCCGTCTCACTGCCGATGATCTCATCACCCACTGCGGCGCAGACGAGGACCCTAAGCGGTTCCTCAATGTCGAGGAAGACGATCTCCAGCCTCACCTCAATCATCTCAGCGACCAGGGTCTCGTCGAGACTTTGAAGCACGGTGTCGGTTACTACCACGAGGCGCTTAATAAGCAGGACAAGCGTATTGTCCAACGGCTCTTCGAGTCGGGCGCCATCCAGGTACTCATTGCATCTCGGGACATAGCTTGGAGCCTGCCCGTGGCAAGCTACATGGTTATCATCATGAGCGTGCAGTATTACGAGGGCAAGGAGCACCGCTACGTCGATTACCCTGTGATGGACGTCCTTCAGATGATGGGCCGCGCTTGCCGACCGATGGAGGACGATCGCAGCCGCTGCGTACTCATGTGCCAGCAGACGCGGAAGGATTTCTACAAAAAGTTTTTAGCCGAAGGCCTGCCCATCGAGTCTCACCTCCCGACCCACATGCTCCACGACTACTTCTTGTCTGAGATAGCCGTCAAAACGATCGAGAACAAGCAAGACGCAATGGACATTCTCACCTGGACATACTTCTACCGCAGGATGACGCAAAACCCGAACTACTACAACCTGCATAACGTCAGCCACCAGCATCTGTCAGACCACTTGTCGGAGCTGGTCGAGAATACACTCAACGACCTTGTCAACTCGAAGTGTATCACAATCGAGGACGAGATGGATGTCTCGCCCTTGAACTTGGGTATGATCGCGGCGTACTACAACATCTCATACGTCACGGTCGAGGTGTACACCTTGTCGCTCAAGGAGCGCACGAAGCTCAAGGGCTTGCTGGAGGTTGTATCGTCGTCGGCGGAATTCGAGTCGGTTCCTATCCGTCGGCACGAGGACGTCCTACTCCGCCGCATTTACGACCGCGTGCCTGTCAAGCTCGACCGCGCCGACTTCGATGCTCCTCACTTCAAGACTTTCCTGCTGCTGCAAGCACATTTTTCGCGCATCCAGCTGCCGCCAGATCTCGCTGCCGACCAGGTTCTTGTCATCGAGAAGATCCTCAACCTGCTCTCCGCATGTGTCGACGTCATGTCTTCGAACGCCTGGCTCAACGCCCTCGGCGCTATGGACTTGTCGCAGATGTGTGTACAGGCGTGCTGGGACAATGACTCACCACTCAAGCAGATCCCTCACTTCGAGCCCGATGTAAGTAGACTACCCGACGTTCATATGACTGATACTCATTCTATTCACTCTTTCCAGGTGATCAAGCGATGTAAAGAGGCTGGCGTCGAGTCCGTCTACGATATCATGGAGATGGAGGATGATAAGCGCAGCGAGCTGCTGCGGATGGATGCGCGGCAAATGCGCGACGTTGCGATGTTTGTCAACTCGTACCCCACCCTCGACGTCTCGTTTGAACTTGCGAAGGGCGAGTACACCGCGGGCTCACCGATTTACATCACAGTCGCGCTCTCGAAGGACGCCGATGAGGAAGACCTTGGCGACGATCAGGTCGTCGCGCCATTCTTCCCCGTCAAGAAGATGGCGAACTGGTGGCTCGTCGTCGGCGACCCGATCTCGCGCACACTGCACTCAATCAAGCGTGTGACAGTGACGAAGAGCTTGGCGATGAAACTCGAGTTCACGCTACCCAAAGGCACGCACAAGCTCAAGCTGTACGTCATCTGCGACTCGTACATGGGCGCGGACCACGATATCGACCTCGAGCCGATCGATGTCGCTGAGGGCGAGGAAAGTGACAGCGACGAGGAGATGGAGAGCGGCGACGAGATGGAGGAGTGAAAATGTCTGCCTAGACAACCTTAGGGTGTTCTGGTTCCGCTACCGTGATATTACAGTACTTCTATACGCATAGCTTGCAACGTGTAATTTTTATGCTAAAATGTACTATAGACATCTCTTGGCCTGTTCTGATCTTGTCCGACGTACAACCAAGCAAGTCTCAGCTATGGCTGACAGCAGACCCTACAACAGACATAGGCCTCGCGGGACCTCACAGTTTGACTTTCGAGGTGATAGGCCGCCTCAGACAGCGAAACGCGACTCAGGGTAAAGTTCACATTGACCAGTCTGCATCTCGATACCGGTTCAAGATAAAGCGTAGTCAGCCCCAATACCAATATCATGCCAACCTCTGCGGCTAACTAGTCAGCCTCAAGTAAAGGACGCCCGCCCCGTCCTCCGTTCGTACAGTCCTCAGCCCCACTCTGTCTCTTGTCCTCTTACTTTCTTCTTCGCCCAGGCGGCGTCCTTATTCCTTCAGCCTTCGTTGACCGAAGTGCACCTCACACTCGTTTCTCTTTCAACCTGTCTCCCCTCGCCTCCATCTCCTACGTGCTTTACGTACATTCTGTGCACATCGAGTCCGACCGGGAATGTCGCCACCAGAAGAGAGCGCCAAATTCAAGCTGCGCAAGGCCAAGGTGCGCGAGCTCGAGCGGCAGCAGGAGCTTGAGGACGCTGCACACCTGGGCATGTCCGCGGAGGAGCACGCGCTTCTGCAGGCGACGTTCGTGTGCGTACATGCCGAGTTCGAGGATCTCGATGGGATGAGTTGGGCTTCGCACGCGGCACAGGGGATTCTCCGGGAATGGGTGAGTGATATCTTGTTTTCTGGCTGCTTGAAGGCGCTGTGAGCGTGGTGCTAAGGGAGGGCGGCTTACTGTAGAAACGGAAGAAAGCGCTGCAGATCATCTCTGCCGGACGACAGAAGAAGGGTCTTCCCGCCTTGTGTACGCCATCCCTCCGGCGGTCGCGCAGCTCGAGTCGCAGCCGCAGCTCCGGTGGATTCACCATGCCCGCCTTGGCACGCACGCGACCATCCATCCCCGTGGCACTGCTGGACGGCCCGCGCCCGCTGATGCAGCCTGGCCCCCGCTTTGCCAAAATCCTCGACCGCGAAGCGAATCGCACGCAGTTCAGGGACGAGGAAGACGACTGGCTGGACAACGATAACTTGGATGAAAAGCTGTCGTCAGCCATACGGAGCATCGCGGAGCCCATGGATCAGACTCAGGAACAGAGGATAGCGTCTGTGAGGCAGTGCGCGACGCTCGGACGCAGCTGGCGCGGAGGATTGAAGACGCGAAATGCGATTCCTGCACCGTTCTATACCGTGCGCGGTCCGAGGAAAGAACGGCGTTCGACTCACTTGGAGAGGTACTTCGACTCCGGTGGCCAAGACACGGAGCCGTTGAGCAGCGCTTTCAGCTCATATGACGCGGGGATAGATGACGACGATCAGGAGACGGTCCGAGGCGAAGAGCTGGGAGGTCAGGGGCGCACCGTCGACTACGACCAGGACGAGGCGTCGGCGTCGTTTCATGATAGCACGCCTGGCGGTAACGAAGCCGAGCCAGGACAGCGCACCACAACCACAGGAGAGTGCGCCACGACAGTAGAAACCACGGTCGTCAGCACAAAAGCCCTGCCAGTGCCGCCTCCAATCATAGCGGCGTCACCTCGACTCGGCGGTTCAGCCAGCGCCCTGTGGGGCACGGATGGCGGTGGTCAGCGCGCCGCTGGTAGTCCTACGTTGGGAAGCGTCAGAATGGGAAGAGGTAAAAGACGAAGCGCTGCGATGGGGAGTCCCACCAGCCCTCGTGTGGTCAGCTTCCATCGCGAGCGCTGTGGGATCGCGGTGTGCAATTCCGCGAGGAAGAGGGCGGGGCCAACTGACGTGGTTGCATGAACATCTTGTATACCGATGGGCGTGGTGGACTCATAAGGCTCTGAGCATTGCTGAATAAGGGAAATTATGGATATATATGTTCAGCCTAACACGTAGGAGCTCAAGCTGTCTTGTTGTTGAATGGTTACTATCGCCCTAAATCTAAGGGAGGCAGCGACCGTGTTCTCCCCATAGATAATCCCAGAATGAATGAAAGAGTGCACACTAGAATTATCTGGTTCTGCTTTCCAGGCGGATGAGAGAGATGCGCAGTGAGACGTGGTCCATGAGCTTTTAATGCTCAGACTCACCTTAAATGCCGTCTGACAAAGGCTCGATGATCCGTACACGTGCATAGACCATAAGTAGACACAGCCTCTACGACATGCTACACTAGCACTCTCGAAATTTTTGCATAGTCGGTCGAGGAAGCAGGCCGCCGGTGACGGGACAGAGCAAGGATAAGTTACCCACCAAGCTCGTCCTGCCACTGGTCGCGCTTATCATTGCCAGATACGACGTGTTGAATTCAATGATACATATATGTGGTAGTAGTACAGTGTATGCAGCAAATATATGGTACATATGGTAGTGGGGCCTGCCTGGTGCATCATAGCTTAGGTATACATTACGTTCCGGTACTGATACACGGCTTGTCGCTGGAACTCGCTTGAGAATGGTAGCGAGTGCAAGCAGATAAAAATAATAAAGATATGGTATAGATAATCAACTTATGGTGACCTGCTCGACAGAGCCAGATGAGTTCTTGGAACGCTTGAGTGCGGAACGCAGTGGCGGCTTTGGTACGAGACGGTGCTGCATGTCGATGCGGGTGCCTTCTTCATTCATCCAGCCACAGCTAGGCTCGGGGTAGCACTGCACAGCACATCGTCAGTAATCGCACGGGGCAACGGGGCGCACAGCACGTACTGAGAGATCGGGAGGGTACTCCTGCCCCTGATCCGGAGATTTGTACCTGCCATCGTTCGTCCACAGCTGGTCACTGGTGGAAGATGAAACCTCGTCAGTATCGCGCATAGAGGACGCGGAGCCAGGAGTACTCACCCTCTGCGGTTGAACCAGCCCTTCCGCCGCTGGCCAGGAAGCACAGGCGAGGGGCAAATGAGATCCTCGTGCCACCGCACGCTTTTTGCGGGCGCCGCCTCCGCGGGGCTCGTCGAGCGACTACGCGACAGCGACGGCCGCTCCCCCGCCGGCAACCGCTGTGTACTGCCTGGCACACCGGCTGGCGGCGTCACCGGCGGCGAGGTTGTCGAGGGCCGGCGCGACGTGCTGCTTGCGGGCTGCGGCGGAGCGGTCACGTGCTGCAGGCCAGGCGGCATCTGAATGGCAGAGTCGATGCCAGGCGGAGACGTCGTGCGCGGGGCTGGCTGTGCCGAGTCGCGACGCGTGAGCGCGGGGGCTGGTGCCCGCGATGACGACCGCTCGTCCGAGTTCCGTCGGACTGGGGGAGGCACCACGAGCGGAGGGGTCGAACCGGACACGCCTGGCGGGTAAATGGTCAGCCGTGGAGGCGGCAGCCTTGTTACTTGCTGGTTGTCGGACACGACTGTGCTGTCGTCATCATCTGCAGGGGAATATCGAACAGGAGAAGTGGTGGTGGGGGGCACGACTAACTGGCGTCCAGTAGGCGGGCCAGTAATGTAAGAAGTCGTCCCATACGGGGTCGTTGAGCCAGTGCTGACCTGGCTGTTTTGCGTGTCGTAGAGCGTCGCCTCGAGGGTTTCTACGCTGCATCTTGCGCGGATCGAGGCCGCCTCTATCGGGGTATCGAGCGACTCGGTGTCAGAACTGGACGATGACGACGGGCTGTCGGACATCGATGAGATCGAGCGTTCATAAACATAGGTATCGGGGATGGCTCCCGGGTATATGCTGTAGGGCTTTTGCGACTTCGTACGAGTGAGTTCGAGACCACGGTCGTACTCCTCATTCTGCTCCCCGAAGTAGTCGTTCGCGCGGCCAAAGGATGGCTTTCGACTCGGGTCTGGGCGAGAGGGGCTAGGATAGCCTGGTTGCTTCCGTCCCGTGCTTGAGGGTGTTCTACTGGGGCTATGTTCGGCCTTGACTGCGCCAGACTGCGCATACGCTGGTGGTGACGGAGTCTTGAAGACATGTACCGAAAACCCGCGGGGAACCTCCAAGACGTACTGGAAAAGGGTCAGAACACACGACGTCGAGGGTCGGGGGTATCTTGGATGCTGACCTTAGAGTTGTTGCGACCATTGCGACTAGAGTTCTTGGGGTCGGAGGAAAGGAGAGACGACAGCATAGTGGGTGCAATGTCACTACCGGTGACAAGCGGTGTGCGATGCAGCGGGGCAGTCAGAGCCACTTATACTCGCGCATGGGGCAACGCGGTTTGTACGGCATGCCACTGGCACGAGTTGGCCATCAACCAAGAAGTGCCGGAGAAGTCACAGCCAAGCGCCATCGGCTGAATTGTGCGTGGTCGTGACTGGCAGACCGCAGAGCACGTTGGGAGACATCGGGACCCACGGTTAGCTAGCAGCTGCCCTTTGCTGACGTAGAGGCCCGGACTTTGATGAAAAGCGTGAGGAAATGAAGTCACCGCGGGCGAAAGCGTCGCACCTAGACTGTCACAAACTTGGCCTGGGACGATCGACGGATGTGAGCAAGTCTTCATCCAGTGTATTCTCCGGTGCGCCCGCCCCGCTGAAATGAAACGGTTCCGAGATACGGGCTGCTGTTCTGGGACGTGCGCTGGTCTGCACCTTGCACACGCCGTGGCCCTGAGACTTGTTCGACTTGCGGAGAACGTATGTTTGACACGACGCGCCGGACTGGTCGAAGGTGTGGCTGGCTGCAGGACTGGAACGAGGCTTTCAACCCGCGCCATCAATCTGATCTCATCACACATTAAAAGGCAGGCTGATAAAAACCATACTCACAAAAAATTTAAACCGATGCCAGGAGAGTTAACGTATACAACCGTGAGTAGATGATGAAAGCCACACGAATTTCCTTAGCACTGAGAAATTTTGCAGATTGGTTCTGAGCGACGCTCAGGCGTTTGGTATGGTCACCGTTGCCCAGTTCATAGCTACCCGACGGGCCAGGGAAAAGGCAGATCTTCGAAAATGGAGAACGAATTTCCATCCAAGCCGCACACCTGCAAGATATCAAACATGGTCCTGCTGCAAGCAATACCTCTGAAGGCACTAATGAGAGATCCGGACACGCTGGAGACATTGCCAGACGTGGAGGTATAGCCACGAAGTGGATTACCCAGGAAGCAGCATAGTGACTCCTGGTATCGGTTGGGTGAGCGTCGAACCGATCGCATCTATGAGAGCGAAAAGTGATGTGCCTATGCTGTATTCCGCTGGCTGGCCATGCGCGCCGTTCAGACTTAAGTCAACGGGAGCAATATGGACACTCAATAGAAGAATAACAATGGCCCGTCTCATACCCTCGGTCGTGTCCTGCTGAACGATCAGGAGTAGTTTAATGCTTCAGCGTTATGTATAGTCCTCCTCCCGAACCTGCTCCTTTGTAACTCGGAAAATTCTTCAGGCACTACACCCGTGGCGTCGTGACGCAGTCCACCACCGGTGCTGGTGAAGTAGGGGTGGCGGTTGTGATGCTTAAGCCGTGCGCATCAAGCGCTTACTATCGGGTTTGTGGCGTCCACCTCCGTCCCAAAGCACACGACGAACTCCTCGAGGCACTCATGGCGGTAAGAATAAACAGTCCTGATTCGATCATACCAGTGTCGGAAGAGGTAAAGCGTATGTAATCACAAGTACGTACGGAAAAGCAACGGGATATCAAGGCAGAAAACCCAGCAGATCGTCACCATGCGCCACCTAGGTCCAGCCAGTCTTTGAGGACTGTTGTCCTCTCTGTAGCTATCTGGCGGGTTACCTCAACCTGACGCGGAACAGGCAGATCTTCAAATGCGGCCAAGAGATTCCCATCAAGGATACCCTTAGTGAGCGGCCTCGCAACTCGGTCGTTGCGAACAACACTGTTGCACGAGCCCATCAGGAAACACGCCGCTTGTGGTACAAACAGGGGCGTACCGGAATGCCTTGGGGTTAAGCCCCGCAACATGCTGCACGTTCCGGGCCAGCTGCCCCTGCAGCAGGTGGAGCCGTTTCGAGACCGCGTCGTCAACGTAGGTGAGGGATGTCAACGATCCATCGGTGTGACCTGGCGCGATATTTCAGGAAAAGCTCTAAGCGAGACACGACAAATGGAGCGGGCTCACCGCAAATTAACTTCGCTTGCGGTATTTCCGCGTCCAAGCCTTTGCCACGACGCGCGATGAGATGTGAAGTGCGATACTCTGTCTGGCCATGAAATTCCGTGCGACACAGGAGGCGTTGGCCATGTCTCGACTCGGGATCTATTTCCGGAATCGTAAGGATACCTTTATGGACATCGCCGGCGGGCTTGCTTACCATGAGGATCATATTCGCTGAGCCTGAGCACACCCTCTTCATCACACGAGATGAGTGATGCCTTTCCGTCTGCGAAGAACAGATCTGCGCAAGCCACCGGGATCGGGTAGTAGTCCTTGGCAAGGACAACTAGCTTGTACGGATCCTCCTGCAGAGAAAAACAACGATGAGAAAGGAATTGAATCAGCATTTGTGTGGGGATTTACCTGGAACGCGACAAGCCAGACACCCTTCAGAGCATCTCCAATCACCAGCAGATTTTTCACCGCTCGTAGCGAGGTAACATAGACGCTGACATCCAGAAAAGCAACTCCGACTAGTCGTTCGTCTAAATCCAAGGCTCGGACGAAAATCTGCACGGTAAAGTAAGTAAAAAGGTCACTTGTTAATCAGCTATACCGTACCTTTTGTCCCATAGATGATACCAGGTAATTATCCATGCCGCAGAGTGCCGTCACAGGACCTTTGGCCTCATCACGACAGTGCAATTTGAGACGGTACCACCGTTTCTGGCCCATCGCTGGATCAGGGACGACCTCGACAACTTCAAAGATGTAGACCTGCATCCCATTAGACAGACAGAGCAGGAGAAACTTCCCGATACTTACAGCGCCCTTAACAGCGAGATCTTCTCCGCGGTTGATAGTCGTACTGACAGCGACGAAGTCCTTGGTCCCGGTCTCTGTACTCAGTGTTTCAAGCGTAATGCATTCCATACAAGTCACGAATTCATTTTGAGCAAATTCATACCTGAACAGGTGGTCAGTATCAGGAAAGCTCGCTCAGACAGTCAGGTCACGTACCCGTCCATGGTGGTCCACGTATCCGGAGATATGAGCTCGAGGGCCGAGGTCTCGCAGACAGGGAGGGACATGTTCGGCTCTGGCTTTCCATCAGACCGTCGTCCGGATGACCAATCATTCGACTCACCATCAGGCTCCCAGACCACATTCCGGTCTTCGTCATATGATGTGAAGGTAGACTGCAGGGAAGATGCCGCCACTAGAAGTGTCGTGGTGGGTTCGAAGACGACATGTGAATACGGTCGAGGCCTCGGTATAGACCTCGAGGGCAGGTGTCCCTCGAACTGTATCTCAGGAACCCACTCGATCAGGCTCGGACCCTGCAGAATCTCGATCAGATCGGGTAATGGAGAAGACCGGGAGAGACGATGCACCTCGTCCGAGTACAGCAAGAAGTCGCCCTTGGACTCCCACAGCGAACATGCAGTGAAGGCGTGGACCACCTGGTGGCCTGAAGGCATGATTTTGACACCGCCCTTGTCCGTCGAGAGAATCCAGCAGGGCCGATCGCCAGTAAGGAAGACTCCAGAGAAGGCCCGTCCTGGGGTGGGAGAAGTGACGAAGGGTATGAGCTGCCGTGAGATGCGCTTCTGCTCCGCAAGAACCGACTTCTCGACTTCTTCCGACTGCTGAATGTCGAATGCTCGGGTGACGACCTTCACAAATTTGACGCACAGAGTGGATGTGCGTGTGGGTGGAGGAGGATCAGTAGATGCTGGAGCCGGCAGAGCTTCGTAGACTGCAAAGAGTCCACATCGAAGGAAGACCTGGCAGATGCAAATTAATAAGGATACAACCCCCTTGGGCGTGTCAACGACCTACAAGGAGGTACAGCTTCGAAGACGACTCGCCCAGAGGCGCAATCGCGATCTGCTCAACGTCAAGATCTTGAGGTTTGCGTGGAGGGTCCTGCGGCAACGACAACGCCGGCGAATCTCCAGAGTCTACAAGCACGCTCTCTAGCGCCGAGACATGCGACGTAGAAAAGACTAGCGCCAGCTTCGGCAGTGACCATACCTGTACCGCTTAAAGTTAAAGATATGCCGGGCTGTTTTGGCGGAATAACGCACCTCAAGGACGCCCTGAGGCCGCACAAGCAGCAACCACTGTGTCCTCGTGCCCGCATTCATCACCGTCTGCAACGTTGACGTCACATTCTTGTCTGCTGCTGCCGCTGCTGCGTTAACCCGGGACTGGAAGATCCCCGTCGTGTCCATGAAGAAGCACCCAGCAATGTATTTCGAAGTCTGACATGTCTGTTAGGCGTGGGAACGGCACGAAAAGCTCCAATGACTTTACCTTTTCACCCATAGGCGACATATCCTTGCGCCGGATCTTCCCACGTTCGGGCTCGCCGATGAACAAACCAAGCGAATCGTCCTCACGGATGACCATGATAAAGGGGTCGCACATGCTACAGTATCTGATCTTCGGACGAGGGACGCTGCCATCGAGGTCCTTGATGATTTGGCGCTCGGTGCCGTCTAGAGCTCGTTAAGTGACGTTTCCGCTCGAGCAGTATTCAGACATACCGGGCTCAAGAACTCGAATGGCATTCGACATCACATGTAGAATCGCTGTCCCTTGGAAAAAGGAAGCAGCTCCGACCGTTGTGCCGGGTATTCTCGTGGTAATCTGGATATCGCTTTTTGAGGAGCGAGACGCGATCTGCGTCGTCCAGAGTAAGCAAGCTGGAGTACATGATCGACGGGTCTTGGGCCTACCCTCGACAAACCCGGCGACGGGTTGGCGTCCGTGCTGATGATGACAGCATCATTTCCACCGTGATGCGGGTTTGACGGCCTCTCATACGTCGAGCCATTCACTCTGACGGCCTGTCGCACTGCGAGCGACCACATTCCACGACCACCGCCGACGGCATGTAATTTGCGCTTCACGCGCGACGGCAGATCTCGCTATTGTGGGAATACTCAGCGTGAGGCCTGTTGCGGGATTGAGACACTCCAAGGCCTACCTGGAACAATGTGAAGCCACCCAGGCCGCCTGAACCTGTGGCTGCGACAAGCTCCGCGACAGGACGATCCTAATAATGACATATGAACGCAGGTCAGGAACACGAATCGCATACACACGCACCCCTACTCGCGTCAAGGAGAAGGTCATGTCGGAAACAGGTCCGTACGCGGGGATGCTATCACATAACGACAAGTGAACTACTGTGCGCTTCTTTGCTGACACACCAGTACCATTCGCCGCGCCCTTCGACGGCTCATCTGGTAGCATCGAGCTCGGACCGTAGAGGTCTAGGTCCGATCAGTTTGGTCATACCGAAGTGAACCCAGTGACAAAGCTCACCGTCATCGTCGTCCAGATCCATCTCGTTTGCTTCGTCAACAACAGCTGCGGGCGCGGTGTCCATCTCAACATCTTCCTCTTTAACATCTTCTTCCACATGTGAAGTCTTCAGCAACACCGAGGGCCCGGCCGTGCTGCCAATGAACAGGTTTTCGTCCGTTACGCGCCGGACTATCGCAGGAATGGTTGTCTGGGCCAGAGCCGAGCCCATGGTGAGCCGCGACACTGTGCGCCCGTCGGCATGCACCTCCATCGGATACACTGTTCCGTCGCTCAGTAGCACGAACAACTTGTTGTCGTCCACGAATACCGCATATGAGCCCTCTAGCTTCAGGTTCCGGCTTTTCTCCTCTTCGGTCAACTGAGGAAGCGGGTGGTCGGAGACGCGCGCCTGCCAGCCATTGACTGGTAAAATAACCCGCCTCGATGTCTGGGCTACATATATCAGGGCGTTTGCAGACACGATCACGACGCCACCGAGTTGGGCCGAGCACGGAACGAGGTAGAGGCAGTCATAGGGCAAATTGTCGACAGCGGTGAGTACTGGACAGTTGCGAGTGACGAGATCCAAAGTGAAAATAATTAAGCCCACAGTGTCCTTGTACTCTCGGAGCCGACTAGATGATATACGTGAGTATAAGGCTAACATGCACGCTGGAGGAAAGACATACCTAGTCCAAGTCTGCGTGTTCTGGAATAGCACTGCAATCGTTGGGCTATTGAATCCGGGCAGGAATACCAGGTCGATAACATGCTTGATCCGTTCATCAACATCCGTGGTCATGTCGAGAACGAAACTCGGTGAGTAAGGAATGTCTCTGCAGCTCGTTGGATGAAAGGCAATGATTGCAGTTGGAAGATGACATACCTCGTCTGAGTATCTTGCTCCATAATGTCCAGGTCGGCTTGGGACTGGTAGAACGGCAGGATGGCTAACGAGTCTTTTGGCAACATCAATGCCGCGCAGCGTGACAATGGGTCTGTGCGGAGTTGCGAGTGAAAGAGCGGCGCCTCGAGGGCCATCTGTGTGTGGGTTGCGTAAGCAAAGCGAGACAAAAAAGAGGGCGTAGCGTACCATCTGAGGTGCCCGTTCGTATGTATGTATCGAGACTGTCAAGAGATCGTTGACGGCATCGGACCATTCTAGGAGAGCAATCTGGAAGAATCTAAAGTCAAAAATACAGCAGGAAGTAGGTGGGCATAGCTTACTTTTGCGTCCTTGAAAGATACAAGCAAGCGATCTAATCCGTCTTCTTGGGAACTGACTATACGGATGCTCTCCATACCAGTAACAGTGCCATGGAGACGATGTTCGCGAACGAAATAGAAGCGTTTGACGGTCGGCGGGTTGGCTGTGCCATTCTGGCCAGTAGGCTGAGATAACGGAGTATTAGCACTTGTCCTTGCGAAGATCTCACTCTCACAGTAGAAGAGGGCAAATAAAATATTATTTTTCAGACGTAGGGCAATGACACAGTATTGCAAATTTTTGCAACGGATGTGCTCGTAATTCACCTTGACCGAACCCATGTTCACGAAACCTTCGCCAGATGCATCCATTTCCACTTCTCCCTCGACCGCCTCTGTGCCTCTGCGGACGCTAGCACGTCTCTCGCGCTCTTCGTCTTTTATAGTGGAGATTGGCGGTGCTTCCTCTCGCACCTCGAATACGCGCAAGAAGTTGGACCGGGCTACCACGACGTTGAAGAGGACCTTGCCTGTCGCCTGACTCGTCGAAGGATCGCTATTCGCTACAGTAGCGGGAGTCAGCTTCAGACACGCAGCATACTCTACACCGCTGGGTGGAAGAATCTCATGTCGAAGGGCTTGCATTCTACTCAATATCACCAACACGGCACTGATGACCTGCAGTGGACAGTGCTTAGCGTCAAAGATCGCTCGAAAGACTGGTAGTGATAACAAGGCTTCACCTAGCTTTCTTGTAACCCCAATGTTGAAAAGCGGCAACTGTCCAAGGTTATCAGCTATGGTAAGCTCAAGGTCGTGGCGGTCGAGGAAGAACAAGCGTTTAGACACTATGATTGGGATCATAAAAATAGCTTATCAAGGTAAGTAATGTGGCATATTCTGGCTCCGATCTGTAACCGTGTGAAAAATTCACGCTACACGTACGGGCGTTTGTCTGGCACTACCTCGTCATACGTGTCTGCGGGACGACCACAGCACTTAACAACGCCCTTCCACTATGAAACTGAAGGAGATACGCAGGACGTCGACCTTTGCATGGTTGCCGTCTCCGTCGCTACCGCTTCTGGCGACGGGAACCGTGGCTGGAGCGCTAGACGAGTCGTTTAGTAACAACGGCCAGCTCGAAATATGGGAGCCCGACTTTCTGGACAAGAACGAGTACGAGCTTGGAGGTGAAGGTCAGCCCGGTGCTAAAGCGCACGTGACGACGAGCTCAAGATTCAATCGCCTCGCTTGGGGCTATACCGATGGTGGGCGCGACCGCGGTGTCATCGTGGCGGGCATGGAGAACGGAGAGCTGGACATCTGGGATCCTTCTAAGATTCTCGCGCAAGCGGAGTATGTCCTTTGCGATTTATTGCTAAGTCTATCTTACACGTATTCTAGTGTTTCAGAATCGCTCGTGCTCCGCAACAAGGCGCATACAGGCCCAGTGCGCGGGCTTGACTTCAATCCCATCCAGACCAACCTCGTCGGGTCAGGTGCAGTCAATGGAGAGGTCCGTTACGTAGTAGAATGCTTCGCCAAATTATTAACTGTCTTGTAGATCTACATCTGGGACTTGAAAGACCCTAGTAAACCCTACTCTCCAGGGACGCGTAGTACAAAGCTCGATGAGATCACGTCACTAGCCTGGAACCACCATGTTCAATATGCGCTCGCGGCCTCCAGCAGCACGGGATACACCGTGGTTTGGGATCTGCGGGGTAAGAGAGAGGTTGCCGCCCTAGCTTATGGAGGTGGTGCGGGTACCCAAGCAGGTGTGCAAGGCTTCGGAGCAGGTCTTGCTGTCGGAGGCAGACGCGGAATGAGCGATGTTGCTTGGCACCCAGACAACGTGCGTTGGCTAATATAGCTACCTGAACACTTGCTTACATGCGTGATTAGGCGACGCGTCTCGTCACGTCCTCGGAAGATGACACGTCACCCGTGATCATGGTCTGGGATCTTCGTAATGCGCGTGCTCCAGAGAAGGTACGGTTCAGAGTATTGCGCGACATCACGCGATATCTAATGCACTCCGCCCTAGATCTTGACTGGACATGAGAAAGGCGTCCTTTCGCTCTCATGGTGCAAGCAAGACCCCGATTTATTACTTTCATGTGGCAAGGACAATCGCGCTTTGTGCTGGAATCCTCAGACATCAGAAATAATCGGCGAGCTCCCCTCTGCAGACAACTGGGCCTTCCAGGTCGACTGGTGTCCGCGCAACCCCGACTTTTTCGCCACCGCCTTCTTCGATGGCACCATCGGGATTCACTCAACCCAGTCCACAAATGAGCACACCGAGCCTTCTGCGCCGATTGCGACAGACGCGACAGACATCTTTGACTCTGCGGGGTTCTCGCGAGCAAATCAAGCCACGCTTTCCCTCAAGCAGCCGCCGAAGTGGCTCCGTCGCCCAACTTCTGCTTCTTTCGGCTACAGTGGCAAGCTCGTCAGCGTTTCGAATCTGCCTGGTGCCTCCGGCAGGCATCAAAGCGGGGTCGTGCACATCAGAAAAGTCTCCACTGAACCAGCCGTCGTTCAGCGCGTCGAGAAGCTCCGGTCTGCGATCGAGAGCGACGGGCTCGACGCTCTTGCCGCTGAGAAGAGCGCGCAGGAGCCTCACGAGATCTCTGCGGGATGGAAGGCACTGTTTAGCCTCTTCAAGGCCAACTCTCGGGACGAACTGATAACCCTCTTGGGCTTCTCAAAGGAAGAAATCAAAGCCCGTGTGGCTGAGGCTGTCGAGAAGTTGAAGGCGTCTACGGCAAGTGAAGCGGCGCCTGCTGAGGAGGACGTGACGGAAACCGACTTTGGCCCTCGCGAACCTGTTGTCTCCTTTGCAGAACCCGAGCGTGAACCTACCCCGGAGGAGGCTGACGAAGCTGAAGAGAGCGACCCTAACGCACTGGCTGCGGAGACGACCCCGTCGGAAGTGAGCACCGGCGCAGCATCAGATGCCACCCACCATGCCGACGGCGAGTCTACCACGACCGCCCCTAGCTTGTTTGGTGATGAAATTGCGGGCACGCCTCAAACGGATGCTGCTGCAGACTTTTTCGGCAGCATCGGCACCTCGCGGTCGGACGAGCCGCATGTCGATATTCCTCATCATAACTACCCACTCGACTCGTCTGTCGCTGCCACTATCGGCTCTCGCCCGTCGTCAGTAGCTTCTGATACCTTGAAGAACAACACCTTCAGGATCTACCCGACCGATGAGTCTGAGACCGACCGTCTAGTAACCAAGGCGCTTGTTCTCGGCGACTTTGAGTCTGCTGTGTCGCTCTGCTTATCATGCGAGCGTTTTGCGGATGCGATTCTTCTTGCAGTCAGGGGCGGACCTGAACTCCTCCAACGAACGCAAAAGGCCTACTTTGAGCGTCGAACCGCCGAGCTTCCCTACCTGCGTCTATTCCAGTCTATCGTCACTGACGACCTCGAAGACATCGTTCAGAATGCCGACTTACAAGAGTGGCAGGAAATCTTCGTAGTGTTATGTACCTTCGCCAGCCAGGACGAATTCGCGAACCTGGCCGAACAGCTGGGTCAGCGCCTCGAATTCCAGGCGAGTCTTGCCAAAACGTCTACTGCGCCTGACGCTGTAGAACGCGCACTCGAGTTCCGCAAGAACGCTACCTTGACATACTTGGCTGCTGGTAGGCTGGAGAGACTTGTCAACATCTGGATCGAAGAGTTGGCTGAAGAGGAAGCGTATTCTCTTGAAGAGAAGGAAAGCCTCCATGGATCGCGATATACCGCACACGCATTCGCGCTACAGACCTTCATCGAGAAGGTCACCGTGTTCCGCAGGGCCATCAAATATGAAGACACAGATCTTTCTCAGCATGCCAGCCCCGAAGAGGAAGAGGCGAAAACGTATAAGCTCGCTGCTCTCTACGACCGCTACTTTGAATACGCTGATCTCTTGGCTGCGCAAGGTCTCGTCAAAGGGGCCCTGTCATTCCTCAAGTTAACTCCTTCTGGTTACCACGGCTCTCCTGGTAGTCATCTCGACTTCACTGAAGGACGTAGACGACTTCAGATTGCCGCTGGTTCTAGTGCGGCTCCGAGTAGCTCTACCATTCCCAACCCTTCAACCGTTCCTATCAAGGCAGCGCCCATCTCCTCTAGCACATCCGTGTACGGATTTGGTTCATCCTATGGTGCGCCGGCTCAGGTCCAGCAGACTTTCGTGTCCCAGTCGTTCGCTCCCATGCAGGCACCCTCGACGTACGGCCCCTATGGTGGAGCTCCTGCGTATGCTTCTCCTGCTACTCAATATGGCGCGCGACCTGTCGCGCCGGGCCAGTCAGGTCACCAGCCACCAGCACCGTCCGGATACCCGTCCGGACCATATGGCCAACCGGCCGTGCCCAATCAGCAGCCTGCTATGCCTCCCCCACCCCGCCGTAGCACTCCATCAGCTCCTTTAGCCCCTCCGCCGAAGGGTCCTGTCGTCAAGCGCGACAACGGTGGATGGAACGACGTGCCTGCTCACGTTACCGCGCGCCGTACGCCTGCGAACGCGAATACAAACGCCAGTAAGCCTTCGGCAATCATGTCCCCCTTCCCTAATGCGCCATCGCCGGGCATTATGCCCCCCACCCCAACACATGGACAGCCACCGACAGCATTGCCGCCTCCGCCACGCCCAGGCAGCGTGCAGCAGAGACCGCCGCCGCCACCACAAGGCCAGCGTATGCCTCCCCCTCCTCAACAAGCACCTGGACCATACCCTCCACATGGTGCTCCGTCGCAGGGACCCCCACAGGGCACGGCTCCCCCGGCGCCGCACATGATGTCGCCATCGCAGGGCCTTGGGCTCAGTCGAGGCCCGTCATCGCAGGGGCAATTCACCATGCCTCCGCCTCGCGGCCACGTGTCTCACCAGACGCCCCCTGCAGCTCCAACACATCTTCCACCTGGGCCGCCGCCGATGCGTGGCACGCCTTCACCCGCGTTCACACGCGGAACGCCGCCACCGCAGCAGCCAGGTGTGTATGCGCCTCCGCCCCCTCAGCAAGGCGGGTATGCTCCGCCGCCCCCGCAGGGAGGCTTTGCGCCACCGCCGCAACAGGGTTCGTTCGCGCCTCCGCCTCCTGGTGGCGCCGCGAGGCTCGGTATGCCACCTGCTGGTGCTCCCTCGATGGCGCCTCCTCCTGGGTCCGGACAACTCGCCCCTTCCGCGCCGCCGAAGGCGAAGCCGGGCCCACCGCAGCCGAGATATCGTATGTGTTCATTTGTCCAAGCACTTTAAGACGTTGAGCTGATAGTGCCAACAGCTCCCGGCGACAGGAGCCACATCCCAGATCACCTGAGGCCGATCTTCAACATCATCTCCCAACAGCTCGAGATCGTCAAGCAAACGACTCCAGTAAGTTTTATCACGGTCGGTGTGCAAGTTGAAGTTAATTATGAGCCTCCAAGCCCCAGCAAAAGCGTCTCGCTGATGACCTCGAACGTCGCATTAACCCGCTGTTCGACGCTCTCAATTGCGAGACGCTGTCGAAACCGGTCTGCGATCAGCTCTTAGAGCTAACACGCGGTATGTCCCGTTACCGTCTCATTTCCCTCTGCCCTTGCTCACACGTACTTTCACAGCTATGGAAGCTCGAGATCGCGAGTCCGCACTTGCGATCCACATCGACCTCCTCAGGACTGGTTCTATGACAGATGATATTGGTTTGTGGATGGCTGGTGTGAAGCAGCTTATCATGCGACTGTAAGACCCTCGACAAGCGTTCGAAACGGCCCTCTAGTCTACCTCCAGGAGATCGTATAAATGTTTTTAGTGTTATTCCTTTCGTAGAGTCTGGACTCTAAAAAGGGTAGAGTTCTGAAATATTGAATTGAGCGGTCTTGTTCTCTAATTTACACGGTGTGAATGAACTCCTATGAAGTCGACATTGGGATATCTTTATCGCGAGTTTGTACACCACGCTGTCGTATGTGATTTTTCTTCCGCGCCTGCTCCTGTACTGCAATTCCTTCCTTTCGCCACTGCGCACGCTCCCACTCATCATACTCCTCTCGCGCGTCGATCCAGCGCTCCTGGACGTTGCGCACGTCGCTGCGTGGTCCAGGCATTGGGCCTATAGCGCTCGACATGAGGCTAAACATGTTCGGCCTCTGCGTTGGCGGAGCACCAGTATTGTTCACTGCACCCTGCGGAACCCGTGCGTCTGGTGGCGGAACGAAGACGCAGCCAGTCGCTTTATCTATAATGCGCATCAGGTGGAGCATGGACTCTTTGTCCTGTACAAGTGTTAGCGCAGTGTAGGGCATGAGAATAGGGATGTACAGACCTCGACCGCAAGTGTTTCGAAGCCGACGAGGCCGAAGTCTTCTACAAGAGAGCATATAGCCATATTTAATTCTTTGTATCGCGGAGATGTGGCGGTAAGTGCATTCTCCAGGTATGCCAGGTCCTGAACCTCGGTATAGAAGTCGAGGTTGAAGTCTATAGAACGATGTCAGCGTGGAGCACGTGGCGGGAACGACGGCTAGAGCGTACCAAGCTCGCCGTATTGCGCAATCAGGTCTATCTTCGAGAGCACGTTGACATGCGGAAGCTCGAGGTGTAGCATTGCGCGTAGCGAGAGCATGAGCACAGAAACAAACTTTGAGGCGTCCGTCACGTAGTGTGCGTCGCATAAATGTACGGCAGCTAGCTAGGGTACGGCTTGGTCAGTCTAAGCTTCCATCGGAATGTACGCATGACGCACCCTAAACCCGTTCTTGGTCAGCCGGCGTATCATACGCCGCACACTTTCGTGGTTCGTGCTGATTTCGACCTGGCCTGGAAGGTCGAAGAGAACGTAGGCGTCGTCGCTGAGCTTCTTCAGTCGGTCCTCGAGCCAATCATAGTTTGCCTCAAGATACTCCATGCAATACAGCATTCCTCCGTTCGGACCCAGGCCGTGCTCTTGCATGACAGCATCAAGCGTGACGAGGGACGAAATGTCTATTGCGCAGGGGTACGGGATACTATCATTTGCAGGGTCGAGGTTGACAATGGCAATGGGCCTGTTGAGTGCGTTGAATAGCTGGTTCTTTCCGTAGCAGTACGTAGACTTGCCGCTGCCTGGAGCACCACAGACGACTTCGCCAAAAGGCATGATGGAAGCGAAGGTCAGAGTTAAGGCGCCCGACGACGCGGTCATTACGCATGTATTCAAGCTTATAGCACTTTGCAAGCAAAGCAGCATTCCATCAAGGGTAAAGGTGGAATTTAACGTGGAAGTCACAAGCTGTATGGTACAAACAGTACAATTTTATGCAAGAGAGTATCGACGTGCGGAGGACACGAGATAAGTACGAAGCATCGGCGGAGTCGCAGGTCATTTTTCGTCAAGAGCTCTTGGGAAGCCAGGGTCATAGCAGTCTACAACAGTGCTGAGAGTGAGACTGGTACGGTGTTACACGGTGCATGCTGCGACAGCGAGCTATTCCTCGCGTGCGTCGCTTGAGGTTCCAGTATCTGGTCGTGCATTTGCGCCGGACGCGTTTGACTGATTCTGGGGCTTCAGAGTGGTATGCTAGGTCATCCCACGCTGTACAAGAATTCGGAGCGTACCTGACGCAGCTTTGCGAGATGAATCTTGAGAGTCTCCGCATAGTTCTCAAAGCCCAGAGTGAGCATGGCGTAGAGAATGTCCTCCCCACCAATGGTCTTGCGCTTCTCCATTTGACACTTCTCGGCCGCCTCGGAAGTGATGAAGCTGATGAACTCGGAGACGCATTCTTGCACACACTCCTTGGCCTCCTTCGAGATTTTGGCGGTGCCGGGCACAGATGCCTTCATGATGCGGGAGACGTTTGCTATCTGTTTGAACCGGCCGTCAGCTTAGCAGTTGACCAATCTTGAGGCAAGTACCTTACTGGCAAGAAACGGTCTTGCTCTCGATATTCGCCCACCTCCTGCTCTGTGATCGGTGCCGGCTCGACGTCCCGGGCTAGCTCGGGAGCTGTGCTGGAGCCACCGTCCTGCGGTGCAATATTCTGAGGTGCAATATTTTGAGGTGCAATTGGTGTAGGCTGATAGTCTGACATGGTAGGTTTGAGTCGTGTGGAGGAGCTTGTCAGACGGCGAGCGAGATGGGCGTGCAGACTGAGGGGCGCTAAGCGCCGAACACGACAGCGCTCAGCTCTATGCTCAACTTCCGCTCTACGCTCAACTTCCACTCTACGCTCAACTTCTGCTCTACGCTCACGGCGGCAAGGACCTACTTGACCACAAACAATCTGCATCTTACCTCATCTCCTTCCTTCTACCAAGCGTTATCTGTCATGCCCATAGCTTCCGCAAGTAAAGAGGTCTCCTCCAGAGCTGGCTCCAGTGCTGTAAGGCATAACTTACTTATCTGATATGACTTGCTAAAATTGTTGTGGCATAGTCAACAAAGCAATCTGACTCACAAAGAGCTCTCTCAGAATTAGAAGTTGAAAGACTTCTCAATTCACCATTCTGGTCACCTGGACAGGACAGCATCAACTATAACAAAGGGTTTCCTTGGTCATCTAGTCTAATGAACACCTTGGAGAAGGTGTTCAACATCAATCAGTTCAAAAATTGCCAGGCCAGGTGAGTATATTCAAATTATAATGCTGTTGTAAGTATCTAAGTTTTATTGAACATAGTATTTGCAATGCCAGCATAGATGGCAGAAACATACTTGTAATTATGCCTACTGGTAAGTTTTTGTAGCTGGCTTGTCAAGCTGCTTATCTAGTGGTATAAAACAGGAAGTGGGAAATCTGTCACATACCAGCTGCCAGCTATTTTAAGTAAAGGCTGTGCATTGGTTGTATGCCCATTAACTGCTCTTATGGTAACTTGAAGCAAGTTTCTGATAAAACATTTGAAATTTTGACATCTATTTTGCAGGCAGATCAGGTTTCTCATCTACAACATATTGGAGGTATTTTGACATGTTAGGTGTTTAATGGCTACACTGATTTGAAGTAGTTGGTGCTGCCATGTTGACAGCTGAAAATAAAGTGGACCATGCTGGGGTCTTTTCAATTCTTGAGAGAATGGTGTTGAGCTCTGTAGAAGAGCAGGATGAAATTAAATTGCTTTATGTGGCGGTGGGTCTTTTACATGCATTTCTGATGATTTTTACAATTTTTTTTTTCAGCCAGAGCAGTTGAGCAAAAATCAGAGGCTACGTTTTCTGCTAATACAGCTTGCTCAAAACCAATTGCTGTGTATGTGCAACTTTTAGAATATACTGTGAAATGCTTATTGTTCATACAGCAAGAATTGTCTTGGATGAGATCCATGTACTTATGTTGGATGGCTCAGATTACCGGTATGCAAAGCTACTGCTTATATATAATTGAATTAATATAAGTTCTTTATTAGCCCTGCATATCTTGAGCTTATTGTGAGGCAGCTATTCTGATGTTTTTCTGCAATGATTAATAGCATTTATACATTATAGCCTTTCATTAGATCTCTTGGAAACATACCCTTTATTGCACTCACAGCAACACTGCCCTCATACAGCCTTGCACAGTTTATGCAGTGTCTCTCTATCAAGTCATTACTTAACGGCAAAGGTATATACATTTTATAACAGTATAAGAAATATTTAACTAAGTTCTTTTTTTCTATATAGCCATATTGCAAAAAGGTGGAATATATAGCTAGCTGTTATCATTCATTAACAATTTATTAGACATCAGCAAGATGTCAACTCTTCTCTTTCATGTTCCAATCAATCGCGCCAACCTTGCATACGCAGTTGATATCAAGACAACTGGTGAACGAACAAACAATTTATATCGTTATATTCTAGACAAGTACAAGAATTGTTGTGGAATTATATACTGCTTTACTCAAAAAGTGAGTGTTAACTAAAATAGACTTCAAAAAGCTTACTGTAATTAAGAAAACTGTTACTCTTGCAAAAACACTAAGCCATGGTTCAATTACAGCTGGGCCATATCATGCTTCTTTATCAAAGCAGGCCAAAGAGGAAGTTCATACAAAATGGAAAAACAATGAAATCAATATTGTTGTTGCAACAACTGGTATATAAAATCTAGCTTTAATTGGTGCTATACAATGCTGATAATTTACAAAGCTTTTGGCCTAGGCATCAATAAGGATAGTGTTAGGTTTGTTATCCACCTCAGTGTAAGTTTGTTCAGTTATTTTTTATATTAATGGTATTAAGCAATATTTTTGTTTAGCCACCAGTAAGCAAATCAATATGACACTGATTCTCACTAATTTTATTTTAATTTAGCCAAATATGATTAGACTTGTTCAAGAGTCTGGACGAGCTGGACGAGATAACAAAAAAGCAGCATGCACTATTTTTTACTGCCCTCAAGATGCAGTCAATATAAGCCGTGCTGCTATTGATACCGATAATAAATTGCAAGCTTGTAAGCAATATCATTAACACTTTTAATTAGTCTGGGCTAATACATAGATATAGGGCATGAAGTCATTGCCTATTGTCATAATATGGAGACATGCAGGCAGATACTGCTTGCAAGGTAGATAAATCTTTCATTTATAAAGCCCAAGCTTAATAGCCTTTTAGACACTTTGATCTCTCAGCCCAAATTTCTTGGCTTGCCAATCAAAACACACCACCATGTGCTCTTTGTGATAATTGCACCAGAGATCCAAAGACTATTGACAAGCAAGATGTCACTTTGGATATTTGGTCCATTTTGAAGATTCTACAACAAGTGGAACTTCAGCAATGTCGCACTACTCTTCATAAACTTGCAGAAGCAGCTCGTGATTCAGAATTAGTGGATTTTGATCCCAGGCATACTTATCCACCTATGCCAAACAGACACCTTGGAACTGTCAACATCAAAACAGCAACACAGCTGCCAAATACTAAAAAAAGAGCAGTGGACAGATTACCATTGGTAAAAAAGACTTGCCTATTTTAATTTATAAGGCAAACTGACCTCCATCATTCAGATTGTCCAATGGATCTGTGTTAGCATGATTCTCCAGGGATACCTCAAGGAAGACTTTCAGCCTGCTCAGCAAGGCACTCAGACTTATGTTTACCTTGCCCTTGGACACAAGGCAGAGCAGCTTATCAAACTCAGTCGAGCTGAAATAGAAGATTCAGTGGACAAGATTGTCATTGCACTTCCTGTGCTCAAACCCACACAATTCACCACATTGTCTGACACATATGGAGACAGTGCAGCACCTGGCCCTAGTGCCCCAGTAAAGCGCCAACACCACACTTCTACAGCTGCACAGCCACAGCCAGACACCGACAGTGATGTGGAAATTATTGAGCCTTCTTCCCCATCAAGATATCACTTCCGATCTCAAATGCATGCAAGAAAAAGGGCGAGGATGATGGCAGATGATGAGCAGAGAGTGATTGAGATCTCGTCAGACTCAGAGTGAAGGAAGGGATTCTCGATAGGCACAGGCAAGCAGCTAGAGACAGAAAGTAGCCCAGGCATATCCATGCCAATGAGCAATGTACTTAAATCAGCATTATATGCAGACTGGACAAGGCAGTAACTGAGCTACCAGAAATGTAGCCATATCACCCTTGTGAGCCTGGACAGCATTGTCAGCGAGCAGCGTGTACGATGTCCCATGTCCCAAGGCCAGCGTGGGGCAGGTATTTCTGATCGCACTCATAGCGTGGTGTGACGTGCGAGCAAGCAACTTAGCCTTGCTCTATCCCATCACCAGTGGCCTCGACCGGCGATGCACAGAACTGTCGAAAACACTGGCATAGCATGTCGAAGAGATTGTGTCCACTTCTTGTCGATGTACGCGCATACGGATTATCGAGCCTTCATCAGGTGGCCTTAAGGTGAGCAACGTGCCCATGACTAACAGAGCGGAGCCTCTCCCCGGCGATTCGCAAGCCAACAAATTTCTTCAGATGTATGCCCGAGACGTTACAGCTACAGCAGTAGTAAGATATATATAGCTACATCTAGATGTTCTTCCTCCTTGGCAGAGACCTCTTCGTCGGCTTGAAACCTTCCAGCCACGCCTTTATCGAGGCCAAACCACGCTGCTGCACAGCGAGGACCGTCGGGTCAACGGCCCCATTGTCGCTAATGAGGTCTGAGCAATGGAAGCCGTCGCCGACAGCAATTGGCTGCTCCGCAGTGCTGACGGACGTTGCGCCGTCCGCGGAGACAGTCGCTTCGCGCCAAGGATCGCCTACAAAACGTGAGATTAGACGCGTTCGGAAAGGGTAGAAAACGCGTAGAAGGCGTACGTTGGCCATTTGCGAAGAAGAGGCGGTCGATGCTGACGTTCCAGCCCTTGTAGGCAGAATTGACAGATTGCACGTTCGGCACCGGGGGCTGGCTGAAGGCTTGCGGGAAGAAGTAGGTGCACTGCCGCTGGAGCAAGATATCAGTTTTTACGCGAAATGTAAGATGATCTTGAGAACACAAACCTCGTCATAGCTCGGTTGAACGAGCCTCGTTACGACTGTGGGGTGATTCTCCGGTGCACCCTCCTGGAGGAACCCGACCTGGTTGCAACTGTTCGGAGCTCAGCACAGACGTTCTGGGCTGAGAAGTTCACGAGACTTACACAATCCATTCCCAAGACCTGTCGTCGTTGCCAATTGAGTCGTCGGTGAAGACCGACTGCGTAGGGTCGTAGGTACCGAGACAGTCTCTACGGTTCACTATGAGCATCTTCCCCACACCTCGCTTATTGTCTGGCTTACACAACGTCTTGCTTCCCGCAGACTGGCATCCAGTCAATGCGCGGTATCATACTTCAACAGAAAGATGACTTACGCAGTTCGAGGTAAGTGGAGTTCCAGTACGCACCCCATGACGCGAGGGCGTGGTCGAGTCCCCAGCCGGACGCAGGAGCAACCGTGCCGTTCTTGACCTCGAGCGCGTCGCAAAATTGGAAGAACAAGCCCTCCGAGCCCGTGTCTGAAGACAAACTCTGCCAGTCCCAAAGGTTGTTCCGCACTACACTGCTGCTTTGGTACACTGCCTTCGAAAGCCTAAGAACAACACTTACAGGCACCGGCGACGTCATCCAGGTGTGTAAGGTTCTGCATGCCCCAGTTTGCCTTGAGTCCGTTGATCTCGCTCTCCGAGCCTTGCGTGAAGACCTGATCGACGTGCGCAATGACGGCTTCGACGTCTGCTGAGCAGTTTTGGGGCATGAACTGCCGGATGGGCTCGAAGTAGCCCCAATAATCTCTGTACGCGCATTTCGTCAGCATATTTTACAACAGCCGCCCGCAGAACAAACGCACATGATTGCCTCGACTACAGCAGACGATGCGTATCCCGCTCGGAAGAGATTCAACTTGTTGACCATCGTCCAGCTCGTAAGGGCGCCGGAGTAGCTCCCGCCGACGAGGACCCAGGGCGCCTCGGTGTTGGGCTTAACGGCATCGCCGCCGGGCATCGGGAGCACGACGTTATTCGCAAAGTATTCGAGGTCGTCGATCGCCTGCTGGATTGTGTGGAAGCGCAGGCTGCTCACGCTTAGGTCACCAAACGGGGTCGAGTTCCCGTAGAAGCGGTGCTCGAGCACGATCGTCGCCCCCTGCTGCTGCTGCGCGATCTGTCCGTTGATCGTTTCGTTCGCCAGGTAGCCCGTGTATCCATCGGCATTGACTTCGCCCGGCGTGAAGAGGATGATGGGACCACCTGGGGGCGTGTAGTCAGTGTCTGTCACTATTTGCACATTCCACAGCATACGCACCAGCTTTGTAGTACTCCCAAGTGTGCCAGTACCGCTGTTTAAACGTCCCGAGGCTCGGGTTAGTGTGATCAATCAGCTGGTCAAAGAAATATGTCGTGTTCAGCGGCGGTAGCGTTGCGCCCGAGGCGTCCGTCACGACGCGGTCGCCCGCAGATACTGGCGGCACCGACGGCGCGCGGGGCATGTTCCCGTGCAGCCGGCCATCGGGCAGTCTGGCGCACGCAGCTCTCGAAGCGATGACTGCGAGCAGCGCAGTGGCGAGTCTCCAGCCTGGGGCCATATCGTCGTGGCGAGGGGGGAGCGGTCGTGCGTGCTGCTATCGCGCACAGCACGTTGCCTTTAATCTTGTCCGGGCTGGAGGGATACCACATGCCGCAGACGTGCGGGCCACATTGCACAGGCGACGTGGGTTGGTCAGTCGCTGCGATCATTCGGCATCACTACCATGGGGCGACAAGAGAAGGGCGGCGCGTGACTTGACAGGGCTTCTGTCAGGGTGCGCTGTCCGCAATTGATCCTTTGCGTGCGGCACCGCAGTCAGATGCACGGTGCGGCGACTGCCGGCGGTGTCTTCCTCGCCTTCTACGTAACTTCTCAATCAATGAGTACATGGCGGGCTGATAAGATATGGCAGAGACAGAGCCCGACTTACATGCGGCACAGACGTATTCTTGTGCAAGGCGTTATCTAGAGCCTATTCGGCAGTGTCTTCGTTCGTGTTGTGTCTTGTGCGGAGACCGCGAAAGAGGGCAGACCTTCCCATGACGCATGGCCATGTGGATGCATACGAACGCGCCGTCGGGCCACATGCAGAACGGCTTGGTGACATACAACCACAAATGACCTGTCATAACGCGACCAGACGGAAATGATATGCATACAATAGCTTCTGCATGCCGCATGGATGTTTCTACGAAGCTGCAAAACTGCTGCCGTGAACAAACCGTTCGCCCACCATATCCCTAGATATCCATGACTGAGAGGTCAGATGTTCTCTAGAACGTAATGAGTCATAACTGGTTATATCTGTGCAACATCGAGCTCACAGCTCTCCCCAGCTCCGGCACTCAGCGCTATCGCTCAGTCTGGACCGTCATCTCCTCGGTGGTTGTCGCTAGTACTAGCCTTCTTGACACGCTCTTGGAATGCATATCACCAGATTTTCCGGGCACGCTACTGGATGTGATAGGTCTGAGAATTAGGATCAATTGGATGCAGAGTGTGCATGGAGCACGACAGGAACAAGAGTGTGTTCTCTCGAAGCGCTCCTCTATACTCGATATCTTCGGGGTCCCTCAGCTTACAAATCAGCGTCTCCCCGTACCAGCTCACAAACAGTACTAGTCTTTCTTTCAAAATCCTACGTCCTTCCAGACTTGTAAAGAAGCTAAGATGTTGCAAACGGAAATGTTTGGTGCGGTTCCGGCCTCAAGTGACTGTCTTGCGGCCTAAGTAATGGCCTATGTGCAATATATGAACGCTAGGGATGCCAAGACCCGGAGGACTGCCCATCGTGGATTGCGTCTCAGCATTCCAGGGCCTGCGGTCTTTGTTGTCTGCCTCTTCACAGCCACTTAGATGAGCATTTACCTTTGCTGCTTGCAGCCAGTTTTCATAATACACGATACAGTGGCAGGGTAACGTATGACATATGAACTAATATTAACGTCGGTGTCTGTATTGGCGTCACTGGCGTCCACGCGGCGCAGCGTAACAGAGTCTCCGCATGTTCGTCCAACTGGCGTTGCTGACGGCCGCGTCAGACAGGACAAAATCATCACGGTCAGTCTTTACAGACAATGGAAACACCAGATCCGTGGTGGACTGACACTGCTTTACACCTTAGTATAAGATCTAGCATACTGCGATCAGGCTGCGATGGGCGACGTCGCGACGCCGGTCATGAAACATCACTTGCGGGGCCGTCCTCGGCAACTCTCGAGCTGGAGAGAGCGACGTTATCTCAGGAGCTGGACGACGAAACTATCAATTATCTGCACGACGATGTAGACTCGCTTCGTTGCTGTGCGCTGGTTCATCGGCGATTGCTTCCAGCCAGCTCCCTTCACTTTTTCTCCCGCATATGCTGGCCTCCCTGCGACCATTCTCTCCGCCAGGATGCCAAAAGGCTCGATTTATCCGCAAATGGTACTTCGATGGCGACTTGTGCAGCCCAGCTGAGCTTCTAGCGTTGCTCACCAACATCTCCGCATCTGCGACGGCCTCAGAGATCTCCGTATTGACACGATATTATGGGCATACTGGACGCCGCACCAGGTATGCGGAAATTAGTCATTGACAGCCCGAAGTTCATGCCACGAGCCTTCAGTCATGTTCCTCACCGCCGCGTCCTCGAGAGCCTTACTCTGTCACCAGACCCCCTCGTCACCGGGTCTTCGCCCATGACGGATCTCGTATCGTCCTTCAGCCACATTTCCATTCTCTCCATTCATGCACACGTTCAGCTCACCAGTGTGCCCGGGCAATTCGCGTTGACGGGCGAACCCAGTACGGGTCGACCGTCTGAAGCTGGATTTGGCCCCGTGGAATAGCCGTGTCTGACTCGTCCTGCTGCGCGCGCCCCAGACGTCCCGCCTCCCTCCCGTCGCTCGCACCCACCCACGGCGCGCAATACGTACAGGACCGCGCAGGCGACCCATTCCATGCAACAAGCCTTCCTCCAGAGCCGCAACCCGCCTCCGCTCGCTCACCTACCGCCAATACATCGCCTTCGCCCTCCTCTCGCGCCCTTCGCCGGACCCGTTCTGGCCCTCCGCGAGCTCCGGTTCCAAGCACCGTGCAGACTCGACCTGCGCGGGCGCGGACCCGGAGGCACTGACACGGCGGTTCGTGGCCGAGCTGGAAAGGGCTGGGATGGGCGCCCCTCCGGCGCGTGCCAGCCGCTTGCCATACCGCTTGTCAGCACAATAGGGAGGCGACACCTGTGCATAGGAGGCGGAGGCCACTTGTTGGGAAGAAATCGAGCGTGCTGTCAGGGTCTCCCCGCTGGGCAGGACCTGGCTCTCTGTGCTTCCCACTCTTTTCGGTGACGGGGATGGCGATTATAATTTCGGCGAGACGTGTGCTTGATAACAGCACACACCCGGCGCACCAGTTGTACAGTGTTTGTTATTGTACACAATAAGCGTGCCTAAGGTACTCCTTCAATAATACCTAAACAAACAGATAGAAAATTATTTCGCGTCCCTCCCGCTCGTGTTTGACTTGAGATTCCTGATGTACGTATGTTACATTCGTGGCGAGCTATTCGCACTGGCGGTTTTCCGCGAGTACAGGCTCGAGAAGGAGCCATGTCGTGACGAGCGTGTCTCGGGGCCGTCTTCACGGCCGACGGAGGATTTGCTGAGCGCTTTCATGACACCCCTGACCCATCCCGCGCGTGAGCAACAACAACATCCACCACCACCACCACCGAAGCAAAAGAAAAGAGCAAGAAAAACGCACCGTTGTGTGGCGTCGAAGTAGTTCTCGCGGTCCGCAAGCTTCGAGTGCGTCTTCACGGACGCGCCCTGCGCGGAGATGTCGATGCCGCGGTCGTGCAATCTGCGTAGGACGATCAGCTTCGGAAGGGACGGGGCGGCGGAGAGAGACGAGGCGCACTTGTCTTTGGAGGCGCGGATGCCCTTCTGAAGTTGTTCCCGGAGGTAGATGACGCCGTAGACTGCTGAGGCAATCAAGGAGATGGTCTGGAGGCGACGAGTGTGAGAGACAACGCAGGGTGAAGTAGAGAGATAGGACATACGAGGGTGAGGGAAAGGTAGTCAGTCCTGTAGAGCACACGTGAGCAGGTACGTTCGGTTGTTTAACGTGGGAGCTCACCAGCTGGCCATAGTTTGCGAGTGCGGGGTTCGAGAACGAGACGAGTTGTTAAAGTTGGTACCAAGCCGGGTGTCAAGTGGATGATGTCTGGGTCGTGAGTGCGTGAGAGGTCGATGAGATATGAGCTGAGCTCCGAGTGCTATGTAAGAGGAAAAGGAGAGGGACAAGGATGAAGGGGGACAGATTATAGGAGGCGGAGAGAGAATGAATAGAGAGGAGCAGGCTACTTGATATAGTTGCGCCGCGCACGGCGCGCCGATCCAGAAAAGCGCGCTCGTCACCGCCCCAGATATCGTCATCATAGAACTGCCTTTCCGGGCCCCTCATCAAACGCTCAACCACTGCGCGCTGCGCTGTTTGCGCATCGCCTTTGAGCTTGTCTTTGTCACCGCACCCAAACATCGCCTCACATACCTCTCTGTATGAGGCTTTTTTCATGAGCTTGAGCCTGAAATTTGAATCTGTGTGGACTTGGCTCTACCTCGGCGAGTAACGACTGTTACATTTTGCATCGTCTCAGCTTCATCAAGCTTCAGAAGCCTTGGATCTGTCTCAAGCCCTCTACTACGATCTCTGAAAATGCGCTGTTGGTTGCATCGCATCATGGCTCAGTGGCGGTGCGGTTAGAGGGCGGATTTGTGACTGAGGTGCGAGACTACATACTGCTACGCAATGAGTTGTCGCTGCGTTAGAAATCCAAGCAACGGTCGCCTATGACTCTTACACCTCGGCGATCGCGGTTACTTTGTCCAGGAGCGCTTGTGCCTCACAGCTACTCTCGCCACAAGCCCCGCCACAGCCAGACCGCGTCATGCACGTGTTTGTTTTTGCTTCCACCTAGGCGCGGTGGAGTTGTCGGAGACACGTCGTGACGTCAGTCTGCCTCCGGGACCGCACTTCCTGGCAAATCTCTCCGACTATGGGCATCGTAGAACCTTGAGGGGCAGGGGCGCGGTGCGCCGCGGCGGGTGGACCCCGTCAGATAGGCTTGGTGCGTCCCTGTGAGGTCATGTCCTCCGTCCTTGACGTATTACTACCCGCCTTCCGCGTCTCCCCCTCCCTCCATTCCCTCAACACCGTCGGCACCCCCGTCGACGCCTCCAGCAGTCACGACGACCACGACAGCGACGACATCACACTCACAACCAGCTCAAAGCTATGGCGGCCGTACGAGCCGGCGATCGCCTCATACCCACCGAAGACAACCCAAGTCGTACGTCGCGCCGCGCTCGCGTGCATGTCTTGATCTGACCTCCCTACAGCTTTGCAGGGAACTAACCCACCTGCGGACAAAGCCTTGCCACCAACACCCGCACCCAATACCTCCAATGGTGCGGTCAACGGAAACGTAAGCGGACAGAAGCCGAACGCCAATGCCGCCCCTGCCCCTGCCGTCTCCTCCGCTCCTCCGGCCAACGGAGCCGCGAACCCACCTCCTGCCACCTCCTCGGAAACGACGCAGCCCGCAGGCAAGCCGAAGAAGTCCGGCCAAGATGAGAAGAAGGAGCTCATGGAGAGAATGAAGCCCCCCAAAGGTTCGAAGCCAACCGACCTTGCGCAGCAGAAGGGCGACCGCTGGGCCAAGGACCCCGTTACTGGCGGCATGGTCCTCATCCACGACCCCGATCTCAAAGGTGCGTGTGTTTGCTGCTGCTTCCTTGAATGAGCGTGGGCCAACACGCGCTGTTAGACTTCCGTGACAGGGGCCTCGACAACGAGGCGTTGGACCCTGCCCACCCCAAGACGGGCACGGCCGCACGCCGTCCGCCCTCGCCCTCGAAGATGGACCCCAGCCTGCCCGCCCCTGCCCCTGCCGAGCCCGGTAACATCTGCAACCAGCCCTTCCCGCCCGAAGTCGACGAGGCCGACCTCTCCGCGGCGCGCAGCATCCTGCGCACGGGCGCGCTCGGCGCCACCGCGCTCTGCGCTCTCACCTGGCTCGCCACCGCCTGCAGCAAGCACGTCGGCTGGCTCGCGTTCTGCGTCCGGAGCGGCCTCATATGGGGCACGGCCGCCGTCGTGTGGGTCGGCGCGGAGAACGCCGTGCGCAAGGTCGAGAAGGAGCTCGACCGCGTCCGGTTCGGCCTCCTCAACAAGCGCGCGGCCGTGCACAGCCCGCCGACGCCCGAGTCCGTCGAGTGGCTGAACGCGATCGTCAAGCTCGTCTGGGGCCTCGTGAACCCCGAGATGTTCGTCCCCATCGTTGACGTGAGCACACGCACGCGCCTCCGGAGCGATACGTGCCCATGCTGAACGCACCTCCCACAGATGGTCGAAGACACGCTCCAGGCCTCGCTCCCGTCCTTTGTCGACGCCGTGCGCATTGCGGACATCGGCCAGGGCACGAACCCGGTGCGCATCGTGTCGATGCGCGCGCTGCCGGATCAGCCAGGACACCCGGATTACCCCCGGGAAGAGTGGGTCGGCTTGGACCAGGACGAGGCGAGCCGCAAGAAGGCCGCGGCGGCCGAGTCCGGGGACTCGGAGGACCCTGCGAAGCAGATTGACACGGACCAGACTGGCGATTATTTGGTGCGTTTTGTTGCGTCGAGCATCGAGCGCGTTCGGAGGCTGACCTGCCGGAGCGCAGAATTACGAGATCTCGCTTTCTTACCAGGCTCTCCCGGGCCAGCGGAAGAAGCTCCGGTTCCACAACATCCATCTCATGCTCGAGTTTTTCGTTGGAGCGTGGGACTGGTTCAAGCTCCCCATCCCGATCTACGCCATGGTCGAGGGCTTCGTGGCCACTGCGCGCTTCAGGGTGCAGTTCGTGCAGAATCCGCCGTTCGTCAGGAATTTGACCGTTACGCTCATGGGTGTTCCCAAGGTAAGTCCAACCGTGTCGCTTGAAGGGATAGTCTTACAAGTTGCATAGGTTGAAGTCAGCGTTGAGCCGTTCACGAAGAAGCTACCCAACGTCCTCGACTTGCCGATGATCAAGAAGTTTGTAGAGATGGGTATCGCCGCCGCAGTCCGTGTCTTTTCTCCTCTCACCGCGACACATCACCTGACCCGCCTCGCAGTGCGCCGAATACATCGCGCCCAAGTCGCTCACGCTCAACCTCGCGCAGATGCTCGTGGGCGACGGCGTGCAGAAGGACACGAAGGCGCTCGGGGTGATCGTGGTGACGGTGCACCACGCGGTCGGGCTCGACGCGCAGGACTCGAACGGGAAGAGCGACCCGTACATCGTGCTCGCGTACGCCAAGTTCGGGAAGCCGCTCCACAGCACGCGCATCGTCCAGGGCGACCTGAACCCCGTCTGGGAGGAGACCGCGGTGCTGCTGCTCACCGAGGACGAGGTCAAGGGCGAGGAGAACCTGAGCGCGATGCTCTGGGACTCGGACAAGCGCTCGGCGGACGACCTCGTCGGGCGCGTGACGGTGCCGGTCGTGGAGCTGATGAAGGACGTGAGTGCGCTGGGGCAAGAAGGACGAAATGCGGGTTGCTGATTGGTGTGGTGGGTGACAGCCTGGCAAGATGCATGCTCGGACGGACAAGCTGCACGGGTTCGAGGATGCGAACGACATGCCTGGGACGCTGCACTGGGAGATCGGCTACTTGTGAGTACTCAGCGCTGCCAGGTGTGTTGCGGGAGCGTTTTGCTGACCGGGAGCGGCGCGCAAGCGAGAAGGTGCCGCTTAACAAGGCGCTCAAGAACGAAGAAAGCCCGAACGTCCCGGCCGTCGCCAAGGAGAAGCACGAGCAGGTGCAGGAGAAGCCTACCGTCGCCGACTCCCAGGAAGAGGCTGACGCGCTCAGGACACCTCCGGACCCGAATATCCCCAGTGGTATTCTTAGCGTGACTATTCACCAGATTAACAATCGTGAGTATCGTACACAGGGCAAAAATTTGCGAATGCGCTCATTATCTTTGTAGTTGAACGTCAGGATATCAAGGGTGCCTCTGGCAGCCGCGAAGGTCAGGCCGGGCAGGATACCTCTGAGCCTGAGGAAGAGAGCGAGAACCTGCCGTCGAGCTACTGCGAGATCATCGTCAACGACGACATGATCTACAAGACCCGCGTCAAGCAGTACAGCAGCATGCCGTACTTTGAGGCGGGCACCGAGCGCTTCATCCGCGACTGGCGTGAGACCGTCGTCCGCGTGCAAGTGCGCGACTCGCGTCAACGTGAGAAGGACCCCGTCCTCGGCATCGTGACGGTGAAGCTCTCGGAGCTGTTCAAGAACTCGTCGGAGGTCACACGGCTGTTCTCGTTGCAGGAGGGTGTCGGTGAGTGATTATTGCGCGGGAACGACGCCGTTCGTTGGCTGATGGTCGCACAGGCTACGGACGCGCCAACATCTCGTTCATGTTCCGCCAGGTGGCCACGCCGCTTCCGCGGACGCTGCTCGGCTGGGAGACGGGCACGCTCGAGGTCGTCGGCGGGATCCGCATCGAGCCCGAGCCGGGCCTCGGCGGGGGCGGGGGCGGCTTCGACACGAAGAAGCTCGAGATCTGCGTGACGGACGACTCGTACAAGGTGCCGTCGTCGGCGGCGCGCGTCGAGAACGGCGCCGTGCTCTGGGACCCGCCTGTCGACAAGGTGCGGCTGCCGGTGTACAACCGGTACTCGAGCGCGGTCGTGTTCGAGATCGGCTCGGGCGGCATCGGGCCCCTAGGGTCTGGGTGCGACTTCATGGCCGCGTGTTGGTTCAAGGACGTACCCGACGACGAGGAGACGCAGATCCGTGTCCCGGTCATCAAGAGCCCGCACCTGAAGCAGCTCAGGCAGAATTACAGTGCGTGTCCCTTGATATTTTTGGGTAGGATGGTGCTCACGAGCGGCTCAGTCAACGAGCAGACGAAGCAGACGCACAAGTATGAGGTTGTTGGATGGCTGACGGCGACGGTCGTCCTCGATTCGGGGTTGGATCCTGACCACGAAGACTTGTAAGTTGCCGTGTTATGGTAAAAGCCCTCCCGACGCTGACAGTAGCTCCACAGCCAAAAGACTCAGCCCGACAAACAGTAAGCCTGCTCCAGCTGCGATCTTCTGTGTGCTACCGCTGACTGGCAGTCTCGTCCTAGCCGCTACGAAGCGTACGACCGCGTCGAGGGCCAGGCGCAGATCGCCGAGCGCACGGCGCAGATCGAGAACAAGGACGACCTGTCCAAGGGCGAGCGCAAACAGCTCGAGGACGAGAAGCAGCACCAGCTGGCGATGCGCCACCGGGGCGTGATGCAGTACCAGGCGGCGCGGACGGGCAAGTGGAGCAAGGAGGGACTCAAGAAGCGCGTGTCGAAGATCAAGGGCAAGATCACTGGCGGAGGCGACAGCGACAATAATCGTGGGAATACTGTCGAGGCTGAGGCGTGAAGTGCAGGCGAGGTAAGCTACCAGCGATAGAGACGAACTTGAAGAAAAGTGGTACTTTGGGCTGTGATTGTGATTCGCCGATTCAGCAATGGACTTGTACTTATACACGATTTTCTGTATTCTGGAATAATCAATTCATGTTATATAATGATTTTTGCGTTGGTGCTTGCGTCTTGCAGTTTGGTCGAACGAGGCGAGACTTGGACGGGGAGAAATAGCGGTAGAGCGCTCGCCTTTGTGGCGCTCGGTGCCGAGGGTGCACGTGCGTCGTGGAAATTTGGTGAACAAGCGTGCCAGATGTTCTACTCCATGCAAGGCTTGACCTGGACCTATCCAACTTGAACGTTTGTTTCACCTGTGACGCACCTCGGCATTTTTGGAAATCACGGTTCGTCAGGTGTCAGTTGGCCTCAAGGTGCCTGAGGAATCGAGCGGCAAGAGTGGTCGGCGCATTTTGCTCACGTACGCGAAGCCTGGAAAGCTGCTCTAGAGTATGTATGTCATGCAGAACGACGCAAATACCTGTCTAGGAGCAGGCAGTGATGTTTCTCCTCCGCAGGGGAGGAGGCCATACACCAGAAATCTATCATGATACTCTGGAGCTCAGACGCACACGGTGCAGACCACCTCGTACCAGTAGCAACTTGAGTTTTTCGCACATATTTTCGTGATACTATACCATCACTGGCGGATGGCTCGCAAGTCTATCTATGATAGGCAATGTATTCGAGTCATGCACCAAGCCTCAGGCTGAAGCCAAACGAAGCTGAAGAAATCTTGCACTTTCAGGCGATGCAACTAGTAGAAGCTATGAAGAACTATTAGGTGAAAGCTGTCTGATACCAATAACGTGGAGTACACACAACCAGCCAGGATGGTAACGGGGGCAGACTGGGCTTCGGCACCGCTTCTGTCACGGAGAGAGAAACCAACGGTGGTACCAGCAGAGACATCAGTAGACCAGGTGAAGGAGCGGCTAGTGAGGTCCGAGAATTCCTGGATGATGTGGCCGTTCGCGTCGGGCTCGTGGATCCTGCACACACCGTAAGCCGAATGTCTGACATGTACGATCACCACAGACTTACAGCTACAAAACACGGCGTTGCACGTGAACGTCAAATGGTGACATGATTTCCGGCTTCGAGAAGAGACGGCGTACCAGAGTGAAGGGACCTTAAAAGACGATAATCAGTTGACAGACGGCCGGCTGGGTGCTGTGAAGGACTTACTATCTCCGTTGATCCAAGTAATGAGTGATGGAACACACTCAATAAGGTTGTCCCTAAGCGGGAGCGAGATTAGTTTACGGCGCAAGAGCCAAGCGTGAGCGACATACGGAGTGTTAATTTGGAATTGCGCGGCGACGAGGCCAGCAGATGCGAAGACAGTGAAGAGAGCGAGGAGAGCGTTCTTCATCGCGTGCGAGTTCGTGAACAGGGGCTGTCGAGACGATGGAAAGCACAAATGTGCGGGAAGCGACAAACCTGGAAGGTAACAGGAATAACCACCAGCCTTATAACTGTGGATTTTAAACTTTCAGGGCCACGGTTAATGCTATCTGGTGAGGTCATTTTTGCGGAAATATTAGGGCTTTACAGGAGGCTGCTTGAAACTGGGACCTCGTGATGGGCAAGGAATGTTGTGGTCAATTGTGCATCTAACACGGCGGATCATCAGGTCAATCGACTCCTTATTACGTCTATATGAATCCGAGAAAAATCACAAACCTCCCAGCGAGTGAAAAGCAGCGCACTAAACTCGTACGCACTCAGCGATTTGCACAAATTGAGTTGCACGGAAATGCGAGATTTTGCTTGCTTCATTCGGTCGCATCCAAGGATCTTCTCACGGGCGTACTATTACACCGACGGAGTCATTTAGAAGGCGGCTGTCTAATTAGTTTTTGCATGGAAAATGTGCCGCAGCATCGAAAATTCCCTACCGCCATGGCATCTAATATGCATTCAGTATTCCCATGCACAGCCGCGGGTCCGTGATGACCGTGGTATCTTTGGAGCCGAAAGGACATATTCATAGCGCGCTGGGAAGTACTTACCGTACCGCCTTGGAATCGAGCTGATTCCGCAATGCATAGAGCAGAGCCAATTTTTGCACTCTGCTTGCAGCTTTCTCTTGTCCCTTTCTCGTCCCAAAACTGCGAGAGTTATTGATGAGGGCGTGCTACTTAACCTCAAAGTAAATATCTGCGCGCTCCTCCTGTGTGGGTCCTCTCACCATAGACAAAAAACTTGGCCGATCTGATTCGGATCAATCTGGCTGCGCAGGGGTACAGAGAGTTTCTTCTTCAAGCGGTGCCGTATGCGAAGACAGTGGAGCGCCGCAATTGCGTAGCGCGTGTGAAGGATCTGGTCATCGATACTGTGACCATAAAACTCTCAGAGCCCTTGAAGAAAATTTCACTGCTGCGGCCATTCTCCTTGCAAAGGAAACTGGCCAGATATCAGGGGGGCACGGCGGTAGCTTTGACACAAGGCCGGGCCTGGGACGCGCGCGATAGATGACTCGGGAGAAGACCCTTCGTCTGCCGCGCGCGTATAGAACAGAACGGCCTCTGAGATTAACTTTCATTCAGGGTTCAAATATGTACCTACTTTGGAGCGCCGACACCATAGCTCAAGCGCGGTCGTGCTTGAGAACGGCTCGGGAAATATCGGAAACAGTTTAACTGAGTCGACCGGCTTCAATATTCAGGCATCGTGACGAGATGTGGCACTACTGAGACGTCCAATAGATGATAAAACGGTGCAGACGCACGTGTAAGAGGCTTTAGGCTGGCGCACAGAGGTGAGTGTTCTTGAATAGGGCCTGGTCTTCACCGTGAGAATTTATTGCTGACCAAAATACTTACAGCTAAAACAAGCAGCATGAGAGGCAAATATTGTGATGTAAACTCCCCTCAAATACCCTCTTGAACATTTACCTACCGGCCGGTACAAGCACATGGCTGTGTGGAGGGCCAGATCCGGATCGCGAAGCGCACTGCACGAAGTCAAGACAAAAACTACTTGCCACTTAGGGAGAGAGCAGGGAGCTTAACTTAAAGCGGAGGTGCTGGTTTGCAATGTGCCATCAAGCGTGACGATAAGCATTGGCAGGCAATGTGGACAATTAAGTAGGGCAAGCAGTTAGCTTAGCTGAAGAGGAGGGTGATGCAATCAAGAAGGACATTACCACATCGAAAGGCAGCGAGGATAACTGGGAGAATCGTATTAGAACGATGTGAGCAATGAGCTTGTAGATATGAGACTGTTGAATGGCAACAGATGGGGGAAGGGAGGAAAAGACGACAGGGCGTTCGTGGCGCTTGGAAAGTGTAGCGAGGACTTTAGCTCTGCGGCCGGTGGCCTGATGCGTAGGGCCCCATGCGATCACCGCAACACGCGTAACCTTACACACCGACTTGGGTTGCAGATTGAGCCGGATTGACGAGGTGCTGCATGCAAAGAATGGATGCGGTCGTTATATACCTGACTCTTCGTACGAACACGATGACATCGAAGAATATCATACACTGAACCTTGGGCAACGAGCAACAGCTATCTCACCGCTAACCCTGTTCTTCCCCGACGAGTCTTGAGTCTAATTTTGTATTCGCAAGCTATCCTTAGGGAGTCCGAAAGGCAGTCGGCCGTTTCTCATCGAGGAGAGGTGGGCGCAGGAGGATGGGTGATCGAAGCACTGCTCGCGTGCGCGAACGTGTCATCGTGCATTTCAGGTGGATATATGCCAGAAGGAGTGCGACCGTTGTCGGTGAAGAGCGCAGGGCTCAGACAAGGAACTGGCAGAGGGCGGGCCGAAGCTGCGGACACCTGCAGAAATGGAAGGGTCGGCGAGTGAGCGGAGATGGCAGAAGGTAGGGATAGAGGCCGAGGTGCCGATAACACAAGATTAGGTCCGCCGAAGACAGTATGTATGGTAGTGGTGTATTTGCTGAGACCGGCGGCAGAGACGACGTCCTTAGATATGTTTTCAACATGGAGCAGGCCGGGCCCAGCTGATCTCTGCGACGAAGACCCACATCACAAGTGTGCGCTTTGGAGACGCATTGCTCCTCGTCTCAGGCAGATTTCAAAAAAGTCGTAGGCAATAGCTTGATTAAAGTCAGTACGGCCTCTTCCATGCGGGCGGACAGTACACATACCCTATCCTCGTCTTTTAAATCTTTACGCGCGAGATCCCATCACATGTAGAAAGTTGTTTGGAGAACGCGAGCAGCTCGAACTGACATCCGTCCAGCGGGACGAGTGCGGCGCAGCACGTCAGAGCGCCGCGCTGGGTGAGTCCGAGGCTGGAACGAGTAAGTCGGTGGCCTGCAGCAACCAGAAGGCGGTGATGTCGACGGCATGGTGTGTGGGCACGACGGACAACCAGTGTTGCAATGTCAGCCCCTCCTGTGTTCATGGACTTCATCTGGCGAGGTGGAAAGGATCAGACTCGCGATGTCTGCCGCACGCTGAGAATCAGCTTGTTTGACTTTACGAGAGTTGGCTTCAAAAGGAACATTCGATCGTTTCGGTGAGTAGGCCCGCACAGTCTCCGACATTTCGACAGATCGACATAATCTAGAATAACAAGTCGGCTATGACAGCGCGAAAATGTTGAAAAACGACTCACAAATTATAGTGGCGCAGTGGCCGAGAACCTCTCTCCCGGAGTGGCTGCGGAGCTCCATGAATGCGAACCAGCTAAGTTGAGGCCAGGGACCCAACCTTCAAAAGACGCGGCAATGCGTGTTGTTGGTCTCAAGTGACGCTGAGAGGGACGTTTGGGCGGACGGCGAGTATCTGGGTTAGAGCACGGGGTGCGGCAGATGAGGAGACAGGACAAGCGTCGCGGGTAGGTGAACCGTGAACGTCGAGGTGAGCCTGCGTGAAGCGCGCTTCCACCTCTCTTTCCAACCACCATGTCTCCAAACTGCTACCTACCGCGGGCAGTTGAGCACCGCGACCTACTTTCATCCTTTGCCTAAGCTATCGCAATGCTCGTGTAATCCCTATCTTCTTCTTGTTGTAACGGCTAAGTGCTGTCAGCTGGTAGACCAACATATGCATTGTGACCGTGAACGTTTGAGCGCGGGAACAAGATTCAGTGCCCATCCAGTGCGAGCAGGACTGGTATGTGCTTTAACAAATACTCTTGCCACGTGTGCTAATACGTCTTCGTCAGGCAAAGCCGTCAAGTATTCTGTGCTTCGGTGACAGGACCAGTGCAAAATCACGGAACGCCATATCACGCATTCTCCGCTTGCCTCTCTTCCATCTACACCTCAACTGGCGTATCAGAAGTAGCGTTCTGTCCCGTGGGTGGAGGTTGGTGAGCGTCCCAGATCTTGAAACACCTACGTCAGGAATGAACAGGTGATTAGGCTTGGGTCATGCCCGTACTCCTCGTTCACATTTCATTCAATGAGAACACCGCTTACACATGCTGAATCTTGTTGACTGTTGCGGGAGTGGAGAATGGTACTCTAGATGGGATCCCCAAGCGGAAGCTGAAATTCGAAACCGCAGCCTGAAAGACGGTAGGCCTCCCGTTCGACTCTCCATTTATGATGTGCACTGATAGTTTACCCGCCCTCTAGCTGCTACGCACGACTGCGTCAAGGACTGGGCTGATGCAGCGCAAAGATGTGGTTTGTCCAAGATCTTCTCTTCGTGCTGACGGCTTCTACACTAACAACGTTATACAGAAGATGCATAACTGATGGGCTTCTGCATGCAGAACGAACCGCGCGGAGCGTGCAGTGCAATGCTAGAGTGACGAACGCTTCGCATTGCAATAGCATCTAATGTGCATTCAAAATTGCTGTGCGCGATCGCTGCATCAACGTGGATCCTCCTTCAACCGGATGGATGGCTGTGCAAGAGTACTGGACAGCTTCTCTCGCTGATCTTGGATCAAGATGGACCTCTGTTCCACATGGCAGTATTTGATAACAGCCTACACGCCCGTGCGTCGTTTCCTGAATCCCTCGCATAGCTGCCGTGGAGTCATCATGATAGAGCTATGTCCAGCCTTGCAGAAATGAACATTCGCGCATCACTGCTGTACATATTCTCACAGTAGAACAGATCAATACACCTAATCCGGACGATCTTCCAGTGTCACTGGCAATGCTTAGTCGGTAAGATACGAGAACACAACATCGAACTCTTTCAGCTGCTGTCCAGGTATCTGCTTTTCTATAAACTGAGACGCCACGCTGATGAATAGACACAGACTACGCTGGTATGTACCTGGGTACATTACGCTGCATTGCATACCTATGCCCGCCCGCATGTTGTGAGACGGCTGTGCGGTTTAGAAAGACTCGCAGACGAGTGTCAATCGCCGCAAACCTTTTTCCCGCTATCTTTGGTTCGTCTTAGCTTCTGCATCATTTTCTTTCCGCATATGCATGGCCACGGTCTGATCTGTACATAGCATTTGGACCTTGAGACCCTGTAAATACGGGTTGAGCCCCTACAATCGGTATCTTGTTTTTGCCCCAACTGTTTGTAGTCTGCGTCAACAGCCAGCTGCCACAAAGGCATCGAATAATCCCTCTACATAACCCGAAACATTGTTCACGCCGTCGGACAGTGGCGGACGCCGCGTCGCCGCTAGAGCCTTGAACATCTTGTTCCCACAAATACGGCTCGCTGGTCACCTACCCTGGCTCTGCCACGACTCGAAAACAAGCGCCACACTTCGCCGCCTCGTACAAGCCCCCCCCCCACAACTACACTTTCTCACCACAAACACATGGCGCAGTCAAATAAGGCTTTAGACCAGGAATTTGAACAAGTGTACGAGCTTCTCCTTTGTCTGAAACATGTCTGTTTGTCGCTAACATCATTCCTATGCATCTAGTCTGATAGCAGATTATGAGGCATATTCTCTGCTGTGTATGTTGCAGTGTCACCGAGTTCCAGCAACATCGAGCTAGTCTTATTGTCTTTTCAGGTCTCGTGGCTTATGAATATATTGTAACACTCGATCAAGAGGTCGCCGCGGTCTGGACAAGGAAATTTACAGCGACCTCAGTGCTACTGCTTAGCACTCGATGGCTTATGCTTCTGGGTCCGATGTTAGGGATTGTACCAGGGGGATCATCTATGTGTGAGTGCGTTCATGCCGCTCAGGCGCAGACTGACTTCACGGTATTCACCCACGCGCAGATGCACGCTCTGTTTTCCTGTAAAATCTTTCTGACGTGTTGATCTTTTTGTCACAAGATGCGCGCCGCTTTTCATAGTGAATACGCTGGCATTCCTGGCATTGACGGCCGTGATTGCAGGTATGCTTACTCGCCATTGCATCCTACTTGGTCTGATCCTATGTACAGTGTTCTCTGCTCTGCGCGTGTACGCACTCTGGCATGGGTCAAGGATACAGTATATTTTCCCCGCCATTGTGCTCATGCTTGGGTTGGTCCCAGTTGGGACAAATATTGTGCGCCGTCCCTCTACGAACTGTACAGTGGTCAAAGCTAACGTTTGTTAGTTTGGCTGGGTACATACTGTGGCTGCGTTCTTGGACAATCCGCCGTTTACTAGCTGCGAATTCTACATCAATGTCCCACCGAAGCTCAACTCAGAGTAAGTTCTGATCTAGTCCTGTGTCGTTGATCCAAGTACTGACACACTATTGTGCATTACTTGTTTCCCATAGAAGTATGTTCCAGCATTCGACCATGCACTAATTAACCCTAATGCAGCGCACTTGTCCAGTGCTCTTTCTCACGAGAAGCAGCGTAATTGCTGCTGACGTCCTGGTCCTCGTTTTGACATGGACGAAATCCTTCAAGCAATTCCAAGATATGCGACGACTCAAACTTGGCACGTCCATTTCGGCTGTACTTCTCCGAGACGGTATGCATCGCACTTTGCTCGTTCATTCGGAGCACAACTCATCAAGTATCCTACTCTAGGCACGGTTTATTTCATGTAGGCTGGAGTTCTTGAGATTGCGCGATGCTATCATCTAACGCATGATCTACCAGCACCCTCCTAGCCACAAATACTCTGCAGCTTCTAACTTACTCGAGTGCTTCCTTCCATGTAAGCAGTAGTCGAGATGCACCCGTATCCTGGCAAGCCCTGATCTCATGACTTCAGGGCAGTTTTGCGGAGGTCTTTATTCAGCTTATGGTGACCGTCCAGTGAAGATTAGTGGGAGAACCGCTCGTTGGCTAATCACCGTCGTTTACAGCCTGCTATTCTGGTGCAACGCTTCATGCTTAACCTCCGCCAGCTCGGCCACACTTCTGGTGAGATTAGCTCTGACCCAGAGCCCTCTTCACGCCTTTCCATGAATTTCAGAGTTCCCTCCGATTTCCTCGGGAACATTGGGGAGCCTCTGGACTACAGCCAATCAGAGAAAATCCATGAGGATGGTGACATTACGACGGAGGATCAACATGAAGAGAGCACTGCAGAAACACCATGCACAGACTGGGATAATTTCATGGAAGCTGGCGTTGCCCCAGCGTCGCGGTCCACTGAACATGCAGGGGACAAAGACAGCACTGGCTCGCCCAGCCAAGATATTGCTCTCCGAGGCGTCTGAAGCCAAAAGAAAAAAAGCTTGGCGATCAAGTACGTATGCAGACTATCCTACCCAAACTATCTTGGAGCAACTCAACATGTGCGCTTTGCAGATAAAAAACAGGTGGACAACGACTGTCACAAATCCCTCAAGCTGCTCTGCGCTGAAGTTACTAGTACTACATATGCCTGGATTTCTCTCTGACGCTTATTCTGAGCTCGGTCCCGTTGCAGAGTACGTCCAAAAAGTGTTTATCTCGATAGAATGACATAAATATTGTACACTGCGCCATTGTATCTGTACGATCACATACGGACTCAATAGGAGAAAGACGTTCAACTTTGTGGCAGTGATCGGCTGTGGCAATCACAGTTTATGATGGACAAAAGTAGAAACTCACAATGAGATTCTGGTTCTCGCTGTGCATGATTGGCTGTGAGTGAGGTTGTGTAGTCTCACGCTCACTGTTATGCGCATTAGCACACTTTGGTGCGTTGATGTGCATGGTGGTGCGTGGCCGTGTACAAAAGTGCACGTACGTGCACTACCGTCCATGGCAAACTCGTTATCGTCCATGCAAACTCGCTATCATCCATGTCAAACTCGCTGGGCGGCTATGACGGCAGTGCGCAAGCTTGTGCCATAGTGCACCTTTGTGCATGCTGGTGCATAATGTTACAATCGCACAACTTAAAATCATGCGAAATAAGCTCGATTAGGTACCCTTTTGGACACCAATGTGCACCAAAGTGCACGTACGTGCACTTCGGCGCGTACGGGAGCGCTAATATGAGTTTGAGATTTACACCGCCGGCCAGTTCCAGTGCAGTGACGTTACACTTTAGCTCACGCGCGTACACGTATGTGCACGTACGTTCATGCCGGTGTCCGTGCATCTGTGTGCATTGTTGGACGCTCACAGGTACTGTGTTGCGTGGGCGCGCACCCAAAATTGAAATCGAGTTTTGTCATGTTTCCAGCTTACGACGTGCCTATTTTTTTTTTCCATGACCAACCTTCATACGTGGCTGAGGAGCACGCGCAGCGTTCCCGCTTGTTCTGTTCTTCGCTGTCACTGTACCGGATCCGCGTTATCCGACTGCTTTTGCACAAGCTCTTCTCAGCTCTAACCATTGGGGCTCCTATGAAGCTCGTAGTGCGCCTCCAGGCTCAGACTTTCCTCCCTCCCTCGCACCCGAGCCTGCTCTTCCAGAATCTGACTGGACCAAGATTTACAGTATATTTGGTAGAGCTTCCCACCAGCGCAGCTCTGATATTGACGGCGTGATTCGGCAGATACATGCTCGATCAGGCTTCATATGCAGAGCATTTTATGGGGCTGCATAAACGTCGAAGGATTCCCACCGCAATGTCATTGTGAATGGCGTGCCACCAGCATAGCCTCGTAGGTGTCGCCGCACAGGCAATTATTGTCTCCTCGACAGACCTCACATGGCAAGCTGCAACTACGCCATGTACATCGCAGCGATTCACCACTGCTACAGCGGCAACTATCAGGCAAGCTAAGGGCGCTCTTCTCTTTTGCGTTTCCCACTCTTTTACTACACTTTCGATTGTGCTGATGCTAACGTGGCGTCTAGGCTATAGGCGACTTCCGCGATATAAGCTACCAGGCGCTCCTGCACTGGATCATACTTGCACCCAAGGAAGATTTGTTCATGTGCTCACGTGTTATGGGACAGTACTACGAGCATCGCTCATAGATTCAGGAGGTATTTTTGTGCGTAAAATGAATCATTGTGCCATTTTCAGCAATAAATAATTAGTACAACTCTTGGTAGAATCTATAAAATGGGAGCGGAATAGGAATAATAGGCCTATAATAATTCGAGCACTTTGCAATGAGAGACGTCTGGTCCCTCGACGCCAGCACCAGGTGACCCAGTACTCGATGGCTGCTGGTGTCTGCGCATTCGTGGTTCAATGGTGTGCTGCAATCCGTCTGGGATACGCCTCCGCTAAGCCGCGTTGGTGGAGCACAGAGCAGAGTCCTCACCTAACGGGCAGCCGTGGAAGGTCCAGCCACCATTTCGCGCGGAAATGCAAATGACTCGATATCTTCCTCTTCGCCTGCGCGTTCGACAGACCGCTGCACTCCGGCGACGCTGACCTCGGTTGATTCATCTCGGCATGTAGTCGACGGACCAGCCTGCGGTTCAAAATGCTGTTCGCACTCGCCCTGAGGTTCTTCAGCCACGCAGAGGTCGCCAATGTCATCTTCTTTCATCCGCTCCAATTGACCGTGGTCCAGAGGCTCCCCAATATTCCCAAGAAAATCGGAGGGCACATTGAAGCTCACGGAGAAGCGGGAAAAGTGCTGTGCGTCTGAGTTCGAGCCGCTTTCACCTTCGACATGGTTGAGTTGGCGGAGGTTGAGCATGAAGCATTGCACAAATAAAGGGGGCTGTAAATGTTGCTGCTTAGTATATAGGCATTTATTTCATTCGGACTCATAGGATATATACCATGAACTGCACAAAGATGCTCGCCTGGGTACCCTGCAGGAGGATAGTCAGCGTCTTTCCGGGATGGAGGTGCAACACCAATCACTCAAAGGATACTCGAGCCATTCTCTGAGTATGTAAGGAGCTCTACAATGTTTATGACAAGAAGAGCACTCAAATTCTGTGAGTTTTGCGGAGATATGAAGATGTTTCGTGATTTCTAACTTACAGGAAATACAGGGAACCTAGAACAGAATTCAATGTGTCAGGTCGTACAAGTGCAAGCAATACAGTAGCATACATACTGTCTCGGACTAGTACAGCTGAAACAGAGGAACTGAGCTTGAGCCGTCGCATTTCTTGGAATTGCTTGAGCGATTTTGCCCATGTCAACACGAGGACAAGCACGTCAGCAGCGACCACGCTGCTTCTCGTGAGAAACAGCACTGTATGCATATACATTGAGTCGTTAATAGCATAAAGCTAAGTATATTAAACGCACTTCTAAAATCAGCAGTTAGAAAACAGCCAAGAAATTCAACAAGCTGACACACTCTGTGCTTAGCTTCAGTGAGATATCACTAGAATCTTCACATCCTGAATAAAGTGAAGTGTCCGCATACATAGATACAGTCCTTGTCCAGTTGAACTAAATAAAAGTCACGGTCAGCACAGATATTTGTACAAAGCACAATAACAGACAGATAGCGTACAATGTTTGTTCCAACCGGGACTGTCCCAAGTATAAATACAATAGTAGCACCAACGTATCTCATTCTCGATTCTTGCCAGAGCGCGTAGACGCGCAGAGTCGAAAATGCTATATGAGAGATCGGATCAATCCGAGTTTCATGTGGTTCAGCAACGGCAAAGGCCCAAAGGTGTGGTCGGTGCTTACATGAGACCAGAGCCGTGCCAATCATGTAGCTCAATAAACTCAGTGCGTGAACTGGGCTGCATCTTGCGACGGATACAGAAACATGAGAGAAGATTCTATGAAAGAACAGAGTGTACACCTGCAATACGTAACTATGAGGTCAGTTTATCTTGAGGCTTTAGTGGACTCACACGAGGCTTGTCCCCCAGAGATAGTTGTCATAATCGGACCCAGGAGCATGATCCATCGAGTGCTCAGTAACAAAAACGAGGTCAGCATGAACTTTCTTCTCCATACAACAGCGACTTCTCGGTCTAGCGTTATGATAAACTCATAGACGACGAGACCTGGAGAGGAGATTAATTAATGTTGAAAGAGCTTGGCGGCCCCACAACATACAAAACAGCGAGCATTCCACATAACTTTCATCTAAACTGCATGCACGCAGTTGTTAGCGTCAGAGCCGGCATATTCCAGAGAGAATGAATCATACAAGGAGAACAGCATTTGCTGCAGATTTTTGTTTGACTGAGCCATGTTACCTGCAGTGGGAATGTGCAGGTTATCAGGTGTAGAGAAATGAAAACACACACAAGCTACATATAACGTAGGCTCTAGGAATATATAGAGATGGCAGTGCCACATACCAATGTTCATCTGATAGTTGCTAGCCATTGTTATAGGAGAGCGGTAAGGATGATGCAACACTTCATGTAGGCATCCCAGTGCAATTATTACCCGGACCAAACACTATTGTAAAAGTTTGTAAGATCCACCCGCTTAAGGTGGTTGTATGCCTAAGGCTGGCTGACTGCTCCTCTGGCGGAAGTAGACATCCTGTGTCCCACAGATAGATCATCAACCGAAAGCACCCTGGCAAGTTTCACGAAGACAGAAGCCACGGCCTGCCGGCAGCCACAAGAGCACGAAAGGAAAGATTACCAGGGCTCACGGAATGTGCAAACTCCTGTGAAAAACTATCTGCCCGGACTGTGGCCTATTCGAAGACTCGATCGTCCGATATATTATTATGATCATATGCTGGCTTACTGGGATGGCCGTCGGAATTGTTAAGTGTTCATTAAAAAGAGTAGACTCTAATACGCACGGTATAGAGTACATGTTTCGGACAGATTCGTTACAGCCTGACATCAATTGTCTCAGCTTTACAAACGCGCAGCTAGCCTACCGCCACCATTCAGCCTCTCTACCGGGCCCCTAAGTAAATTGGATGTGGAGCCTGGCTCACCACCTGAGGGGCCCATCTCCAGAGTATGCATGCAACTGCAACAGTGAATCAGCAGCTGATGGGCTCAAGGTAATCTGAGCCTGAGCCTGACCGTCGTTGCGCGACGGCCTTGGCAGCGGCGCGGCACTTTGGACGGTGGCGGATAGACGGGCTGTCCATATCAGGTCCGAGCCCCCAGTAATTCAGAGCCGGCTAAAGCAGTGCACAGATGTTATGAGGGAGAAAGGTTGCGTAACCACCTGGCAGCGTGGCTCAGGCATAGCAGCGTTGCAGTAGCCAGGAGATGGTAGCGAAGCGCCAACGAAAATGCACGTACACGTGAAAAAGCGCACGCCGGCAGACGCGGGCTTTGTGGCGCCTGCCTGGCAACCACCACCAGCATCGTTTGATACTATCCGTATTGCAGTCTTCCTGCGCTGTGCCAAGTCCTTGTTTCACTTATACACCGCCTCCGTTCATCTGCATTCCGTAGATTCCTCACCTCTGCAGTATTTCTCAATCTGACACGAACGGTCAACTTCAATCTAGCCGTGACCGCTGCTGCGCTCGCGGTTGCCTCAACTCAGCTGCAACGGGAGTCCCCGAAGAGGCTCATCAAGATGCTGCAAAGTACGTCGCAGTCGCCGCACGAAAGATCCGGACGGGTCGAATCTGTCGTCCCCCCAATCTTTGGTTCATCTCTGTCAGTAGGGCAACGGAACTAGCGTTTTCGAAGTTGACATTTCAGGACGCTTCAATTTGGGCTGTCCAGCGAAAAGGCACCTGTGTGCACCACGTTGATTATCACCCTAGTTGTAGAGGCCTTGGTACTATGGGACACAGGTATATATGGGGTGTCACAGACGTACGTACATCCCTAGGCCAGCAAGCACGGTGTGCATTCTTATCATTGCATTGCAGACTCAGAAACTCACACAGCACGCTTGCGTATCCGTTCAAATTGGTAAGCCTGTATTTTCCCTCCACATACACTACCCCTCCAGGTAAAGAAGACTGCTGCAGCGGTTCGGAACGATCTCGTGCATGCGAAAGCACTTCTCATTGCATCCAGCAAAGACAAGAAGCAGATAGAACGGCTGAGCGGGTGTGAAAAAAAACGCGGAGGAGCAGCTAAAGGTGCCATACTGGCAAGGCGCATTCCTAGTTTGACTCGGAGCGCGGGCAGCACTTGACAACTCGAAGCGCGAAGAAGCCGTAGGGGGACCAAGGTGTGCGTACTCACTACACACAGATACATCACGCAACTGAGATTGTTCGGGAGCAGAGTCTATCAGTGGACGCACAGCGAATTCTGACAGCCCAAACATCAGTCCGCCTCGATGTACGATCGCACAGACTCGTTTGCCCTTCACCCGCTCCTCAAGTTCTTCGTTCCGCTTTCCGTGTATCTTGGCGGATGCTGGTGCAGGTTGCTTCCCAACAAGCGCACTCGTTGCCCTGGCTCGGCATCGCCAAGCCCTTTGTTTGCATCACCGACCCGTTCGCGTGTCGGCGTGCCAAGCTGTTCGACCGCGATTGCAGGGCGCGTCAGCTTGAAACAATGCCTTCTCACCTTCATGCAAGCGGCCGCACGCTAATGTGTTTTCCCGGCGCCTTGTGTGCCGTGTCATCCGCGTTAAGACCCCCTCGCCGAAGCTCTGAGACTCAATCAATTATCTGCTGTATGCCTTGCAGCGAAAAAAGTACGTTCCTGAAGTGCTCTGGACGCTACTCGTCTCATCTGTGGCAGCCTTTTTGGTCCCACACACGGTCAGCGATACAGATGTGCGGGTCGTGCACGTCAATGACGTCAGGGGAGAACATCTTGAGAAGGAGCAGCAAGCGAGGAGAAAGACGACCAGAGAACGAATGTGGTCGAGGCTGCATAGCCCCCGGACGCTACCGGCTTATCTATCCCGTCGCTTTCTTGCTGGCCTTCCCTCTTGATCCCGCGCCCTCGTGTTCGCAAACTTCTGAAATTCTGAGCTGTTCTAGATTCTGAGAAAATTGTACCATAGTGTTGTCATGTCATGCCATACATTTATGCAGTCTCGATCCCGCCTTTGATGCCTTGTTCCGTCGCTCGTCGGGTGTGGAGCCCAGAGATGTGCAATGCTACTACTCGAAATTTGTCACGCAAGCACATCAGGACACGCCGTCTTGCGTGTTATCAAATCATTGACGAGAGCCAGTCTTGACATATTCGACGTCTGAGGCACCACTGAGAAAGCCGATTCTTTCTTTCTTTTCAGAATAAAACACAGTGACGCGTCAGTCAAGCAGCTCAAATAATTGGGTGAGATTCTTAGTAACGTGTAGGCAAATGAGGCGGCGTGGGGACGAATAGTATTATCTGCAAGAATTGGAGTACGACGCAAAAAGAAAGGCTGCTTTGGCGCAGGCGTCAAGCAGCACGGTGTTCGATGACCTCCGGCAGCCACGCAATTACAAGTTTGCCGTTTATCAAGACTGTTCGGGAAGCACGTATGTCAAGCTGCCTTTACAAGTCGTGGAGTATAGTTCTCACCTAATTAGCAGACGTGGAAGGTCTGGATACTGCGGAAGAGGACGACGTGACGCTATTCTCTTCACTCGTGTGTTCAGTGGATGATAACACCGAGGCAGGATCGGTGCCTGCCGGCTCATCACATGGCCGCGCGCTCTGCTGCTGCACTAAACCCTCTTCGAGTCGCGTCTGAGATTCTCCTGCCACATAATGTTCGTCTTCGTCGCCTTCTTCAACTTCGCGCTCCGACTGGCCATGGTCCAGGGGCTCCCCGATGTTCCCGAGGAAATCGGAGGGCACCCTGAAGCTCACGGAGAAGCGAGAAAAGTGCTGCGCGTCCGAGTTGCTTTCATCAGCAGCGCGGTTGAGCCGGCGGAGGTCGAGCATGAAGCGTTGCACCAGCAGAGGGGGCTGTGGGCATTGACGCTTGGTCAACAAATGTGTCTGATATTAACTTTCGTTATAAATTACCATGAACTGGACGACGGAGATTGCGTAGGTGCTCTGTAGATGGGTGCTTAGAACTGCCCACGATAGAGGCGCATCCGGCCCTGGCGCGACTCACTGAAGTGATATTACTCTCCGAGTATGTGAGGAGCTCCAGGATGCTCATGGCTAGCAGGACACTGAGAGCAAATACGTCATTGGCGGGGTTATTACATCGTTTCGTTACTCCTAGCTTACATGAAATATACCGTGCCTACACAAGCACTCCGTGAGCTACATCATGCACAGACAGGCGAAAATGGCATACATACCGTCTCTGAGTAGCACCGCCGAGATAGACAAACCCAGGTTGAGCTGTCGCATCTCCTGGAACTGCTCGAACGACTTGATCCACGTCAACACGAGGACGACAACGTCAGCAGCAATTACACTGCCTCTCGTGAGGAAGAGCACTGATACATCATGATTAAAAGCTCGAATGGGAGCACAGCAGACGCACTCCTAGGGAATGTCGTTAGCGTATAGCCGGATAACAAAGATAACCAGCATGTACTCTGTATTCAGCTTTGGCGAGATGTTGACAAAGTCCGCACATCCAGAGTACAGCGGAGTGTCCACGTATGTAAATATGACGCGCACCATGTTGAACTAAAAAGAAGTTAAATGAAAACCATTAAGTTCATGGAAGGGTGGCGTACAATGTTAGTTCCAGTTAAGACCGCCCCACTGAGCAGGAGTACAACGGCAGAAAAAATGTATTTCGCCCTCGACTCTCGCCAGAGTGCGTACACACGCAGAGCAGAGAATACTACATAGAAGATCAGTCCGACTTCAAACAATTCATAGATTCATATGCTCAGTGCTCACATGAAACCTGGACTGTGCTCATCAGGTACACCAGTGTACCGAGTATGTCAATCGGTTTGCACCTTGTGGCGGGCGCGGAGGCTTGTCAGAAGATGGTCTTCGAGAGAGCGGATTATACATCTGTAGAACGGCACCGTCAAATCAGTCTTAAACATTATTTAGCACCAACATGCTCACACCAGGATTGTCCCGTGGGAGGTATAACTGACAGGATAGGGTTCAGTAGCATGAGCCATCGAGTGCTCAGCAGCAGCAGCGAGGTGAGTGTGAACTTCCGCCTCCATACGACGGCAATTTCTTGGTCGAGTGTGATAACGAACTCGTAGACCACAAGACCTAAAACAGAGAGTGTTCAGCCTGGTGACGCGGAGGCTTGGCGACGCCATAGCATACACAGCATCGAGTACACCACATAGTCCTCTATCTGACTGGGCACATATGATAGGCATCAGTGGAAGAGTGAGGCATACATCTGAAGGAGGAGGCGTACATGGACAGTAGAATCTCCTGCTGCTGATCTTCGTTCGATTGTGCCATGCTGTCTGTGGCGAGAGGATACAGGTCAGTGAGCAGCAAATTCATCTACGAGCTATATATACTTTAGCTACTCAGTGCAGTTTGTAGCGGAGTTACTTCATATCAAGTTTTATTTGACGGCTCTGGAAATAGTGGAGCACTCCAAGTCTGAGAGATCTCCAAGACGCATTGCGGATTGTACGCTGTTGTGAACAGGCACCAGCTTGAGCTGCAGCTCAGTTGAGGCTTCAACCATCTCGCTTGCGGGACCGTCCCGAAAGAATATCAAAAACTGTTATAGATGCACATGCTCGAGTACTGCGGATAAGGTGGCCAGGACGGACGACGGGACGTACGACCATGCAAACATGCAGCACAGCCAGGGGGGATCCACCCATCTGACCGACCAGCTTCTTGCGATTGTCGTCTCGAGTTCAATAGCCAATCACACGAAACGGGTAGGGTTTGATGAAGCAATTCTAGGTGAACCGCCGGGGTCCGACCTTAGTCGCTCCCGTCGCTCGCCTCGGTGGCCTACCAAAGCCATTTAACTTCGTCGCAGCTCCCGGATCAGCTACAGACTCACTGACTGAAACACCTCATCTGTAAGCACGCATGCAGCTGCATCGCCGCATTAAATTGTGACTGATCTCAGCGGGGCAGAGCCTGGCCAACAGCATGCCGTCACTACAGCCTTTGCGCGCCTTGGGACGCCCCCGCACTGATAGGCGGTAGCGTCGGCAGTGTCCAGCCTGCGCATACCACCGCCAACAATCATAGAGGGTTGCTAAGAATCATAAGGTGTGCTCGAGTAGAGCTCTGTGTTCGTGACGCGCGCACAGCACGCGGGTCGAAGAGGAGCACAGAAAGTCACTGGCGAAGCGAGGTGAGAGCGGCGTCGGGGTTCCGGGCCGTTCGCACGGCCTTCAGTGTGGCGTCTGCAGGCTGCTCGTTGAACAACTACTACCACCTTCGTCGACTCGCATATCCACCCTCGCCTCTGCGGAGCCTGCCTAGAGGTGAGATCTTGAGACGAAAGCGCGGCGTCAAAGCCCTGCTGCCGGTCCGTCCGCCATGATCCGCACATGGGAAACCTATTGGCGCGGGCTCCGGCGTCTGCAGACTCTTCCTCTCCAGCCGCGACCTTCATCCACAGGCGTTTTGACCTCCGCCGCCGCCCAGCTCGTCATTACATCTACGCTATCTAACTCGCAGTCTCTTAGGTGCCGAAATCGGTCTCACTGTGCCCCACTCTTTCGCGACGTACCGACTTCTCATGTCTTTCTGGTCCAACATGGATGACTAGATAGGGCCTTGAGGACCGTTATACTCGTGACTACCACAAGTTGACAACGTCAGAGACTTTGACGAGGTTTGTCAAGACGGCACAAAAAAACGCGTCGCCTCCACGCAGGACCGCGATATCACGGCTGGGACAAGCCGTCATCTCACCGACTGTACCGGCAGCATCTACGCTCGAACGCATCAGTAGAGCACCAGAACGGGCAGTGTTGGAAGTCACGCGAAAGGTTAACCTCGATTTTGCTCTATACCGTATGCAGGCATCAGAGTGCGCGGCACGTATTCTCGTTACAGGGCAACAGAGTCCAGGTGAGGCGCGGATTGTTGACAAATGCGCGCGTCTTTCCATCCCTCTATGAGCTCATGAAGCTCACTTGGATCTCGTAGTGCAGATGGAAGCATTAGTGCATGACTGCGTGTGCGAACAACGAGCTGACTGCGCTATCGTCGTGCACACACTACCCGCGGAGAAACGATGGATACACGTCGATGATACCAAGAGTTCGAATTTTCGCACTCACATCACGTCAAGATCAATTAGCGGACGGGGTAGGTGAAGCTAGGTACAGAGGAGCAAATCGAGGGGGCATACGGGCAGGATGAGCTCTAGAGCTTAGCGCAGGCGACACTCGAGGAGTTGGGAGGGCGGAGAGACCGCGATGCAAGCATGGGTATTATCGAGGAGAAGAGTGTAGTAGGTGCGCGCGCTACTCAAATGCATGCACTCTACGGTATTGACATTATCCAGGAGGAAAATCCCATGACTATACGCATGAAAAAAGTTTCGCGATAATCTTAGCATATTTGAATGAACGTGTTGTTTTGTGCGGCTCTGCGAAAGCCAGGTCAATGGCAACAGTGTACTCCAAAGCTCTGCGCTATCGAAAGTAACATCTATATACGCCACCGCACGGGTCCGTTTGTTGCCCTCAGCACGCTCCTCAGCCACCCCCTCTCGTTTCCTCCGATGGCGCACCCCCTCGACTTCGCCGAGCCCCTTGTTAGCGCCACCAAGTCGCAGCTCCCGCCATATCAGGTGCCAGCCCACCGAACCGCTCAACGCGATTAAAACCAGGCTCGTTTGTCCTCGACTGCTCTTCCGCCCTCGATCTCATGAACACGGTTATATGCCTCGGCACTCGTAACCTTGACATACAAGGCTCGAGCGGGAAAATCTGCAGGGGAGACCAGACCGTGCGGAAGCTTGGCAGCCAATACGGGTTTAGAGTCCACAGGTAATGAACCTGAAATAATTGGAGAGCACGAACGGTGCCTAGTCCTCACTTCGCTTTACATGTTCAACCCACGCTAGTCGTCGACTCGCCAACCGTGCGTTAGACTCGATAAAGCTCTGCGGCGGACATGCTTGTCGACCATGGTAAACAATCACCCAATCGAATTTGGGAGGTGAGTCGCGCACCGCCGAGTTCTGCAACGATGACCGACGACAGATCATAACCTAATAGTGCGCTTTGCTTGAATACATAATCGAAACTAATTGAACTCCGTCGCCAATTATCTCTTCCTCTGCGGATGCCGACGGCACCTTCAGCCTATGCGAGCCCCGCGAATTGTCCGATGCGTATCGCAGATGGGTCTGGACGTGGTAGCAGTCGCCGCGGCCGCCCTCTTCGTCGACGTCAGCCAGCACATCTCGCGCGTAGATCTCTCACTCAACGTCGCCCTGCGTCATCCGGTCAACGCCCGTAGAGAAGCCCTGGATGAGATCCTCAAACTCCTCGGCCGTAACTTCAACGTTCTTCTATGAACCTGTGGACGCAAGCTGTCGGTCGTTGACCCCAACCACGCGGCTCCGAGGTGCCAAGTATTCGCTAGCTCCCCATTCTCGCGGGCGACGTCCTCGGTTTCTCGGCAGCGCTCCTACGGTTCATCCAGAGGTCCGTCATGGCGGGATATGTGATCGATGAGAGAAAGACACGACCCTCGGGGCCTTTTGGGCCATCTTCCAGCTCAGCGCGGGTATCGAATTCATTATCACCCTTGTAACTAACAGTTGCAGCGGCGAGCTCGATGGCGTCTCTACGTCGGCTTACATTGTGAGCAACATATGGGCGCACTGGAATTCTCTCATGCTGACCCTGCTTCTCAGACTTTATTAACTTCCATTTTATTTACATAACCTCAACGTTCCCGCGTCTCATCGTCCGTGATGGCACAACCATCAAGCACGACGGCAAGCCCAAGAGCGTGGAGTTGCCATCAGGTTTTCGTCCGCCTACTGAAAGGCTGCCCTGTTTATCACTCGTCGCAATCATCCTTCACTTCTCAATGGGACTGTGTTCGACGGCGGTGTCCGTGTAATCGTCGACGTGCTCACTGCTGGCCTCTTGGTCCCCAACAAGGATTGAAGGCTGCACCGTCACCGCGGCTACCTCAGCTTGGCGGTCGCTACTCTTCGGGTGGCCTTCATGCTGGCCGTCAGCTTCTCGCGACAGGTCACCTTCACCTGCGACCCCAACTACGTCAAGGACCACGGCAGCAAGCGTCTTAACTATGTTGACAGACAATTCAGGGTCGAGGCCGTGCTTTTTCTATCTGTGCGGCTTTCTCTGCTGTGCTCCAGGGCGTGAACTGATATGGCGCCTATGCAGACCGCTCCAGTGACTACCGGGCACTCCTGTGCTAGATTACGCCCTCGCTTTCGAGCGACTCGTTCGTGCTCGAGCATCTGGATGGGTTATACGAAGCCGTGCGAGGTGCCAGCTCGGAGGGCTCGTTCGGGTGGGCGCGGTAGTACCGGTGCCGCTGCCGGTGTTGAACGAACGTCGAACAGAGTTTATACAATCAGACGTGTTATCGAACCATTTAAAGCAATAAATAATTCCTAGCAGGAATGCGGACAGCGAAAGAGGATCTGAACAGATGGTACATATGAAACTCGAGACATAATCAATAGGAGATTATCATCGCCTAGACTCTTTCCCAACGCCAGCGTCAGGTAGCGGCCGGTAGCCCAACAATCCACAGCTGTCGAGCGTCTCACATTCATGCCTCGGGTGTGTGGCAAAGTCTGCTCGGATGAGATAACATTAAGCTTTCATGATAGGGTACCAAACACTGATACTTGCCTAATAGGCGTATGGGGAAGGCCCGGCTACCACCTCACGTGAGGAAGCGGGCAATCCGATGATTTCCTCTTCACTTGCACGTTCAGCAGACTGCAAGACTAGAACGCCGCCGGGTTCCACCGACCCGTGCTGATAGGCAAACGACGTGTCCGTCTGGCGCACGAAACCCTCTTCGAATTCATCTTGTGGCTCATCTGCACCCCAGTTGTGGTCGTCTCCATCGTCTTCATCTTGGCCCGAGTGGCTATGGTCCAGAGACTCTCCAATACTTCCAAGGAAATCAGAGGGCACTCTGAAGCTGACAGAGAGGCGAGAGGTGTGCTGTGCATCTAAGCTGCTTTCGTTGGTGGTGTAGCTGGGTTGACGGAGGTTGAGTAGAAAGCGCTGAGCCAGCAATGCGGGCTATAAACAAGAGTGTTTAGTCAATGAGCATATTCGCCCTTCCGAGTTGTAGATAGTTACCATGTATCTTATGACGCTGCTCGCATAGGTGCCCTGTAGACAAGGAATCAGAAACATCCATAATATAAGTCTGTTTTGGCATCAGTCACATCAAAACCACTGTCTTCAGAGTATGTCAAGAGGTTGAGAATGTTCATGGCCAGGAGGGCACTGAGAGTTCATGTTTCAGACAGAACCCGGGTGGGTCACTAGGAAGGTTCATGACATTAAGTAGCTTACAGGAAATAGAGGGTGCCTAGAATAACATTGTATGAGTTACATTGCGCACAGGAGAGAGAGAGAGAGATGCGCTTGCCGTCTCGGAGAAGCACGGTGGAGATAGACAGTCCGAGGTTTACTCGTCGCATCTCTATGAGCTGCTTGAATGACTTGATCCACGTCAGCACAAGGACAATGATGTCGGCAGCAATCAAGCTGCATCTGGTGAAATAGAGTACTGCACACATTGAAATGACAATTAACAGTGTAAATATGAGAAAGGCAGGCTCACACCTAAGAAGAGCAGTCAGCATAGAACCAAGTAGTACAACAAGTCTACACCTACTCTATGTTCAGCTTCCATGAAATGTTGGCAACACTGGCACATGCGGAAAGTAGTGGAGTATCCACGTATACATGTGCAGTACGCGCCCACTGGAACTGAACTCAAGTCAGTATAAATACTATATGACTTGCTAAAGAATGACGCACAATATTTGTTCCAACGGGAACTACTCCGAGTATGAGTGGGGCAGCGAGGCAGACATATTTCATTGGTGAACCCTGCCAGAGTGCGTACACACGCAGAGCAGAGAACACTACATGGCAAACAATTGGTGAAAATTCTTGCAATTAAACAACAATTATGGCGATACTCACATGAGAGCAACACTGTGCCTATCAAGTACACAAGCATACCTAGCATATATCCTGGGATGCACCTTGTGCCAGATGCAATTATTCGTTAGGGAGATTTGTACAGAATAGAGTGTTCGCCTTTATAACAATAATATGAGTCTAGGCTACCTTTTATAATTTACTGGACTCACACCATATGTATGTTGGGGGTGTAGCATCCAGAATCGAGCCGAGAAGCATGAACCACCGAATACCAAGCAGCAGCATCGAGGTGGCCGTGAACCTTCTTTTCCAAACTACGGCGACCTCTTGGCCCAGCGTTATAGTATATTCATAGACTACAAGGCCTGCAAACAAAGTTTTTCAGTGAACCACTGCCGGAGTTAGATAACACCACAGCATACAGGCTACCGAGTTTATGATATAGTTAGACGTCAGACTGGGAATATATGGTATAAATCAGTGGCATAAACAGCGTGCTTTAAAGGGAGAGAATACGTACGTGACTAAAAACCGCTGCCGCATGTCTTCGCTTGACTCAGTCATGTCGTTCGTGGTGTGCTGAAAGGTTTACGTTGGCCAGTGCAGGCCGACAGGCGCACTCACCTACAATTTATATACACCGCAGCCTCTAGGATCATCGCGGAAAGAGCCTCCATACCAGACATTACTTGACAGTTGCTAGCCGTTACGAGAGCAGGAGATTAGGTGTGATGCGGTGCCTATGGTGAATATTGTTGCAGTTTGATTATTTCTGTGATTGAACCCTGCTATAACTTTGTGGGAGCTTTCATCACTCGAGATGGGCTTATTAGCCGCATTTTTTTTTGGAAGCAGATCTTATGTCATATAGCGCGGAATCATTATCCATTGAAGACGATAGCATGGCAAAACTCGAGAGAAGAACTAGTAGGACGTCGAATGAGAGACTATGGTGACAAATCGCAGAATGCGCACAGCTGCCAACAAGCATCTTTGAAATGCAACTTAATTGAGGGTTCGCCTGACTTTCTGGTTCTTCTATTCGCATTACCGTTGTGGTAGTATTTAGCCTCATCGCTGTCTCTGGAACAGATGCAGACTTGCTGTCTGACAAGCCGGGTCTCCAGAGCACCCATGCAGCTGACACTGGGTATCAACGCCCGAGATAATCTGATGAGTAAAGTTTGGCAGATGTGGGGCGCACCGTGCATTGCGATGGTATCTGACACGGTCGGCGGTGTTAGCGGTACGGCCTGGTCGCGATAGTTATTGGCACCCGTAGTCGAGAACGCGACGTTGAACGTCATAAATGTAGTGAGGAAGCCATGTGTGACACTCGTTTACGTGGTGTAGAGGACGAGTCAGGGCATGGAAGTGCTTAGAGACAGTGCAAGAGCGGGCGCCGCCCGCGTGGAAAAGCGCGCAGGGTTTGTGGCGCTTACCTGACTACTTCCATCACCTACGCCGTCGCCAGGTTCGATAATGTCAATAACTCAACAGTGATATCCACATCATAGCCTCTCCCTCGACGGGTTTCTGTTTTCCTTGTATGCTAGCTGTGTCACTACTCTTACTACGCGTTGCGCGAATCTCTCGCCTCTCGCTTTGGCATTTCCAAGCACCACATGAACTACTAGCTAAAGGTCTTTACATCCACTGTACTCCTAGTTGCCAGCAGTCTTTTGTGCAGAAAGTTCTCGAACAGGTTCATCAAGATGCTGCAAAGCTGTGCTTTGTCGTCTTCGCTCAAGACTACGATATTCATCGGAGCGGGCTGAAGCTGTCGTTCTATCAGTGATCTCTCATGAGCAGCGCCAGCGTTCAGCGTTACCAGCGCGACAACGGAAGAGATGTTTCTTCGGACAAGCCCAAGAGCAGTCTCTATTTCGGGTGTACAGCGTGAAGGCGTTCGAGCACGCAGCCGAGCGTTCATTACCATCTTTGGCACAGAGGCAGCCATGCGGGGCATAATGATATGCATGTGTATCAAAGCGGTGCGTTTCTCTTTCAGAATTTAAGCCCGTGAAGCTCATGTTTGTTCCGTTGTAAGCCTAGGAGCTCGTGGAACGTATGCACGTATGGAAACACCTATGTATTTGCTCCGCATACACCGCGCATCGGGAACGAAGAAGACGTCGCGAGGGCATGTAACTATCATCCGAAGATGGAGACACCCTGTATCTCAGTGATGGCGGTAGATGGACTGAGCGGCGCAGTTAGACGGAGGGAAGTGGTTGAGGATGGCGCACGAGCAGGTTGGGTTCTTGGGTCAAATGCGGGCACCGCCTAGGACATTCAGGGCAGAGGGCAGAGTGAAGAGGTAGAACCATGATTGCAACTAAAACATCAAGAAGTCAAGGTGCGTCTACTGCGCATGTATGTGTCCGTCTCGTTGATATCGTCTGAAAGCGATGCTCATCGATACACATACGATAGAAACTGAACCACTCCGGCTTGTCTGGAAGTGCAAGTTGTTCTGTCACCACTTTGCGGCTAGCAAGCTACTGCTTTCCAAAGGGCGAGCTCTAAGATCCAGCGCTCGGCGGACATGAGCGTCATCACGAGCGACCACACGGACCCGTTCACGACATTGAGCACATCACTCAAACTTGCTATCTCTTCTTGATGCGCCCTGGCTGATGTTAGTACAAGCTTGCCACTACAAGCATGTGCTTCCGCTGCCTCAGCTTGGCCTCATCGAATCCATCACCGGCATCACCGACTTGCGGTATTCATTCACGTCCCAGCGTACCAAAATGCTCTCCGCGATCGCCGGACACATCTCGAAGTAGGACCTGCTCGTGCCTGGGCGCAGATGACGCGGGTGCGCTTGCACGAAAACGTAAGCTTTGCTTGCTGAAGCTCTGGAACACATAATATTTGACTTACCCCTCTGGCGCAGTCTACTCGCTCTCAAAGGATCTTAGATGGGAGTGCGGTTACGCGGGAGGTGCTGTCGTCGATAATATTAACCATCGGCGTGGATCTAGAGTCATGGACGATAAGCTCAAGCATGAGCAGTTTTTGGCCTTCACGCGGTCCAGGATGACTACCTTATGCACATTCTCTACTAGCAATTCTGTACCGAGTGACCTGTCTCCTGTACATTGCAAGTTTGGCTGACCGTGTTGAGGCACCGGGCCTTAGATCACATCGAGATCAACAGCAACCTGATGTTCGTGCCAAGGAACGAACAAGATGGTTGTGATGAGCGTAGCGAGCCTGCCGTACGTCTCTTGGTATTGTGTCACCACCCCTTCGCTAAAATCAGAGCAGCTGTGCGAGCAGGATGGGCCTTAGAGCTGAGCGCAGGCGACACTCGAGTTGGGAGGCAGACTACAGGGCGGAGAGACCGAGATGCAAGCGTGGGTATTTATCGAGGAGAAGCGTGTAGCAGGTGCGCGCGCTACTCAGATGCATCCACTCTACGGTATTGACATTATCCAGAGAAAAATCCCATGACTACACGCATGAAAAAAGTTTCGCGATAATCTCAGCCTAGTTTTAATGAACGTATTACTTTGTACTACTCTGCGAAAGCCAGGCCGCCGGCTGCCAATGGCAACAGTGTACTCCAAAACTCTGCGCCATCGGAACTAACATCTCTATACGGGCCCGTTTGTTGCCCTCAGCACGCTCCTCAATCACATCCTCTCGTTCGCAATACGTCTCGGCACACGTCAGTGAAGGTCAAATCGCCGATGGCGCCCCTCCTCGACTTCGCCGAGCCCCTCGTTAGCGCCACCAAATCGCAGCTCCCGCTATTTCAAGTGCCAGTCTACCGAGCCGCTCAACACTATTGAAATCAGCCCCGCTTGTCTTCGACCGCCCTTCTGCACGATCTAATGGACACGGTTATATCCCCCGGCACTTTGGGCACCGCGTCATTCGTGGCGACGTCAGCTCGCATAGGGTCTGGAGCCATCTCATCATCAATCGACTCCTGACACGTAACGTTGACGTTGATCTCGTTCTTCAAGATTCGGGCGGACAAATCTCCTGTGCTGTACGGAAGCTTGACAGCCAATACACCGCCGTCGTGTATGTAACTGACGGTTTACAATCAAAATGATTGAACAAACGCCTGACTAGTCTGATGCTACTCGGCGGACAGCCAGGAGTACAGGCGCGAATTCAATTTGCTAACCGTTAAGTCTCTATTTGTGCCTAGTGATGTGCGGGCCCGGCTTGGGCTCAAAGCCCGGGCTTGGGCTTGTGGCGACGTCAAGCCGAGCCCTGAGCCCGAGCCGAGCCCGAGCCCGGCCCAAGCCTTGGGCTTAAGCCCGGGCTTGCTCACAATACAACGAGTGTTCCGGTGCTATCAAAAGGGAATGTATTTGGGTGTAGTAGATCAATACTGCATGTACTCACTAAATGATAACCTCCAGAAGATCTACACCTGCGGAACAAGTCGAGTCGCAGCGAAGTCCACGAGCGTGCGCCTACGGCAGGCACCAGATGGTGACGCACAATCGTGCTCGGCGGGAGCCGTTACATCTAGAATATCTACATTTTGTCTTCTATGTGCATATTAGGTCGCTCTCTCCTTATTATGAACTCAGGGAACGGTAACGGAGCCAGCACACCCAAGCCTGGGCTTCCGGGCCGGGCTTGGGCTTGACTACGCTCCGAGCCTGGCCTTGAGCCCGCTGCCAGGCTTGACTCGGGCCAGGCTTTTTGGGCCGGGCTTGGCAGGCTTGGAGGCTTTGAGGCCCGGCCTGCACATCACTATTTGTGCCTGACAGGCTGGCCGTTCGCCTAACAGATTCCTGAGCATGAGGAAACGAGCTCTTCCAACTTGCAACCGTAGCTACGAGCCTACTTCCTGCTAATAAAATATTGGAAGCTTCCTGAGGGCAGTAACTAACCTTACTTGCATCTTTGTTTCATCCAAAATATTTTTCTCGCCGCGAACGAAGGATGTGTCCAATGAAATGACTGACTTTGCGAATGCTTCAAGCCTTTGAGCCGGGGACAGCTTTGAACTCCGCTGATGCTCGGCATGCATCGGCATTCTCTCGGTGTGGTTCAAGCGCTTCTTGTCTGCCACGTCTCTTCCTGGACGGTAAGCCCACACAATCTCTTGCCATATAGGGGCATCACGTGCATGCTCCCGCCATCACCGCCATCACTCCTTATCTCAGATGTTCCTGCCCGGCAGTTTGGCTACCCGCAGGACTTAGACATGCTCGCGCCGCCGCTCCCAGTATTCTTCGGCTGTTTCAGCCGGTATTTGATACATTTAAATATAACCCTCGAGTCTGTAACATGATAAGTAATGGATACCAAGTACTTTGAAGGACATAAGTAAATACAATAAGCAGTCAACATCATAGGTATGGTAAGCTGGACATCCCTTGTTCTGTGCTGGAGAATTCCTGCGCTATGCAACAACAGCTGCCAGAGAAAGTAAACCAAGCATCCATGGTTGTAGGAAGACCCACTCAGAAGGCACCCTCTATCAGAAAGCCGTCTAACAGTGCCAAATCGAGTTTCAGGGGCTTTGTACACCACTCCGAGGCGAATGCAAGCAGCCACAAGGCCCCTAAAGCCTCTCGAAGCCTTACTGACATCTACCTCGATTACCTTGAGCTCACTGCCAAGCAAGAGACAGCAGTATACAACCTGTACGCCCAGGAGAAGACATTTTCTCAGGAATTTTCAACAGAAAATGTGGAAGATCAACTCACTGCATCCTCTATCCTGGCGTCGCACCAGCTTGACTTCACAACACGGGAGTGCCCAGGGAATAAGTGGAAGATTCGGTGGTCGATTATTTCAGGGAAGGGAAAGGAAGAGGTCTGTAGGGCCCTTTACCAGTGGTGTGTGTCTAAATCATCGAAAATAAGACTGACTCACCTCAAATCCGACACTCTAGCTCTTGCGGTTATGATCACACTGTATCTGGAAGCAAAAAGCGTTACAATCCGATTCCATTTACGGGCTGCTTAGCCCATGCTGAGGTCATATACGAGGTGCAAACTCACCGGGTGCTCCTTATCCGCGGGTTTTTTGACCATAATGAAGCCTGTCAAGCAGCGGAGCTATTTCGAGCTCCAAGCTGGCCTGTCCACCCGTCCATATCTCGCACAGCTCTCTGTCAACTACAAGCAGGCTTGTCAATGAATGCCATCATGGAAGCAAACAGAGTGGCGGTCGATACTCACGATACTCGTACCTACCCCGAGATGCCAGATGACATCTTGCACTCTCGTTGGCGGTGGATCTTAAACAAGACAGACTCTCGGTCGCTTTACCGGCAATTCCATCGCATGCAGGATGTGAAAGTAATGTCAAAAGCATACATTAATCTCGACGAATGGCTTGACTTGGACTCACCGCATTTCAACAAGACCCTCCATAATGCTATCTTCCACTACGCACCTCAAACAACCCGTGAAGAGCGCCTCGAAGCCTGCATCATGACACCTGAGATGCGAGAGGCTGCATGGAAGTACAGCCACCAATCTCAGGTGCTTCTTGATGGGACGTTCGGGGTCTGCAACTCAAAGATCCTCCTATTCATTGTCATGGATATCGACGAGAACAAGAAGGGCGTACCCCTTGCATTCCTCCTCTTCTCTGCCCCCTCAGGGAACAAGCATACAGCTGCGGGGTACAATATCGAGGTCTCACCCGCTTGCTTGAGGCATGGCGGCAGTCGATGGGATCTCGTAATGGCGAAGAGTTCACCGTCTCTGTGGCAATTACGGACATGGATCTTATGGAGCGAGGGGCCCTTGTTCGCGTCTTTCCAAACATACACCTGCTGATATGCCGTGTCTATCTACGCCATTCCTGGAGGAATCACCGCGCTAAGTCCGTAAAGGGAGACACAACTGACCACTCTATCATCCGTGCACGGCTAAAACGCCTTGAGGACTCGCTCTTGGAAACAGAGACGCATGGAGCGGCGCTGCAACTTGTGGCAGAAGAACGCCAATGGCTGGAGAACTCGCGGGATGCCAAAGCTGGAACCAACTCACCTACCTATCAAGCTGCTCAGGGTGGCCTCGCCCATCTCGAGTATCTGGAGACCTACTGGCTCAGAGCGGCACTGTGGGAGAGCTGGTCCAAACATGGGCTACACACCGCAGCGGCCATTTTGAAGCATCCAGTGGACGGCGTCATCCCAACAACTAATCACCTTGAATCGTTCAACAATGTTCTGAAGAATCGCTTCCTCCACCGCCATCAGAAGGGTGGCCGCCGCCTGCGTATAGATGTTCTCGTCAATATCCTTGTTTTCCACGTATTACCCTCTGTCTTCCGGCAAAGGCGGCTTGATGCACAAGAGGCTGCCCGGCGCGAGGCAATTATGAGAACGTTGCCAGGTGGACAGGCTCTCATTCAGGCACGCCAGTTTGCGTCTTCGGCTGCACCCCTCGAGCCGCTCGCATACTATGTCCCAGATGAAGCTCGGGAGCATGCCGCCGGACAGCTTGTGATTGGCCAGCAGATTAGCGTGCCTTCACTCGATGAAACCAGCAAGGCACTCACCTTCCAATGCTACTCCGCACTCGCCACACAAGGCGAGATAAATCCTGTTGAGTATACTGTCAGTCTCGGCCTCGACGGGTACTCTTCTTGCACCTGTCCAGACTTCAGCAAACGCGGAGGCTTCTGCAAGCACATGCGCGCTGCTATCTTGCGCGGAATCCTTCTAAACAAGTCAGGGGTGCGGCTACCATTCGTCCATATTCCCAAGACAGTCGAAGAAGCCCTGGAAATCCGTGCAAAGAGGCGCATCCTCTCCATTCCTATCACCGCACCCGCTCCCACGCTGCCACCTGCACTGCCCGCTGCCCCGCTCAATGATGCTGTGTGCACTATCAATGAGCTTCTCCATGATGCAGAAGATGTTATCAAGGAGTCGAGACTCACAGGTTCTAGGACCGCAGATATAGAGGAAGCAAATAGCAGTACATCAGACGACAGCGATCAGGACGGCGTATCCATTCCCCAAGATGATATCAACGCAACATCCTCTGAGTTTGACGCCTCCGAGACTGGGTTCAGCAGGGAACCGAGTATTGCCACGACTGCTGAGCTTGATGACAAGTTTGATATTGCGGCAGTACGATCCGCGCGTGCAAATACGAAGGGTATTGATGAACAAACTATAGGACGAACTCTCATGGATCTCGAGCGCGTTGCCCCCAAGCTCAGCAGACTCGCACCTCTGCTTCATCCATTGCACCTCGATAGGGCAAACCACGACGATATCAACCGCTTCGTTGACGTTTGGACATCAATGGAACCAATGCTCGTGGAAATATCCCGGCTTCTCACGGAAGTTGGCGCCCTGCCGAATGGCACAGGGCCAGCAGCGCACTCACTCTCGTTGCTCAAGAAGTGTCCAGGTACACCGCCGCCATCAAAATCTGGATTTTCCAAGTGTCCTAAGAAGGTGCCGGCTCTGGGTCCATCTCCCGAGAAGGCTCAGAAGCGAAAAGAATCATACAGCCACCATTAGAACATGTTATGAGCTCAATGATGTACCAAAACAACATATATACAATACTTATTTACCACACTTAGTACTATACACCATTGCCAACATGCTGACTGGCGGCGGCGCGAGCACGTCTAAGTCCTGCGGGTAGCCAAACTGCCGGGCAGGAGCATCTGAGATAAGGAGTGATGGCGGTGATGGCGGGAGTGTGCACGTGATGTCCCTATATGGCAAGAGATTGTGTGGGCTTACCGTCCTCTCTTCCTCTCCCATTCTCCATTCACTTTGCGTATACCTTCACTGTATCTTCCTTAAGCTACGGTACAAATCAGGTTGTGCTACAGCTCAAGGAGTAGCTTCCTGATTGATATGTCCTTTGGTTCAGCAGCACCTACACTACTCTGACAGGTATGTCCCCATATATTCTGTGGTAGTCGCAGCTGACGATTATCTAGATGTGTAATCATATGTAGCTGGCATGTCGGATGATAGGTGTCACTCATGTAAGCTCATAAGTCTGCTGTTGTGTTTTAAGGGCTCACACTTTTAGCTTTGTGCAGGGTATCCATGCAAGTCTCAGCAAGTCATGACAGATGTGAAGAGTGCACTAAGCACAGTGTCTGTCTGGAAGATTAGCATGTACTGTAGCGTAGTAATAGTCCCTAGAGCTTTGTATCTTCCCTAGTTTCGTCAGGAATATATTGCTTTTTATTGTCAAATTTTCATGCAAATAGAGCGAAAATTCAATGGAAAATGCGTAATTTATTCAAACGGGTACTGCCGACGTATTCAAACCCCGCTGCAGAACATCTCGGAAATATGGAAAGATCAGCCCATTACCCGATCTCGTTAGCTAACCGTTAGAGCTTGCCTAACGGTGCACTGATGTTATTTACTTATCTTTCTGACAGTTAGGTAACGAGGAGACGCGCGTCACGTACCGCGCAGTGAACTGTTCGGTAACGGCATCAACTCATTTATACCTCACGGCGCGCCGGCGGTGTACAGGTCTAGAGTCTACAGGCAATGAACCTGAAATACTTGTGGAGTACGAACAGTGCCTGTTCTTTGCTTCATTTTACACGTCCAACCTACGCTAGTCGTCGAAACGCCAACTGTGCGTTCGACTCAATCAGGCTCTGCGGCTGGCATGCGTGTCGACAGTACTGAACGATTGCCCGATCGAAGTTGGAGGAGAGTCGCGCACCGCTGAGTTTTGCAACGATGACCGACGATATACCAGAACCTAATAGTGCGCTATCCTTGAATGCACAATCGAAACTACTTGAATACCGTCACCAACTATCTCTTCCTCTGCAGACACCGACGGCACCTTCAGCCTATGCGAACTCTGCGAATTCTCTGGTATGCACCGCAGGTGGGCCTGGATGTAGTAGCAGTCGCCGCGGCCACTCTCTCTGCCCATGTCAGCCAGCACGTCTCGTGCATAGATCTCTCGCTAAACGTCGCTCCTGCCCACGTGCGTCATCTGGTAACTGCTCGTAGAGAAGCCCTGGATGAAGTCCGCAAACTCCTCGGCTTTTACATAGACGTTCTCCTGTAAACCTGTGGATGCAGGCTCTCGATTGTTCACCCCAACCGCGCGGCTCCAAGGTGCAAGACATTTGCTAGCTCTCCATTCTCACGGGCAATGTTCTCGGCTTCTTGGCGGTGCCTCTACAGTCCACCCAGAGGATGGTGGCATATACGATTGATGAGAGAAAAGGCACGGCCTTAGGGACGTTTTTGGCCCATCTCCCAGCCCGGTGCAAGCATCAAACCCATTATTTCCCTTGTGGTCAGTGGTTGCAGCAGCGAGCTCGACACTGTCTCTTTGTCTGCTTGCATCGTGAGTATCACAATGTTGTATGGAGGTTCTCTCATACTGACGCCGCCTGTCAGGCTTCGTTGGTCTGCATTTACTTCAGCATTCCCAATTCTGTCTACGCGTCCCGTCGCCTGCGGCGATGGCATGATTGTCAAGCATCATAGCAAGTCTATGTGTATGAAGTGGTTGTCGGCTTAGGTTCACCTGCCAAACGGCTGACTCATTTCCCCCTCACTGCAACTGGTTTGAGCTGTGTTCGATGGCGCGGTCCGTGCAATAGTTGACATGCTCATTGTTGGTGTTTTTGTCCCCGACCACAAGTGAATAATGCTACTGCCAGCACATCTATCTCGGTCTCACGGTCATTTGATTGCTGGCTTCTCGCAGCGGGTCACCCTCACCTGGAATCTCCAGATACGTCAAGGACCACGGTGACAAGTGTTTAGACCAAAGCGATAGCAAATTTCATGCCAGGGCCACACTTTTCTCATATGTATGGTTCTTTCTCTTGTAGCTCCAGAACGTGAACACTAATATGGTGTCTAGGCAGACTATCTCTGTGGCTGTCGCGAACTTTTGTACTGGGTCACGCCCTCCCTATTAAATCAAGAGTTTCAGTTCAGCAGCCCAGACATGGGAACCTATTAAGTTACACCGGACTAGCCACCCAGAAGTGCCTAAGAGCGGCTAAGACACACTGAAGAATTTCAGAAAAGCTCAAAAAATGGTGCAAGCAAAAATCGAACCTGCAGCCTGAAAGTAACTGCAGTGCACTATACCACTAAGGCATAAGACCTTGCAAATATAAGGTTGGAATTGCCCTATAATACCACTTTTCTACCTTAAAGTCTTAGGTGCAATATTATAGCCAATTATCAGGCATTAAAGCATTGGAATGTAATTGTACAAAGGTATATTCTAATGGCATGGCTAAAACATTGATGTGGCTAAGACACCAGTGTGGCTAAGACATCAAGTCATTAAATATTTGCTATTGATTCTGCTTATTGTACAAATGTATATCCTGATGGCATGGCTAAGACACTGACATGGCTAAGACACCAGTGTGGCTAAAATACCAGAGCAGATGAACTATACTCAAGTGGAATCAATAGCAAATGTTTAATGTTCCAATGTCTTAGCCACACTGGTGTGTCTTAGCCATGTCAGTGTCTTAGCCATGCCATCAGGATATACATTTGTACAATAAGCAGAATCAATAGCAAATATTTAATGATTTGATGTCTTAGCCACACTGGTGTCTTAGCCACATCAATGTCTTAGCCATGCGTGAACTCAAGGGCCGGCTCTTGTCCACTCACTCAATGAAGCCCTCAGACAACCTGGCGCTCATGGAGCAACTGAGCGGCATTGCAGCAAAGGTGTCCTCTCTCACCAACAAGTGCCAGAAGGCTCTCGATGCCCCAGCTCATCCCCCCATGGGCTTACAAGGTTCGCTCCATGCCTCTGCCCGAACGGCTTTGGAACAGAACCGAGGGAAGAAATGCCCGGCTATCTTTCTGAGTGACCCACCTGCTCCGAGTGAACTGCCTGCTAAGAGGCAGGCCACCGACGGCGAGAGTCAACGTGTCCAGGACCCACACGCCATCCTACGAGACTGGAAATGGGGCAAGATCGCAGCTATTGGCCCCCTCATGGACGCATGCAAGGGTTGCATGCCCCCAGAGTCGGCGTTGGCTCTTACAAAGATCTTTGAGTTCCGCCCTAGGAAGAGTGGGCCCCCACCAGGTGTGCCGACCCCCGCCACGTACGCAGCAACAACGAGTGGGCAGCTACAGACAGGTGGAACTCAGCCGCCCTCAGCTCGTCCTCCTACCCCTGCACCCACCAAGGCTGCGTCTGCTCAGCCCAAGCCCAAGCTGAAGGCTCTGGTGGTCCATGTAGCGGCATCGTGGGAGCTCACAAAGATTCTGCAAGTTGTCTTCTCAACGGTGGTTACGAACCTGGCTCATCGTCGCGAGGAGGGTGACGTCTGCATATGGGTTTGCGACTGGCTCCAGCATATTGGCGAGGAGCCCAATGAGGTCATTGGGCTCAACTGGCACAATGGTGGCGTCCATGTAGACATTCGTTTCCAATCTCGCCTGACGGTGGCAATGCACGACTCCTTGAACAAAGGCGCAGACTGGTTCGCAAACACCACTGGAGTGACATGTGCAGCCACAGTCAACTTCTACATGCCCATTACACGTATCACGGTGAAAGCCCTGCGAACTCATCACAAGGTCACTAACCAGGAGCTGCCGATAGAGGCAATTGTCTCTGCCATCGCGCAGGAAAACCCATGGATCGCGGACAGGTTGCTGCACCACATCCAGTCCCCGAAACCGTTCTGGATGGACTCCAGAGGAGGCTCGGGCATGTTTGTTTTTGCAGCCTATGACAATTGCGATGGCATGATCAGTGAGGGGTGGTGCAAGAGGAGGCTCTGTGTGTTCGGGGTCAACCACAACATTCAGCATCACGACATCGCCCTGTGGGTTTCACTCTGTAACCAGTGCTGGCACTGGGAGCACACTGGAGGAGCATGCCGGGCGAACAAGCTCTTTTGCTCGAGGTGCTCGCTACCTCACATCGACGTGGATCATTCCCGGTTCTGCATCCACCCGCAGTGCCAGCAGGCATGTCTCTCTACTATGGAGGCACAAACCTTCTGCGAGCATGTCTATTGCGCAAGTTGTGACAGCGTTGAGCATGCGCTGTCATCTCAGGAGTGCTCCTACAGCTGCCACGCGGGTGACCGGGATGCAAAGAAGTGGTTCTCAAAGAACCCCGCCCAGTTTTCTGCGCAGGATATGCGTCAACGTGGAAAGGAATATGATGGAGAAGTTGCCGTCGGGGCTGAGAGACAATGCAGGCAGGCTCTGGTGGCTGTAGAGGGTGCGCCGGAGCTGGACGATGTGATGCCTTCTTAATTGCTTAGGATATCTTGTGTCACCTGTATATTTTATGAGTAATACACCCTCTGATGCTTCTCCTGCGCTGTCATATGTTTCAATCCACAGTGGTTTGCCTCATATGACTCAGACGGGCTCAGTGCCAGGTTCCCTGCCAGAGCTGCCACCTCCCCTTGACCTTGATGCCCTGCGTCGCGTGGCAGAGCAGCGCCTTGCTCAGCAAGATGCGGTGCCCCACAAGACTGAGTCAGGTACGGCACATCGTGCGAATGTGGATTTGACAGTAGGCGGTGACACTGGCCGGCTCCTCTGGTGTGTGTCCGCAAACGTCCAGAAAAGTGCTCACAATCATGGATGCCTACTCAATAATAATCGTGATGCGGATGTTGTGCTAGTACAGGAGCCCTTCAAGGGGCATATAAAGACTGTTGCATCCACATCCAATCTGGATGGTGACTCCTATTTTCACACTACAGCTCATCAGAACTTCATCTGCTTGGGCTATTCTGATGCCACCATGGTTCTGGTTTATGTGCATATGTGATGGCACAAGGCTAGTCCACAGCTGCGGTTGTCAGCTGTCAAGCATGATGATGCTCTATGTGTCACCATGCACATTGGGGGGAAGGAACTGTCCTTCCTGAATGTCTATAATGATTGTAAGACGTTTGCTGCCGTTAACTACTTACTGGACTGAGTGGACATGCTTCCAGCCATTTCATTCATGGCAGGGGACTTCAACCTGTGTGACACACAGTGGGACTCTGGACAACGGCGCCCAAACGCGACTTCAGAAACTTGCTCAGGAGCAACTGGGCCTCATTCTGGCCAATGACCCGAACAGACCCTCGACTTGGCTCACTAAGAAGACTGGTGAGAGCGACAGTGTCCTGGACCTGGTCTGGGTTGACCCGCGACTAGACACAGTGGATGGGCTGCACGTAGATGATCTTGGCCGTGGGGCAAGCAATCATGCGGTGCTGAGTTGGGGTCTCCCAATACAGGGCGAGCCCAATCTTACCCCTAATGTCAAGCACGGCTCAGAGGAGGGTGTGGCGTATGTGCGGTGGTGTTGCTTGCTGTTCAATGCCCTTCCACTTACGTATGACTCTCGCGAAAATGTCGAGAACATTGGCAACTGGCTCGGGAGCCGGTTAGACAATGCATGGAATGAGTCTGCAACCACACCTAATGTCACCCGACACTCAAAGTCATGGCGGAGTGCAGAATGCAGTGCGATTGTCAAAGATGTGTGCGCGTTGTGGTCACTGCGTAAGGAGCTTGTATCACAGCGCAAGCACTGGCAGACACTGGTGGTACAGACTGGACACAACTTTGACTTGAGCTGGCACCGTACAGTGATGCAGCTGACAAAGAAGATTGTGTTTGTTACAGGTCATATTGATCGAGCGAATAGGCATATGAAGGGAGCTGTCCAGCAAGCCAAACGGACTCACTTTGATGAGCTCATTACGAAAACCCACCCATCAAAAATCTGGGACCTGGTCGGGTGGACCAAGCCCTGGAGAATGACTACAACCACAGGGCTTGTTGACCAGGCAGGGGTTCCAGTTGATGAGCCAGAGTGGCTTGTGGAGGTGCTCCAGGAATAGTTCACACCTGCAAACCCGAGACCAGTGGACTTGTCAATTCTGGATGACATGCCCCAGCTTGACAAGCGCACCTTTCTCCAGTTCTCGACGCATGAGCTGCGCGAGGCTCTTTGCAGCACAAGTAACTTCTCTGCCCCTGGACCAGACAATGTTAGCTGGTTCTGGCTCAAACGCATTGTAAAGGACCAGTCAGGGTGTACCTGTGGCAGACCCCAGCCAGATCATGATCACTTCAACGTTGAGGAGAGGGTTCTAGCCTTTTATAATGCACGCATTCAGTACGGGATTCACCCGACAATCTTTAAGCGGTCATGTACCGTGGTTATATCCAAGCCGAGCAAGCCTGACTACTCCAAGGCCAAGGTGTACTGCCCAATCGTATTGCTCAACTGCATGGGGAAACTTCTTGAGAAGATGACTGCGCGGAGGATGCAGTTTGACTCCCAAAAGTTTGGCATTATGCATCCGTGTCAGTTTGGGGGTGCTATGCAGCATAGCACCTAGGACGCCGGTATCCAGCTGGTGCATAATATTCAGCAAGCCTGGAAGCGGGAAGTTGATTTGTCCGCCCTTCTGCTAGATGTGTCGCAGTTCTTCCTGTCCATTCATCATGGGATGATGGCAGCTGTCTTGCAGAAACAGGGCTTCCATAGCAGCCTGTGTGCGTACTTTGAGGACTATCTGGTTGGACGCCAAACAGAGTTCATCTTCAATGGGCATTAGTCTGGTCCCACCGACTTTTCCACAGGTGTAGGCCAAGGGTCTGCACTCTCACCTATTTTGACTGGCCTGTATGTCGCACCGGTGCTGCACCTGGTTGCACCCCTTAGCACCATGCTTGAGAGCAACACCACCTTGGAGTTCTACGTAGATGACTGTCTGATCCATGTTGCAGGGAAGCTTGTGCAGCATGAACATTACGACGGGCTGATCTACAACAACTGGTTGCTCCGCGATCTGTTTGGGAAGATTGTGACACGCCTGGGGCGATTGGGCCTGGGGGTCAAGGTTGACAAGTTGGAGCTGATGCACTTCCGGCGGGCACGGGATGCAGCTTGGAACGAGTGGGAGCCACTGGGACCAAAGCTGAAGCTTCAAGTTGATGGCCAGTCGCACACAGTAGAGCCTAAGCATGTCATGCAGTACCTGGGGTTCTACCTGGACCCGAGGCTGTCCTTCCGTGAACATGTCCAATTCTATGCCACAAAGGCGTCCAGCACAGTCAGTGCCCTTCAGATGTTGGGAAACTCCAATAGAGATCTCACCCCAACTGACAAGCGTCGATTGTATATCTCGAATGTCCTCCCGATTCTCACATATAGTGCCCAACTGTGGTGGGACCCAGGCTGGAAGGGGAAGCAGTGAATCCATCGATCACTGCAGCGGGCACAAAACTGTGCAGCCAGGTGAATTACAGGTGGATTTCACACCACTCCAACAGGAGCCTTGGAGATGTCTGCAGGCCTATTTCCAGTGCAACATCAGATTGACAAGTTCATGAAAAAAGCATGCTTACGCACACAGACTCTCCATGATGGGCATCCCACAAGGGCACAGCTCCTCCATCCATTGTGGTGAAAGGGTCCACTTAGTATCTTGGCTCCGATGCCATTGTGCAGGAAACCTACCCAGGATGGTATCACTCCTATAACACATATTGACCAGCTAGGACGCACCTGTACTGAGGAGTTTGCTGTCCTCGAGGCGGAGTGCCGCCCAGGTGACCATGTCAAGGATGTCTTTGACAGCCAGGTGACCTTCCATATGAATGTTGTGGACAGCATGCAGGCTTCCGTAAAGGTGGATGGTGACAAGTTGGATTGGTGGGTCAGGAACGTATTTGTTCCTATGGTCATGAGTGTCGAGGGCAACCCGGCATGTGCGTTAGTGTTCATGGACAGCTCTCAGAAGAAAGGAGAGCACATACCTGGAGGCGTTGCTGCAGGCGCAGCGTGGGTTGTAAAACACTGGGAAAAGGTCCGGTGGGGCCAATTCGGATGCAGAAAGGCCACTCCGTATAATGCAGAAATGGCTGCACTGGCACAGAGCCTGAATGAGGTCATGCGTGACCTGCCAGAGTCAGTGTCGGACATTCATGTCTTTGCATACAACAGGACTGCACTCACGTCCATTCTGGCTGCGGGAACCGGCCCTGCACAAATGCTGTCAGTTGTGGCTTGCCAGTCGGTCCATCCATGGCTGGCCTGCTCGCCCGAGCATTGGATCCACGTGTGGTGGTGTCCAGGTCACCGCGGCATGTACTGGAATACAGTTATCGACAAGGACGCCAGCCTTGAAGCAGCCGAACTGTCAGGTGAGATATCCTTCGCGTACGCGAGGCAGTGTATCACAGCAAACGCGTATGCAGCTTGGCGGAAAGACATGCAGAGGCCGGCCTACCGAGGGCATAATAGCCTGGTGCAAAATGCTGACTTTGAACGGTGCAAGCACACATCAGCAAACTGGTTCTTGAGGACGGCGGAACACTGCCCAACTTATCTGGCGCGGCTAGTTCAGTTCACCAGTGGGCACTTCCCCTATGGGGCTTTCTGTGAGCATTTCAATTTCGATGAGAACCAGCGGTGCTGGTATGGGACGGCTGATGTCAAGACTCGGGACCACATCTGGTTTGACTGCGATCTCTGGATTAAGAAGCACAAGCCGCCGGATGACGAGATCGCATGGTGGGGTCAGGGTGAACGAAACGCCCTGAGAGCCCTGGACCTCCTCTCTCCCACCCCGCCGGGCATGAGCTCGCTCAAACACTTCCTGCAGGACTGGAGGGAGACCCCGATTGACCTTGATGACGTCGCTGAGTTCTTGCGACTCAACCCTGCGGTGGAGACTTTCACCTGGTTGGAGCTGGTGGACCAGGCGTTGGCGGATAGGGAACAGGGTGAGGAGGACTCGCTGGCGCTCCTCAAAGCTGACCTGCACATAGTGCAGCGCAAGAAAGCGTATGAGATGTGGGTTGCCACACACCCGAGTGTAGATCTCGCCTCGTTCACCGAATCGTACGCCATCGAGGTGGCGGAGGCAGTGGCCAAATTGTTTGAAATTGATGAGTTGACCCTCGTTGCGCTGCAGGCAGAATTCGGGCTCCCTGCGGCCAAAGCGAGGGCACGTCAGGCACGCTGGAGGGGTGACCCTATTGGGACGCCTGCTATCTCACACGTTAGGATGTTTCATCTTCTCTGTCCCTCTTCTTTCCCTCTTTCTTTCTTTCCCCTCCCTTGTCTTGCTCAGTCTGTTTAGTTCAGTATGTATTTATTAGGTGCTCATGTACCAGGTTGTACACACTAAAAGAATGTGGATTTCAAAAAAAAATTGTCTTAGCCATGCCATTAGAATATACCTTTGTACAATTACATTTCAATGCTTTAATGCCTGATAATTGGCTATAATATTGCACCTAAGACTTTAAGGTAGAAAAGTGGTATTATAGGGCAATTCCAACCTTATATTTGCAAGGTCTTATGCCTTAGTGGTATAGTGCACCGCGGTTACTTTCAGGCTGCAGGTTCGATTTCTGCTTGTGCCATTTTTTGGGCTTTTCTGAAATTCTTCAGTGTGTCTTAGCTGCTCTTGTGCACTTCTGGATGGCCAGTCTGGTGTAACTTAATAGGTTCCCATGTCTGGGCCGTTGAACTGAATCAGCTCATTAAATGACTTGTTTACACTAGGCTCATTCCCATCCAGTCTGGTCTTTCAGGCCTCTCTCACTTTTGCCATTTTCTGCAAGTGCTCGAGGCTCTCTGACTGTACCAGCTGGGCATTCATGGGCTCTGACCAAGAGGTTCCCATAGCCTTTCTAATTTGATGTTTCCAGCCTCAATACTCGAGTGCCGTATATATATAAATAACAAAGGAATGTAGTGGAGGTCAATACATATATAAATTAACATCTTCTTCATTATTAAGGGAGAAAACCTTCTTAAGGGGCTCATCAAGTAAGTGCTCCCAGGGCAGCTGTTCTTCACCCTTGACATCATCGAAATCATCACTCAGAGGTTCGTCTGATGCCCCTGAGCTGTCTGAGCCATCTGGAGCCACTGGCAAGCTAATGCGACTGACCACTGTGCCAGTCACAGATGAGCTATCCAAGTGGGTGCTCACATGGTCGGGCTCATCCTTTTCGTGTTTGACAGAATTAGTTTTGTGAACCGCAGTGGTAGTGAGTTGCACGGAAGTGCTTTTGGGGGCACTTTCAAAGGCTACGTGTTGACATAACGCATCAGGTGACAGTTTGAGTTCACCAGAGAACAATCACTCACTTTCATCTGCGCTGACAGACTGATCACCTGCAGGAGCCTGAACTGCTGGATAATCTGAGAGCACAGGGATAGGATCTCCAACAACTTGTCGCAGGTGATGATGCCGGCGCAAGCACTCAAACAGACTGTTATAATCTGCAAGAGGGCCAATAAGCTGCTGTGCACCAACTGCCAGGACGTCCACCACAGTTGCCTTGTTCTCTTTGATGATGCACCCTTGGAAATGCAGAGTATACACTTTATACTCACGCATGGAATCCATTAAACAGCTGATATCATACATCAGATCTGGTGGAGCATGCTTGCTGCCTTGGGCAGACCCAAACACTTCATGCATTTGTGTAGCGAGCTTCTGCAGTTGAATGACATATGGTGAGATGATTTTGAGCCATTCCCATAAAGCATTGCTTCCATGGGCTTTGTACAAGGTCTGTGAGGTGCAGGTCAGGACACCAATATATGCAGAGGTTTGAGGGACACACCTTAATATACAGGTTCAAGTGTTTTTGGAGTAAGTTGACAGGAATGAAGCCGTTTGGATGCCCAGTAGGATTAACTAGCTAATTTTTTATGATGATTTCTCTAGGGCACATTATTAAAGAATAAGGGAATAGGTTCAGTTGTGTGGTTACATATAGCAGCTCTTCCAGCCAGACATGTGTCAGATTGTGGATGAGATGCAGCATCTCATAGGCGTACTTTGAACGGCCGGTCCCACGATACATCAGAGCAAACATTTTCAGCACAAGAAGTACCCGTCCTGAGTTGCCGACTTTGATTTCATCACAGAACTCACGGAAAATAAGCAAACTACGAAGGAAGAGAATCACATTCTCTACCACCATGTTGCCCTTGAACAGGCTCTCCTGCATAGCCTGGTCACCATGTTTGCGGAGCTCTCTGAGACGGTCTCGGCACATGCGATCAACAGTGGCACCACTTGCATATCGCTTGTAAATGAGTGCAGCATGAGCTTCGAGCTCATCAAAAGAGGCGCCCTTAATATACTCCGCCAGTGACTTCCCCGAGACCAGTTCCAAGCAGTGCAGCACCCGCGCATACAAAGAGACAAAAACTAAGTCTCGGCAGGTGCAGTAAGGTGGGAGACTTGTGAGAACAATGGGCTTTCACTCCAGGATGGAGTTGTGAAAGGTGAGCGAGCCTGGGTCATACAGGCCAAGGTTCAGGTAATCTCAGTGCATGTTGAGAACACCGAACACAGCGTGCATCTGTGTGTGGAACAAACCAGGTGAGAACACTGGGTCCAAATATGACTGTTTTGGATTGTCGTGACCTGCATAGTTGTGCATGACTGATTGTAGGCATGAGATCGAGAGCTGGTCACCGCTGATAATCTTCACAGTGCCAGTCGAAATGATGTGCAAATCGTCTCCATTATACTCCAGTTCTCTGAAAATCGTATCGACAACCTCTGCGTCGCCAGTATTTGAGCTCTCGTCAATCTCCATGGATGGCAGTGGGAAAATCTCCATGACATGCAAGCCAATACAGCGTGAACTGTGCGGTAGTGTGGCTGCGATCTGGTTGCAAAACCGTGAGAAACCTGGTTCACCAAATGCGAGAATGATGCAAAGGATGTTATGGCACATGCATGCATGAAACAGAGAATGGTTGGTCAGAGTTAAGTGGACATCCTTCATGGTGAGTGGTGGTGCAGTGTTGAACTTTGCAAGAACTGTGTCAACCTTCATATCTGACAGATCTGCTTCATACAATGGGAAAATGGTGGCGCAAGTACCATTTTCTATTGTTTTTATGTCTGACGGTCTGCTCTTCTGTTCAGCGCATGAAGTTGATGTTGTTGTAGACATGCTCAACAGGCTGCTCGCACACAAGTTGATTAGTTGCCACTCAATGGGACAGTGAAATCGTCCTGAGAAGGCCAAGGTTTCAGAATGTTTTCAACCCCACAAAGCTTAGCAAAGGGTCGACGAAGGCTTGACATCGACCAGACGTAGCCTCAGGTAAAGCATCCTATAGAGTGGTTGGTAATCAGCCGCATGCTGCAGATAGGTACCTGGGGTGCATTCTCTTACATTTTCTTAACCATGCTCATGCTGGTCAGTTTGCAGATCTTCATCTTCAGAGTCCAAATCAGTTTCGGCATCTGATTGCAACTCTCTAAAGGTGCAAGCAGGGGGTATACCAGTCACTGTTCTCATTGGATTGAGGATATTGTTAACAGAGAAGTGATCCTGCAATCTAAGCTTGAACAGCAGCTTTCCAGCTCGCTTCTGTGTCCCCGTAAGTGTCAGATAGCTGCTGCAGATGCCCAAGGTATTCAAAACAGTGATCATCTGCGAAGTTACGCCTGATGCATATGCAAAAAGGCCAAGTATATGCTTCTTCCAGCTGTTTAGCTGACTGCATTCCTCAAGCAGATCCAGGATGGTGGACGCAACTCGCTGTGACAGTGTATCAATAGCACGTCACATCATATATGTGAGTAAAGCTCACTGTTTGCTTTCGCAGCATGGATTTTGGTGATAATTCTCACAGCTGCCTCCCAGTTGTGCTAAAGGCTTGAACCAGCTGCAAAGAGGTGGGACAGAGTTCTTGTATGCGAGTATATATGGATGGCATGCTGAAGCCCTGAATAAAGGTCTCATCAATTGGCTGAAGTCGCGACTGAAGGAATCTGTCTTTAGTCGAAGCTTGACCTTCTAAACTGATCTTCTTGCAGAGATACTGGAGAGTCCACTCATGTAACACTTCTCTGCCCATTGTGCTGTTCTGCCAAGATGTCCAGAAAGACAAAACCTGCTTGACACGAGCACTGTCTCTAAAGAACCCATAATACCGGGATGCACCCTGCTTGTACTTGGGATCAGAGATATACTTGACGACATCGCTCCAAGTGAGTCCACGAGATTCAATATACTGTAGCACATTCTGCAGAGCACTGATGTCGAGCTCCGGCAGGTTCTCCTTGTTGTCTGCATGGCTGCTCGCCTCTGAATCTCCACGGCCATCATCAGAATCTGCTTCGGCCTCTTCAAGGATAGTGGGCAGAGCAGGTAGAAGGCCTTGATGGCTGGTGGGATGAAGTATCCCTACATCTGCAACCGTGCGGTACTGATTCCCGCGGCCAATGGGTGATGAGTTTTTGTACTCGGAGGGGTGAAGAGGTCGGAGTGGGGAGGATATTGGCAAGCTGAGTGGGCTCGAGCCAAAGAGCCGTGCAACTTGTGAGTATATATCTCTGTCGCCAACATCGTTCATGGCTGACTTTGCACGTCATCGAAATTCACAGAGGAATGGGAGGTACTTGCAGGAGGAGAGAAGGGAGCTTGTTGAGCAGTTTCAAGGCTGACTTAAGCTGATCACTTTACTTCTGAAGACTGCAGCATGTCTCTCTCGCTGTCTCCTCTCATTGCTTCGTCTGCTTTGTCCTGTATATCCTACTCTACTACAAAATAGCTTAATGCCTGTTCTCAAATCTTCTGTGCATTGCCATGCACCTTACAGAACTCAGAATCCACAATCTCGTCCCAATATTCCATCTCCCACCATATACCAGAACCTGACAGATGCAGATGCAAAAGAAATTGGACCACGAATGCGAGTTGCGTACAATTGGAATGCGGACGCAAAGCAGTTTCAGACCATTGGTGTGAAGGCACAGTTCGAGGGGGTGGATGCGATCATTCAGGCTGCAACTGGTGCAGGCAAGACGGCCATCGTGACTGGACCACATCTGTGGAAGAAGGACATTATAACGCTCATGATAGTCCCTTTACTTCAGCTGGAGGATGAAATGGTACATGTTTTTATACCCATAGCTATATGTAACAATATTCAATGCCCCATGTTTAGGTGAAAACTTTTCAGAACTACTTCAATCTCAAAGTGATTGCTATCCACAGTCAGAACAGAGGGCTCACTGTGGAACGAGTGCAGGACATCCTTAGCAGAAAGTACCAAGTCCTTATAACCTCACCAGAAATGCCGCAATCTCTGGCATTTATCAAACAGCTTCTTCGTAACTGTTTATTCACGTGTTGCGTTCTGTCCATGGTTGTTGATGAGGCCCGCTGCATTTTACACTGGGGTGCAGACTTTTACAAGAAATATCAGTCAATTGGAATGGCACATGCTTTCCTGTCCTGAGGTACCCCTGTCATTGCACTCTCCGCTATACTTATGCGGCATGTTTGCTATAATGTACAGTCAAAGCTATGGTTCCAGTGATCGCGCAGCCTGTACTGGAATGATGGGAATGATCGTTCCAATGTCTCAATCGTCGTACGCGCATGCCATAACATGATGAACACATTCACAGACCTTGATTTCATCATTCCCAAGGAAGTCTCAACTCCCGCTGAAATACCAAAGACATGGATATATATTGATAACATCAATACCAGGAACAACATGGTTGACTACCTTAGCAACCTCCTCGAGCAGCGTATGTCCAATAGCACGGCTAATTGGAGCCCTTGCGAGCTGGTACGCCCCTTCAATGCTACAATGTCAAGTGAATACCGAGAGGCATGCATGGAGAAGTTTAAGGAGGGTCACGAAGTCTGAATTATGGTCTGTACAGATGCTGCAGGCATGGTGAGCGCAGTATTCTGGCTTGCATGACATAATTGACTTACTTGTGATGCACGCCAGGGCTGTAATATCCGAGATATTGACATAGTCGTGCAATGGAAGCTGCCTGGTACTCTGTCCAACTTCATTCAGTGCACAGATTGAGCAGCAAGAGGGTCAGACTGACAAAGACTTGCAGTCTTGCTTGTTGAGCCATCTGTCTATTCGATAATCCTCAGCGAGACTGTTACCGGAAAGCAGCAGCAAAAGCGAGGGAAAAAAAGCAAGGAGAAGCAAGGCAGTCAGCAATCTCCGCCTAAGAAGACAGCAGCAGAGCGCCATAACAACAAAGCATATGCTCACTAGCATGGTGCAGAGCGAGGCAGCTTAAAGAAGCACGACACCGTGTTTGCTGAGGTCAAGACACCACTGAATTTATTTGCAAATGACGAGGGACTTTGTGCATTTGTCCAGACAATACAATGCCAATGGAAGGTGTGGGCAGAGGTCTTCGATAGCAACTCAGAGCATCTTCGTAAGTTGACTTGAAAGACTAATGATGCTATTGTACTTACTAGTGCACCACGCAAACAGCTACACGTCCTGCTGGTGTTCTATGCTGTGATAACTGCCATCCAGAACTGCTCGATTGCACACGTCCTGGGTGTCCACCAGCTGCCAAGAAGCAGAATCTGCCCAAGAAGGGTGAACTTGATGAAGAAGTCTGAGATGGGCTTGAAGCGTGGTGCAACAAGCTCTATGATGACACATTTGCTGACACATTTCTGCCTCTGTCATCAGTCCTGGATGACAAACTTGTTGAAGTTCTGGCTTGCTATGGGCGCCTCACATACAATGAGCTTAAGATCCTGCTTGCGTCGCATTGGACATGGTGGTCTATGTATGGAGAGCAACTACATGATTTTGTGCAGACTCTATCAGAAAGAACAGTTGCAGAAGCTCCGGCTCAGCAGAAGAAAGGCAGCGCTGCTCAGCAGGACAATGGAGCATGGAATATGTGCTTCATAGAGCCAGAGGTCAACGGCTCTGTTCCCTTGTCTGCGTCACTGCAAGATACCACTCCTGACAGCGCAGGCTCTTCCAGCAGCACCACCCCAGCCTGTGCTTTCACCTTCAGCCAAGTATCATTCTCAGCACCAAGATGGTCACTGAGAAGGTGAAGCGTCCACGGAGTATATCATCTCGAGCTCCCTCAAAGGGAAAGAGAGCACGTCTCAAGCCAGCTGCTCTCACAAGCAAGGCGAGCTTGTCTCTGAGACCAGATGTCATTGGCCAGCTGTTGTCTCAAGCATATACCAACTGTCTAAAGCCCCGCATATGGAAGCCAGAAGTTCAGGCTACACCAGCTGCAGGATCATCAACAGGGTCCACAGGTCCGGCACCACACACATTCTTACAGCTGCAGCTGCCTTCGGTTGATCCAACAGGAGACAGTGCTAGATATGCAATGTCTGCTGGCAGCTTGCCTGCTGTTTACAGCTTGGCAGATGATGTTTTTATGCATCCCAGAGTTCAGGCCTTCACCTGGCGGTCATCTGCCACAGCCACTGCCCAAGGTGCTCTCTTCCACTCTTCTCCATCTCATCATATTACAAAACCCCCTACACCACCTTGCAGCCAATATGGTCAAGGATTGCACTCACCTGCGACCACGGTGGGTGGTCTTGGGGGCACTACAGTTGAGAAGCATCAACCCTCGCTGGTAGAGCCAGAATGTTCAGATTAGCGAGACTCTCAGTTGTATATGTGATAGCCCTAATGTTGTAGAAGTGTTATTAAATGTTGTATGGAGCTGGATAGATCACTAGATGGAACAGGAGGCTGTTCTCTCGTCGAAGCTGAAGTTGTGCGATTAAGCGCTCAAGGGACCCCTTGGTTCGGAGACATGATTGCCCAGTCTGCTTGCAAGCTCGCGTACTCCCTGTCCAAAACAAAAAAAGAGGACGCGCGTGGAAAACCACAGAGCTTGCCAAGCGGGCTGGCTGGTGAGTCTACATTTATGCCCACGCATCTCGAGGGGCTTGAAAATGCTGCGCAAAAGGCGGGCTCGGTGAGCTTGTTCGAGGTGGAGTAGTGCCGGCGCCGCCACCAAACAACATGGGACGTACCATTTATTTCTCATTGCAATCCACAATTTCTATAGTTCCTGGCAGAATGCAGACAATGGAGGCAATATTAGGACTGACAAAAGCATGCAAACTGGAATGCAAAAATGGCTGTCCTCTTTGACGCTCGCGTCAGGCAGCCCAACACCAACAACAAATATTCATTCATGGCTTGGCAATATGTCAAAAAAAAAAAAATGGGCCGACATTGGACGCATCTATGTCTTTTGCCTCAATGCCTACTGCCGCCATTCAGTATTGCAATGGCACCCGGAACAAATGCAGTCTCACAGGACTGGCTAACGAAAGCGCCCCATGTATGAGATACGCGTGCAGCTGCAATATGTGAGCTCGCGGCAGTCCAAATATCCAAGACAGGCTGTTGAAACTCACAAAGAGTGCGGCTGAGTAGAGCTTCCTGAGTGTGAGAATGCCACATCAGTCGGAAATGGGACGGAGGCCGCCGTCGGCCTCCACGTGGAAAGCTCACAGGTGCGGGCTTTGTGGCGCTTGCAGGCTGCATCATGCACTACCACTTGGATTCTAGTCTTAATAGAGCACATTACTCTTTGGTCTTCTGTGTTGTATGTGTGGGCAGATGCTGACACACGCCTAAACCTTAGAAGGGCTACCGAAGATATGATGAGGTAACATAGAGGAAACGAGAGGATGGTCCATGCATAGCATGGGCAGAGAGAACTAAGAAAAGAAATTGAATGAGAGCTGGATCGAAGAACGCACTGCTCATCACCAGCCTTCGGTTGGCTGGACGTGCAGTGTTCCTGTGAAAGGCGCTTTGTGAGTGGCTAATGAAAGAGCGTCTTTATCTCGAGGCTTTGGCGCCCGGGTGTTTTATTATATTAGATAGATAGACCAGAGAGGAACCAGACTGGGGGCAGTACTCTAAAAGGGGTATGAGGCAGCTATGAGACACCAGCCACAAGGTTGCGCGAAGAGATGCAAAAAGGTATGGACTCAGCATTCGCATGGCCCTGGGCCCATCGGGTGCAAAAATGCACGTGATAATGCACGTGAGCAGCTCATCAGCGCTGTCCTTGTGGTGTTTCTGGCCCATTCCTTTCCAATTAAAACTCCCATACACTCCCACCTCTTGTTCTCCTATGCTGCTGAACCCGGCAGTAGCTCAATGATATGTTGCTCGCAGTTTGCCTTTTGCCTATTTTTGACCACACTCGTACTCTGCACCTCTGCTCTTCTGCGTTGCTGCTGCAATTTCTCACACCCTGCTTTAACACTGGCATGTGTCCATCTGATGCAAATGGCTGGCCTGCCTTGACTACAGCTGCATTTGTAAATAACTTAGACCTTGTCCTTGATTAGCACTGTACAATGCTGACCAAATTTCTGCAAAACACAGTCACCACGCTGCAAGAATGCAATGTCCTGGAAGAGCTAAACTGTTGCCTTGCTATCTGCGCTGAAGGTCTCCACACTGTACTGTGCTAGTGTAAAGCATATCAATTGAATTCCAGGGCCAGATACATGGACTGTTTCAACTTGATGCTGTGCAATGCCAAAGCTTTCGAGCACTCAGCATCC